ATATTTTCACCTGATGGCAAATTCATCATCTCAGGATCGTTTGACAAAACAATCAAAGTTTGGAATACTTAGACTGGCCAATAAGATCAGAATCTAGTTAAACATACATAGACCATTACTGCTTTATCTATATCGAAGGATTAACAAATATTATGTTCAGGTAGCTAAGATGGATTCATATACCTTTGGGATTTCTAAAAATTCAAGTTCTTATAGGAGATTAAACATTATGGATCTGAAATTCTAGATATAAAAATAATATTGTTTAATAATGAATATAGAATCTTGAGTCAAACTAATGAAGAGACTGCTCAATTATGGTTTAATAATAATTACCCAGAGTATTACTTACTCTATGATTATGATGAACAAGAGAAGGAGAAAAGGTAGATGCTTGGATATGAGTGTAAGGACATATTGAATCAGTCTAAAGATCTATAGGTGGATACGGTAAGGTGTTACAACTTAGTATATTACTTTTTGAGGGATTAGAAAATAAGTGCATTGGAGTCTAGTTTTGATAACTAAAACAAGTTGATTGGAACTGACAAGGGAATCCTCTTGATTATTTAATGGAATGGGCAATCTTTTTAGAGGATTGTTTCTTAAAATAAACCATTAGAAATTATCAAAACTATTAATCACAAATATTTTCTAACAGTCACTGATTACAAGATACAGATATGGAAATTTTCGGATTTCTTGGTCAGAGATGAAGTAATAAGTGGAGATTAGAGAATTGTTGATATTTTTGTTTGCAATGATAATATCTATTGTGGAGGTGATATTATTGAGATTTGGAATGTCCATCAGAAGACTAAATTGATAAAGAAAATTTCTCCGATTGATTCCTTGTCATCTATTGGATACGATCAGAATAAGAATTTTGTATATGCTGGACTGAGGAATGGATTAGTAATAATCTTCGACGTTTCTTACAATCATCAATAGGCATTCACTGCTCATTAGGGCTAAGTTAAAAAGATTTAATGGTTGAACTCTAAGAATATGTTATTTACTGCAGGGGATGATTGGACACTTAAGTTATGGGATTCATAGAATAACCTATTGAAAGAAGTGACTCTTGACAACCCTATCCAATCATTTTTTGTCTCCCCAGATGAGACCTATTATATATTATAGTAACTCAATTCAATGTCTTTATGGGACTTAGACAACGTAGAACTTGTAGAATACATGGCTAGAATTTAGAAGACTTCTAAGGTTTTAGCAGTTTTTCCCAATTAGTAAGTGTATTGGTCAGAAGATACTCAGGTATCAGTATTGCCCATCATGAATAAGAAGATTAGATTTTCATTACTTTAGTCCAAAAGATCGCATTTTTCTTAGGCCATTGAAACAACTGATAAAATGATATTGACAACTGATTTCAAGGGAAGTATATTCTTTTGGAATTTCGATGGAGAGAAGATTAAGTCTCCCATTGTTTTAGACAAAAACGAATTGCGATCAGTGAAGATATCTCAGGATTATACGAAAATCATTCTAGGATTCAAGAATTTACTGAACATAGTCAACTTAAATACAAATGAAGTCATTTACACCAAAGACATCCCTGATACTTGTTTACTGACAGCTTGTTTTCTGAGCAATACAGAAATAATCGCAGCATCGGAATCAGAGAACCTCTAAACTCTAATATTCAGCATTGCCAATGCAAACTAATCGCCTATTGTAATTAATGAACATGTTGGGTCTTCCTTTGGAGTCTAGGTTCACATTTAAGGACAGACCACTACTTACTTAACATATGGAAATGATAAATCGATTAGATACTATGTAAAATGTGAGAAGGACTACTCCTGTAAAAATGCTTATTCATCTCAATAGAGATTTGAATGTCAAGGAGCCCTTATATAGAATAGTGAAATTTCATCCAAGTCGAAGATTGATCTGAAGGAATTGTTTAAACAAAAGAAGGCAATCTTCGTCGATAAGAAATGATAGATATTTACCATATATCTTTTAAGGTTATATGTTATAATTTATATGATACATTTTTTCAATTGATTTTATTTAAAAAAACCTTGGTATTTTTAATCTTACAATTAATATCAAGATTATATAACCGTTGGAATACAAGNATACAGATATGGAAATTTTCGGATTTCTTGGTCAGAGATGAAGTAATAAGTGGAGATTAGAGAATTGTTGATATTTTTGTTTGCAATGATAATATCTATTGTGGAGGTGATATTATTGAGATTTGGAATGTCCATCAGAAGACTAAATTGATAAAGAAAATTTCTCCGATTGATTCCTTGTCATCTATTGGATACGATCAGAATAAGAATTTTGTATATGCTGGACTGAGGAATGGATTAGTAATAATCTTCGACGTTTCTTACAATCATCAATAGGCATTCACTGCTCATTAGGGCTAAGTTAAAAAGATTTAATGGTTGAACTCTAAGAATATGTTATTTACTGCAGGGGATGATTGGACACTTAAGTTATGGGATTCATAGAATAACCTATTGAAAGAAGTGACTCTTGACAACCCTATCCAATCATTTTTTGTCTCCCCAGATGAGACCTATTATATATTATAGTAACTCAATTCAATGTCTTTATGGGACTTAGACAACGTAGAACTTGTAGAATACATGGCTAGAATTTAGAAGACTTCTAAGGTTTTAGCAGTTTTTCCCAATTAGTAAGTGTATTGGTCAGAAGATACTCAGGTATCAGTATTGCCCATCATGAATAAGAAGATTAGATTTTCATTACTTTAGTCCAAAAGATCGCATTTTTCTTAGGCCATTGAAACAACTGATAAAATGATATTGACAACTGATTTCAAGGGAAGTATATTCTTTTGGAATTTCGATGGAGAGAAGATTAAGTCTCCCATTGTTTTAGACAAAAACGAATTGCGATCAGTGAAGATATCTCAGGATTATACGAAAATCATTCTAGGATTCAAGAATTTACTGAACATAGTCAACTTAAATACAAATGAAGTCATTTACACCAAAGACATCCCTGATACTTGTTTACTGACAGCTTGTTTTCTGAGCAATACAGAAATAATCGCAGCATCGGAATCAGAGAACCTCTAAACTCTAATATTCAGCATTGCCAATGCAAACTAATCGCCTATTGTAATTAATGAACATGTTGGGTCTTCCTTTGGAGTCTAGGTTCACATTTAAGGACAGACCACTACTTACTTAACATATGGAAATGATAAATCGATTAGATACTATGTAAAATGTGAGAAGGACTACTCCTGTAAAAATGCTTATTCATCTCAATAGAGATTTGAATGTCAAGGAGCCCTTATATAGAATAGTGAAATTTCATCCAAGTCGAAGATTGATCTGAAGGAATTGTTTAAACAAAAGAAGGCAATCTTCGTCGATAAGAAATGATAGATATTTACCATATATCTTTTAAGGTTATATGTTATAATTTATATGATACATTTTTTCAATTGATTTTATTTAAAAAAACCTTGGTATTTTTAATCTTACAATTAATATCAAGATTATATAACCGTTGGAATACAAGTTTATAAGATTTTTTAAATTGGTCAAAAATGGCTTAGTTTAATTAGAATTTTAATTGTAAATGAGTTCAAGGTACCATAAACAAGATTAGAAATTCGACAAGGAGTTCTTGGCCATTGTGGATGCATTTGGAGGCAAGAATTGCACAAGTTGGACTTAAGTAGCAAGGAAGTTTGAATTACAAACAGGAGAAAAAGTGCAGAAAGCCAATACACTTCGATATCGTTGGGAATAATTAACAGGATATTCAGAGAATTTTACAAAAGAATAACAAATCTAACTAATAGAAAGTGATATCAAATCCAGAGGAGTCAAAAGATAAGGCTTAAACGATTTCTATTAATTAACAGGAATTAAGTAAGTAAATTAAATTGAATTTTTAGATTATACAAGGGAAGATTTTGTAGAATCTCTTCACAACATATAAAATAGGCAATCCAATCAATTGATGAAGTGTTTGCAAAGGAAAGGAAACATAGGAGATGTGGAAAAAAAGATGCAGAATTCAGATTAAAATTATCACATTTGAGCATATATATACTACTCAGAGCCAAAGACACTTTGAATTCAGAGGGATTCAAACAGAAGAATAAAGGGTTGGATCCATTCGAACAATATCTCTGTTAATAATTAATAGAAGCATCGGAGATATGTGAAAGATTATATTTGATGCATGCTCGAGTATTTTAAGCAGACAGAGTGGACAGATATCAATCATATATGAAAGTAATCAACAGAAACTAATACAGGAAATTGATGTTTTATGTAGAATACTTGGACATCCTAAGGAAAATCAGTGTGGAACAATGTACAAATGATACAATGGTATCTCATCCTTTGGTGCTCAGAAACATCAAAAAAAATAAGGAAACATTGGTGTATAAGAATCTGATCTTGGAGAATGACTGGTTCTAAAAATATTAATGGTTTAATGAATGCACATTGACATAAATCTAAGAGGAAGAGTTCTCTTTGTTGCTTAAATCAAGTACGAGAAAATCAAAACCAAAGAGTTCGCAATGCAGTGTTGATCCTTCAGAAGTGGATGATTAAAGACAAAACAAAAGAATTGAACTCAATAATTTACAATTTGACTTCATCCCTAAGCATTGCTAAAAGGTTTATGCCAAAATCAATTCTGGCAAGGCTAATAACAAGAATGAGAAAGAATACCGAAAATTCAGAGGTCATTTCATCAAACCTGGAGATACTAGAACAGATACCAGATACACCAAGATATTCACATGTGATGATGATTCTGAATATGATGCTGATCAAAATGAACAAGAGGCTTAGATACAAGCTTCTTCTAGGTAAGAAAAGTTATAAATATTGTACAATGAAGCCTTCATATCAGTGCCAAATAAGAAGAAATAGAATTAGAATAATATCCAAGACACGCCTCAGAATAATAATCCTTGATGAATTTTATCAATATAAACAAATTAAAAATAATGTAATCAAAATTCATCTATTTTTTCTACTATTTAGAATTTCTTCTCTAATCTTTATTATTCTTTCTTGGGTACTCAGCCTTTCCTTCTGTTTGCTCTTGCTCTTACCGTTTTCTCTATTGATTTCAATCTTATCTATCATGCTCTAAGCATCTCTAGATATACCTACAAATATGCTATGACTGAGTTACTTCTATATAGAAATTGATTATCTTTCAAACATTGCTCGATTCTTTCATTCACTTACTCCAACTCATTTAATTTTAATATTATTCTGTATATTTCTTTTTCATTCTAATTCTAAATTGAATTGTAATGAGTCTAATTTTTAGTTATTCATTTTCACCTTTGCATTCTTTCTGGCTCTTTTGGTTTCTTCCTTCTTGTTTTACAAATAAATCTCTTAGAATTTATTTCCAATAATGGCTACGGGAAGTGAAAGTAATAATACTCCAAAAATTAGACTCAAGACTCCAATAAATTTTCCGAGTAAAGATTTGGGAACATAATCTCCATACCCTACAGTTGTTATTGTTATGATTGCCCACCAGATTGCTTAAGGGATATTTTAGATTTGACTATCATCCACAAACTCTTTCTCAGCGAAGTACATAAAACTAGATATCAATATCACACCTCAGTAGTTTGAATAAATCAATACATATCATGGTGAAAAATAGGAGCAATGAAAGTGCTTGCATGCTTTCTGATAGTCCTCTTATTAATATCTATTCTACTTATCAATCACATACCTTGACTCCCAGAGAGAAAGTGGAAAACTTAAATATTCTAATGAGACGAAGAACAATCAGCATTCTTAATACCTTAATTCTAGGATCAACCCACACGTCAACAATATACAAGATTTATTCAATTATAGAATATACCAATGCAAGTATATCCACTAAATTAAAAGGTTCTTAATTAGTTACTAATTTACTCTTAAAAAATTCAGCCAAAGTTTCATCAAAAGCATTATAAGAGGCCACTCTGAAAATATATTCCACTAAAAAGTAACCGCTCACTCCTGAATTAGCAGTTACCCAAATGTCCATTATTCCCAATTCCTTTTCAGTCTCTAAAATTAGTAATATAATATCAAGTGAGATTATGAAGATCGATAAAATTGATAAGAAAAACGCCTACATTATTCATTCTCTTACTAACTTATTGCATTCGTAATCATTCAAAATTAAGTAAATTTTTTATTATATTTACTTTTTCCTCTCCGATGAATACTCCCCAGAAACTGTTTGTCCTATCTAAGCCTACGACTTTGCGGATTTAATAGTTTTATATGATTAATCATCCGAGGGTTAATTCATTATTTTCTATTTTCCTTGAAAAATATTATTAATAATTTATAGTTGCAGAATAAGTAAAATATTACAATGTTAAAGTAAGAATTATATATTATTTTGTTCTTTCAATAGCATAAAAACTCAAAATAGAATTGCCAATTATTTTTGAATTATTAAATATAAAATCATTAAAACAATTAAACACAGAATTCCCTCAATTATTCATCCTAAATAGATATCTATATAATTTTATGTTTTTTTTTCTAATTTTCAAATTCCAAAATAGCATCCTTCAAAGATAAAGCAATTCTATTAAGCAAAAAGTTTTGATTTTCCTTTTACTCAAAAATTGCTTATGGTATCGCTAATAATGGAATACAAATAGACTCAACTTTCAATTGCTCATTACATATTTACAATCTATTGTATTACAAATATGATTTACATCTTTTAAAAAAAGTATTGCAATTTCTCAGCTCTTGTTTTCCTCTATTACACAGGACCAATGAATGTTAAAATATATTTGATCTTTTGTTCTTATAATTTAAAACTCTTTGACAAAACCCATCTATTCCCTTTAGCAATCTATTCTCTGATATCCTATTCGAGAGCATAACCTGCCTTTTCTATTATTTTCCCACTTGCTCCAAAATATGGGTTATTTTAATTCACTGGATTTACAAGCACTTCGACATCCCTTACATCCGTAATGTATATATTTGTGGTCTTGACATACTCTTAAGATTAGAATGTTTTTTAAAACCCATAGAGTACATCTTCATTATGGCAAACTACTATAATTTATATTTCATAGCCCAGTTTAAATTATTCTTAAACATCAATAAATGCTTTTTTATATTAAAAAGCCCAAACCTTTGGTTCAAAATTATCAAAAATTTAACACAAAATAGGAATAGCCACCTTCCTGTAATTCAATTGGTAGGACTTAATAACTCTAAAATGTAGTTTATAAAATACATATTTTTTATAGACTATATCATTAAATATTCATTGAATTTTTCTGGCTCAATTACAAATAGTAAATTTTTTACTTGTTGCTCATTTAATAAGTTATAACTCTTCATGCGATCCACATAACCAATATCAAATCTGATATCTGCCAATTCTTAATCCTTCTCTTCCTATTATTTCATCTCCAAGAATTGGCTAAAGTCCAAAATCAATTATTTCTCCTTCACCTTATTCAATAACACTGCCTATTCCTTTTATCCACTCTCCTACATTCTTTTTGCTTTTTCCCTTTCCTTAAGCTTCTTAAATGCTTTCTCAAGCTTTTCCTATCCACACTTCTTAAATATTTCTCCAGAAACTCCAGGCTCTCTAAATAATAGTGGGTTTGTTGGAAGTATTATTGCATCAAGATTTTGATATTGGGTAATATTCCCTAGTTGAATATTGACATTAATATTGCCAATTTTAGCAATGGTGGTAGACAATTACATGGAAAATAATAATTATTATAATATTAGAAATCTTATATATATAAGTGGATATTACAGTTATTTAGTATAATTCATCTGTTTTATGAATAATTCAACATAAATTCTCTTAAATCTCAATTTTCAACGATAAATCAGTCCAAGTCTAAAAAGCATTGATAATGCAAAACCCAAATTATTTGCTATAGAATTCAATAATAATAGATTTAATTATTTTAGAACTGTTTTTGATTTTCAAAAATAGAGTTGACATATTAAAATGCTGAAAAACAATACTAATTTAAAGAGAGAGTGCTTAAATTGTGATTTTAGGATAAGATTTCTGTATGAAAACTGATTTATTATATTTTAAACATCAAATCAAGTTCACTTCTTAGATTTCTTTTGCTTTTCATATGTTTCTCTTAACTTCCTATCATTTCTTTGTAGATTTTCTAGTATCTCTTTATTTTTTTAGGCTAAAGGAATATCACCAACTTTCAAAGCTTACAAGTCTGACCTATTTTTGTGATCGCTTTCCAATGGTTATTTATCCATTTTAATTTTATGAGGAACAACGTATCTGTAGTCCCAATATCTCACATTATCGAAATTGATGAATCCAATGTATGTTCCAAAAACTGTAGAAACCTTCTAACCTTTGCAGGTAACATCGGCTTAAAAGAAATCAGATGTTCTTTAATATGAAATAGGATTTACCTTTTTTTGACTTTGCCTATATCGATAATACATGACAGACCATTGGCTTTGTCAGTGAAAGTAATTCTGTCGATGGACTCCTACCTTAATTACCCAAAGAAGGTGCCACTATACAATTCATTGGGGAAATCAAAGTCAATTTTTTATCCATCGTTGAATTCAATCGATCTTTTGCCTTTATTAATGATCTAAAATTAGAACTTAGAAATATACAGTAACAGAGTTTAATCCAGCTCTGCCTTCGACTAGATAGTATCCATAATATTTGTATTTTCTATTTGGACCAAAGACCAAGAAATAACTGACAGGAGGGTGATGCATGATTTATTCACAATAAACTTGAGTACCATCATTATAATTGGCTTGAAGAGTTTCTCCTAGTATTGGGTTGAGCTTTGATATAATAAATAAAATACAGGTTTTAGGAAGGTGTTCGTCCAGAAAAATGAAGACAGAGTGGCTGTAATAACAAGTTTGAATCTCTCTAAGAAATCAGGTGTCATCGTGGCTTTGGTAATGTACAAGGGGAAAACAGAGGCTAGTTGCTAAATAATGGGTGATACTTCCATGAACCGATGTTTCCAAGGCAGTCTTGGGAATCATGACCCTAATAGGGAAACTGACTTTAGTAAGATTTAAGGATCCTGACAATATTTTCTTCCCAATTTATTTGACCATTTCCTTTCCCACACTTCTTGCTTTGGTTACTACTTTCTTATCGGCACAAATTCTGCCTCCCTTTTCATACCCCTCTGGATGACGAATGTCTTCATCATTAGGAAAGTATTTAAAATTGAGCACCAATTATAGGATGTCATCAGCTGGGATGTCATGGTATCCAACGTATTCTAATTTATCAGGATCTGCAATTCCTTCATTCTCTTTATCCTACTCTTGAACTTAGGCTATTGGATCAAAGCCTTTAGCCTCCAATTCTTTATCCTCGTTTGTAACCACTTATGTTTCATCCTAATGTAATCCACAACATCAAATACATCTACAAAATCACTTTCATCTTTTTCTTCTTGTTAAGCTGAATTCGATTCTGGCTTCTTCTTTTTGAACCAACCAAACATATACTGTATATTTAATATTCAATAAATTTATTATCAATAAGCAGTGTTTAATGTCTCAATTTTCATTCTCCAGATTCTCTTTCTCCAAATCTTATAAAATTGATAATATGATTCTTATAAATAATTATAGTGATAAATCATTAGAATTGAGTTGTTTGAGATTCATAAAATGAATCCAAGGATGCCAACATGTGCAGTATGTTTCTGATGTATTTCTTGAATGCTTTGTCAGCCTCAGAGATCTTATTAAAATCTGTTTTCTTAAAAAAGCTGAGCCATTCAAGATTAACATCAATAGGAATTTTCAATAGATTCGCCCTTTCTTCTAAGATTTCCTCTCTAGAATTGATATTGTCTTAAACTCTCCGTAATCGATCATTAAATTCAGTTAATTTCTATTTGTACTCTACTCCAACCTCTTTGCTTAATTGCAGAGCCTCTTAACTAGCCTTCAAGGTACTCTGAGTTGAAGAATTGTATCCTTTTTACTTAAACCCTAAAGAGGCAAGTGTTGATTAAAAAGAGCCGGATTACCTGAACTTAGATCTAGGCATCAAATTCGACTCTTATAAGTACAATGCCATCAACTCAACCTTCTTATCTTCAGAATTCTCCTGTTTTAGAGAGTTGGCGGAATTTAATATAATTTCAAACTAATTATTCCCACAACTCTCTAAATTGTCAGTGTCTTCAGTCTTCTTGAGTTTGGCAATCTCAAAGGAATTCTAAGATTTAACCTCTGATACTAACCTTGCAATTTTATGTTGAATTCCCAAACATTCGAACTCCACTTCAAAAAACCATTGAGGATATAGTGATCTCAATTCATCTAATTTATCATCAATTTGTTAATAGAAATCTTAATTAATAATTTATTGTTGTTCCTCTACAAGTGATTCTATAATGTTATGGCCTAATAGAGTCTTCTCGTAACTAAAAAGCTCCCTATGACCTATCCAATGAATATTGTATTCGTTTATATCGACATCCAAAGCAACTATTACGTAGTTCTTTATTAAGTCTCGGTCTTCTTCTATTTTTAGATTTCTAAAACTCAATTTTAGTATGTTCTATATCTCTGTTGTCAAGGTGATTTAACACCAAAAGCGAATCATGTAACCTATTAATTTAAAATGGGGATAGAAATTAGACTAATCCTTCTATACATTAAATTGCTTGTCGTACATCAATTGCAATATATCGAATTGTAGATCATACTAATTTTAAAAAGTGTTCATCAATTTCTAATATTAATGATATAACTTAATGTAGAGTCTGATATTATGAGCAAAATCATTTTGTTTATAATTTTCCAAATACAATTCCTTATAGAATTAACACAAATGCGCAATGTTGTAGAATACTACACAACAAGTCTCCAAGAAATAATTTTTAGGAAATAGAGAGTGTTACTGTTTAAAAAAATCTACCACGCACCATTTCAAACATATAAGAGAATGAAGATCATGTTCCTCTAAGGTAGAATTGAGGAAATTGTATTATTGTTATTCTGGAAGGCCTTCAAAATGTTCTCTTTTTCGTATATACTTTGGTAATGATAATGCCAATTAGAACCAATCTGATGTGAACTAAGATATTGGGTCGTTTTAAAGAATAGCCAAAGGTTCAGAGAATAAGTTTGATTCTTTTAATTGATTGATTTTTGAAGAATGACTCCTGATTTCCTATTATCGAATTTAAGGGTATAGCATAAATCCTAGATTCTATTAATGCACCAATTAATTAAAGTGATTCTGACAGAAAGAACATTCCCAAATTGATTGTCTTATTTCTGTTATCTCCTTTTAATCTTATTAAAACAAGCCTTAGTCTTAATCTTTTTTGATATTTTGCACAGAAACATTTTGCGATTTGTCGCCTTTCTACTTATTTGTATTAATATTTAAATCGTTTGCCTCTTCTGGTTCATCCTCAAAACATTAAGCCCAAAGATTTCCCATTAATTAATTAATTCATTGTAGAATAGTATAAATCAAATTTAAGGAATATTCAAAATATCCTTATTAATTTGAACTTTCAGGATTTCCAAGCTCTAACACAACAAAATCCATTTCATTTCACCTGTACAAGTATTTTCTACCTTGACATTACTTATATCAATTCCTTTGAAAATCAATATAAATTATGAGCAGAAAATCAACACAATTTTATCTTACCAATCTATATATATAATCTATTATTGCAATAAGTTACATTAATAAAAAAATCATTATTCAGATTTATTAAAACTTATATATTCTTAATATTGCTTTTAAGTAAGGGAAGGCTTAACTTTATTAATTGCGAACTCAAAATCTTCTTTCCTAACTGGCCTAATATTTTAAGCAGACATAGCCACCAAAGTATTTTTATCCTCTCTTAATGGCTGCATACAGGCTTCCTTAACCACTGCCTTAATATCACTTGCAGAATAACCTAATTACTATATATGCATAGTATTACCAGCCAATTTTTCACATATCTTATCAAAAGCTATATCTAAAATAGAATGACTAACAGCCTACATAAGTGATTTAACTAGACCCAATCTAGCTTTTTGATCAGGTTGATCAATTAGTATTTTCACAGTCTTTATTATTTAAATTCGTTACAAATCTTCTAAGTACAGCCCCATCAATATCTTAAGGTCTATTAGTAGCTGCAATTAAGAAAATTCTATCTTGATCGGTTGTCTGCATCCCGTCAAATGAAACCAAGAATTCAGTCTTTAATCTTCGACTCGCTTCATGTTCCTCGCTGGATCTGCTAGATAGAATGGAATCAATTTCATCGATAAATATTACCTAAATAATTCATTTCAATACTGATGGCTAAAACTTAAATGCTACGTTAAATAAAGTTTTCATCAATTTTTCTCCTTCTCCAAGATGTTTCTATACCAAGGTTGAAGCACTAACATTGAAAAAACAACATTTTATTTAATTGGCTACAGCTTTGGCTAATAGAGTTTTCCCATTCCCAGGTGGCCCATAGAATAAAATACCTAAGGAGATTCCTTATAATGTTAACCTTTGGGAGGAGCACGAATTCCTGTGAAAATGTCAGGTCTTAAATTTGGTAAGACAATCACTTCTTCTAATTAATTTTTTATGCTTTCTAAGCCTACAATCGAATCGAAAGTAACATCACATTTCCTTATCATTGCGGTCTCTATTATTTACTTACTGTATGGATCTTAGGAAGCCTTATTAAATATAATTTGATACTAAGTGTTATTGTAGTTGATCAACTTTCTGTGTACACATTTCGGCTGTGCTTATGGCCTTTATTAATTGTTAATATTCTGCAGTATGATCTTCTTGGTTTTACTCTACATATATAAATTATATTACTTTTTTATTTTATTATGGGTAATAACACTTGAGAACTATTTATCAAAACAACTTTTGCCATAGAATATTACTGATTCTAGAAGTAATTCATACCCACTTCTATCATTTTAGACGCATTCTGAATTTATTAATTTGGATCTAATTAGACATTCTGTTTTTCTTTAATTTTTATTCTGCAATTCTAAAAAGGCGATCTGGATTTATTAACTTATTATTTATCATTCTTTATTGTCTATTTTATTGAATCTGACATTTCAGAATGTGAAAATTATATAAATATATAATGATAAAATATTAATTAATAAAATCTTGAGAATATATAATACATTGGTGATCTTGATTTAATAATTTAGTCTCCTTTTTAATGTATTTTAATGATATTGAATCTATTTCTGAATGAGATACTACGAATAAAAGAAAATAAAGCTACATAAATAATTTAAATTATTAAGATAAAAATTGTTAGTAAATAAGATATGATTCTATGTTATTAATTAATTTTCTGTCAATTTAGTTGCTGCATAATGAAAAATTAGAAACATCAGTCTCCCTAATCATATTTTCTAATAGAAGAGAGAGCACTACTTTTTATTAATTAAAATTGATTGTTCTATATAAATTCTGCAAGTAATTTAGATATTTATTTTTCAAAAACGATTTTTTAAAAATATGTATTAATCATTTTAAAGACCTATCAATTAGGGACAAAGAATTGTTTTCAAATGAAATCATTTAGTTTGCATTAATATCTATATAGTAATCCTAGTTGGACTTGTACTTGGATAACAATTTGTTATAAGGGAATATTTAATTCAATTCCTCGATTAGTAAAGGAATGTAGTTTATGTAGTTTTGTTTGTTTTATGGACATTTAATCTTTGAATTTTTCATTACTGATGAGACAGCATAACCCTCCAAAAACTATTACCAAGCATCTCTTGCTTGTTTTCTAATTTATTATTAACCCTGGATTATTAACTATTGATTAGAAAACAACTTTTTTAGATCTCCTAATTCAAACTTTTTCTACTATGATTCCTTACTTTTTTTGAGTTCTTTTAAGTAATTGACAACTGATTGTAATCTATTATCCACAGCCCAATGATAAAATTAATTCATGAAAAATGGTACCACTCTTCGTTTCAGAGTGTCTAAATTCGATGACTGTATTCTCATTTCTTTTAATTGTTCAATGAATTTAAGTGTCAAGTCTAAATTTTTCTTATCTATTATTAATGAGACTTTTTACTCATTATTAGATTCTTAACTTAGATTTATTTCTTGAATCATTAAAAATGAAAATTAACTTATTTGGATTGCTATTTAAAATCTATATTTTTAAATAGAAAATTATCTTTTTTAGATATATTAGTTACAACACCTACTAATTTGTCATGGTTTCACAATTAATAGGAATTACTCAATTCCCATGTTAATTAATCTATTATCTTTTAATAGAAAGAGTCTACTAGATCAAAAATTTAAATTATCCATCTACTATATATATTTTATGTATCTTTATAATAGTAAAATATAAATAATTTATATTTTACTATTACCATTTTCATTCTATTATTAATTACTCAAAACCTTTAGCCATCATATAATATTATTACTTAACATATCCTATTAATCAATCAACAAAAATAATTAATCATCCTTAATTAGCTTTCAATTTTATTATTTTCTAAATCTATTGCAAAGTCTCATCTTTATCAGTTCTCCTCTAAACAACACAAATCTTCATTAGAAGGTAAGAAAATTAAATATAGAATCTCTAAATTATTAAATATATATAATTGATAAATAATTGATAATGTATTAAGTTTTATATATTTTCAATATTGTAAATAATATTAAAGTGAGGAATTTTCTTCAATTCGTGCTAAAAGTTAATTTTAATTAGGGTATTATTCTTAGGATTGATTAAGGTTGAAAGTTGTTGAATCAAACTCGATAAAGTCTGGATTTTTGGTTTTGCAATATAAGTAGCATAAAATTACATGAGCAAAGGCAAAATTAATTTATTTATTTTTATCTTCTAAATAATTCATTATCTATTAAAAGAATCCTCTATTAAATTATTATTCTTCATCATTATACTATGATATTTAATCTTATAAACTTTCCTCTGAGAATTATGTTAGTTACTCTTTGGCATCTAACAAATAATATGAAATTAATTCATTATAAGTTTCCATTTCGCGATTCTATTCTACAAGTAACCTATAGTCATCTTTATATTGCTTTTGATTTTTATATTGATCAATATTCTCCTTAATCAATTTGAGAATACTTTAACATAGTTTTTATATTTTAATACACAGTATATCCATAAAATGAGGAAATCGAAGAACTTAAATAACCTCTTGCAATGTATTAGAAAAGAAGTACATCTCATTTATCTATTTATTAATCTTATCTATTTCCAAGCTTAATATATTGTCTGCAATTTCATTTTTTATCTCTGACATATCCAAAAATTTAATGGATTTCTATAATTACACTTCCTTCTAAACAATTGATTAGTTTGGTTGTTATTGATACATCAATTTGGATTAACTTGCCTCTATTTTTCCTGATTGTTCCTAATAAAATTCTTGATACCCATCAAATGAAATCATATTAGCTTGCAATTAAATTTTGCTGGTTGTACCTAATAGAGTTAAAATTAAAAAGGTACTATAAAAAAGTTTGTCGGAAGCAAAAACAGGATGACGTATTAAATCTTTGAAAGTGATTCGGTTGTTAGGATTGAACTAGAGCATTCTCTCCAAGAGATTTATGGTGTGAGCTGACACATCAATTTTATTTTTCTAAAAGCTAATGTTTGCTATAATTTAATATATAATTCTTATACGTTGACTATCCGATATGTAATCCCTTTATTTAAATGGAAATCTATCAAATAGGATCTAATAAAAGATGACTCCTACAGAAAACATGTCTGATGATAATCCATATTGATTTTAATTAAATATTTCTGGAGCCATTGTAAATAATGTTCCCAACTATAATACGGATTTTTGATCCTATAATAATTGAGATGTCTAATACTGCATTTTATAAGACTTTAGAGAATCCCAAATCGGCAATTTTGTAAATGGAATTATTATGAACCATAATATTTTGCAATTTAAGATCCCTATGAATTATAAATTTTGAATGTAAATCTCTTAGACCCATTAAAATTTGCTTAATAATTCCTATAGCATCGTTTTCGGTCAGTTTCAGTTTAGGATTCTTCAATTGTTGCTCCAAGTCTCCAGCTAGAATTAAAATAGTTAATTAAGTTTACAATTACAATATTCCATCACTATATAGCAATATTCTAGATCTTAGAAAGACTCAATAAATCCGACAACATGGTCACTCTTAACTAACTGTAGAGCTTTAATTTCTGATTATACTAGCTGTCCTACAATTCCATCATTATCTTAAAATCTCTTTTTCTAGATAAGTTTTATGGCGACTATTTCACGATTCTCAAATTTCACTGCTTTAAAAACCTAAATTGGTACTTCATAATTACTTGTCCAAATTGACCTTTCCCTATAAATGATTAAATCTAATATCCCTGAATCATTTGACCATTTAATAAAAAATATTGGTTTGCTTATTTCATAATTTCTATTACTTATATTTTAGAAATTCAATATATCAAAATAATGTGGAAGAATCATTTAATCTTTAAAATTGAAAGGTAGAAATATAAAAATAGAAGTAAGGATGGATTATAATCAGAATCTAGTATACTAGATATATTATTTTTGATTAATAAGATAAATTTATCATCATAACTCTTTTTGATTGAATCGATAAAGTTTTCAATTAAATTAGAATTATTTTTCTTAATGTAAATTTATAAATAGAAATCTAAAATTACTCTTAATATAATGATTGTATCATTTAATTATAATGATGTTCGCAGTTTTATTAATGTAAAATAATAACAGAAATTGGCTTGTCTCATTTAAGGCTTTCATTTATGAATTAGTCAAATAAAATATTATGAATTTTATGGATTTGTAGTTGATTTGATTTAAATAGTTGATTGTAGTATTATTATTATTTAAAAGAAATAATAATTATATAAAATTTGAATAATTTATCAATTTTGCATCAATATTATACTTTCTTGATGATATCAATTATATTTTTCTTTTTTATATTCAAGAATTCTTCATCAATATCTATTTTTTATGAACACAAATCTTGAAAACGATTACATTTTTAAATATGTAGCAAAACAATTACTAAATCCTTCTTTTTTTTAATTTCAGCTTATTTATTGATTTCCTATTTAATTTATGCGTGTAGTTCCATTAATGCTTGGCAATAACTCAATGAAAATACTCCAGTTGCCTACTCCTAGAGTTCATTATTATATTCTTATCTCAAATTAGTGAAAATTTTCTAGTTTCCTTTTCTAATGGATAAAATTTAATAATAATACATCTAGTTAAGCACAATGTGAAATTGTGAATTTTGAATATAAGTTAAGAAGCCTCCTTTCAATTCTTATAATTGTGGATTTTTCTCCAAATCTTAGAGATAACATTTGCTTTCATTTCTAATTCTTTTGAGGAGCATAAATTTGCCAATTAAGGACTTTGATATATGGTCAAATTTACTTAGCTTTAATTATCAAACTATATTTCATTGATTTCATTATATGTCCTAAAGCAAAATTACAAAGCATCATATAAAAAATGATATTTTTGAACAATTTGTGTATTCTATCGACTACTAGAGTCACCAATTTAACTTTTTATGTGAATACTACTGTAAGTTCTGTCTGTATTGTAAATAGTTTCTTTATCTTTGAGTTATTATAGCGAATCAGAGATTGGTTATTAATGTTGGGACAAATATTAGGTAGCTCTTAATTCAAAAGCTAACTTAGATACATTTTCTGAATTTTAATGATTATTGTTAATTTAATTAACTCTCTATAGGCTCTCAACATATTAAGATTATTACTAAGATTTAAAGGCTTCTTCATTTTGTTTCAGATAATTCATCCCTTCTTAATAAATTTGAACATCTTTTTTATTGTTATAAACCTACTCATAGAAACGAGAAATTTCTATTTTGCTAACATTTTTCTAGGCTATTTAGCTGACTTTAGACATATTTTGAATTTTTGTGAACATGGAATACTAAAATAATTAAGGAAAGGTTAATCTTTCTTTTGGATCTTCCTTTAACATTTTGCCAATGACTTCTTTAGTCTCATTTTGAATTACCACCCCATACCTTTAAAAATCGATTTTCTCTATATACTAAACAATATATTTATATACATTGGCGAATGGCTGATAAATAGACTTTAACTTCTGAGCAGTCGAAAGGCAATTCCCCAAAGAGTAGCTAATAGAATATGCATCCAATAGAGAATATATCTGATTATAAGCCATAGCTATCATATCTAGCCACTTCTGGTGCCATGGTCCCAATTGTTCCCAAACACAAGGTGACCTCCATATCCTAGATGTGATTTATAATAAAAACTTTGTTTTTCAATTATTTACAAAATCCAAGATCTGCTATTTTGACTTAATCGCTGTGCATTAAAATATTTGCCAATTTGATATCTCTATGAATTATATTGAATTTATGCAATTCGCTTAATCCATTTAAAACTTAAATTATAATATCTATGACTTTCTGTTCTTGCAATCTTCTACCTTCTCTTTCCCAATATTTTTCCAAGTCTCCTCCTATAAGTTCATATTAATTAAAGAGTTACCATTACAATACTCCATTAAAATATAGCAATTAGACCTCGATTAAAAATAATGTTCTAATTTCAAAACATTGGGAGAGTCTATTTTAGCTAGGACACTGATCTCATCTTTTAGTAATTCTCCGACTATTCCATCACTATTGCTGAGAGATTCAAATTGAATAATTTTAATAGCATGATAGGATAAATCAAAAATATTCTAACATTTATAAACCTATTAAAATTAATATTTTAATATAGAGTTACGCAACCGAAGGACCCCCGTCCTAATTCCTCAAGGAGTTTAAAGTCTCCAATTTATTTTCCACTCTGCATTTTAATATTTTATTTATATTATAAAAATTGCAATATTTACCATTCTATTTAATCTATGCTATTTGATAATTAAAAATATATTTATTTTTGTACTCTTTTTTAATGATTTTTTGTACTTGATGAAATTGAAACCTCAAACAAATTTTCTTTGTAAATGTCCAATTGTAGGACTAATATGATGAAGTATCAATTTAAATTTTTAGAATTTAGAATTATCTATTCTTAATTAAGAATTAAAATTTAGGAATTCAGAATTATACACAGATCAAGATTTTAAATTCAAGAATTCCAAAAGTTTTAAAGCATTAATTAAAAAATGGAACAATTCACAATCCCTAATACTTTTAAGGCAGCCTAATTAGTTGAATACGGAAAAGATCTGAAGATTGTAGAGTTAGAAACACCACAATTGCAAGAAGGACAAATTTTGATCAAGGTGGAAGCAGCCCCAGTCAATCCATCAGATTTACTGTTGAATGGTGGAAACTACCCTGCCGGAAAGGTCTTACCTGCAACCCCAGGAATTGAGGGTTCAGGAATTGTAGTCTAATTAGGGTATTTGCATAAAGTTATCCCTTAGGCCAAATGTAAATAATGTTAAGTTAGGGGCTAAAGTTGCATTCACTGCCCACCAAAACTATGGCAGCTATAGTCAATATACTGTTACAACCAATCAATAAGTAATCCCACTTGATGATGACATCTCCTTTGAATTAGGAGCATCCTCAATAGTAAACCCTGTTACTGTTCTCCTCATGTTGGTAGAAACATAAGAATTGGGAGCCAAGGCAGTTGTCCATACTGCTGCTGGTTCAGCCTTAGGAAGAATGTTAGTTCGATATTTCTAAGATTCTGGAATAGATGTGATCAATGTTGTCCGAAGACCAGAACAAGCTGATCTCCTTAAAAAAGAAGGTGCCAAATATGTCTTAAATTAAACATCAGAAACCTTCTTCCAAGACTTGAATGTGTTAGCTACTTAATTGAAGTAATATTCCTATTTCATTTTTTTAGTGCCACTGTCTTCTTTGATGCCATAGGAGGAAGTTTGACAGGTTAGATACTCAGCTAATTACCAAACAAATCAACAGCCTTCGTTTATGGATTGTTATCAGGATAACCTGTCAGTGATGTCACTGCCAATGATTTGCTTTTCAAGAGCAAGACTGTTAAGGGATTTTGGCTTACCACTTCAGTCCACAAGTATAATCCATTTGCTGATGTCGATGCACGAAAGAAATTAAACGAACTACTCAAAACGACATTAAAAACAGAATATGCTAACCAATATCCTTTAGAACAAATAAATGAAGGAATTGAGTTCTATAAAGCAAATCAAACTTAAAGGAAGATCTTGATTAGACCAAATCAGTGAACCAGTATATATATTAAGTAACAATTATTATAAAATTTTATATTATATATCATTAAAATAGAGGATTCAATAAGTATATCTATAATCTGTGTTCAGTTGAATTTTCTAGGGATAAGTTCTTACCTAATCGACGTCCTCCTGAAAGAGTTTTTATATCATACCAATAGCTTAATCTGTATTCACTTTCTTCATCATAATCATCACACCGTAATAATTGTATATTTTCATTAGGTGCAAATCCAAATGATTATTCTTACACTTAGTACCAGTAGATATTTCCATGTGTACTTTTAATCGCCTTTTTAGAATCAAAAGTTGGTCTAAACATGTCATTTGCAAAGTCACATGCTATTAAATCTATGATTTCTAAACTCAAAATGTTTAAACCTCCCATACATAGTAAAGGGTTATCTCCAGCTTGTTTGAAGACTATTTATTAGATTGAAGCCATTGTTTAAAGTAATATGGGCTTATTAAATAACTCATCATAGATTAATTCAAAACCCTTAAGGTTCTTTTTCGGTAGATGTAAATGAATTTTAATTAAATGTCTAAAATTCAAAAGTGTATATACGTAATTTTTCAATTGAATTATCTTTGTCATCAGATTCTCCTCCTCAATTTGATCTATTATTTCTTTTAATTTTTTCAAATGTTCTTGTTTTACTTTAATTTATTATGCAGATAGGGATTTGATATTTTCTTTCTTAACGTTCTTTATTTAAAGCATCGAAGATATTTCTTATATTTTACTTTTCATTTGAAATTCTAAATTAAGAAACTATGTTAGATTATTTTATATGGCTTCTACTTGACTCTAGAAATTGTTCCTATCTTTCTCTAAATTCATAGCATAACTTTATTTAAAGGTATCAAAACGCAGTTTTAATTTTGAAACACTGTCCATTACTTATGTAAGAGTCTTATTTAATGTTAATATATCCTCAGTCTGATTTGTTAATAACTATTGGTGCTATTATTCAAGCAAATTAAATTTATCTTTTAAATTTAAGACTTCATTCTATAAATAATCTTATCTTTGAGTTGTCAACCCTTGTTCCCTTTCAAATTTTAATATCTCAAATTGATTAACTTGCAAATAGAATAAATATGGAAACATTAAAACTAGGAGTAATAATAATAATTTATTGTACAAAGTTTATTTACTAAATTAAGTGACTTGTTTTTCAAGCACTTCTAATTTCTATTGGGACCTAAATGAATTATAAGACTAATTTTAACCTTTTTATAGTTGTTCGAATGTCCAAATCAAGTGTCTGCATATATTTCTCAATTTATGAGATTAGAGTTGCTAATTATGATTTTGAATCTTCTTAATATTTATTTTCATCTTCAAAGTAGAACTTAATATAGAAAAAATGAAATGAGTTTTGGTATGGAAATGTGAATCTTTGCTCCAAATATGTGGAGGTTAGATATTTTAGAAGCTTGGTTGTTTCTCCTTCTATTTTCTCAGTAGCATTCTTTATTAGATCAGCATTTCTACTTAATTATACTTCCTAGATTTTATTCTTTGAAAAGTCTAGTGCTTATTAAATTATCATTTGAATGAAAGTATTTCTTCTAATTTGTTTCTTTTTTATTTCATTAGTAAATTATTCGAGCTCAATGAAATCATCAACATGCTTTACAACTTTGTTTTTACTTAAATGATATTTAGTTAGACATTAGTAACATTAAATTTGCTTTTTTTCAGCTAAATAGCATTCCGCATTTAAACAAATATATTTTTCAGGACATTAAGTATTTTAGCAAATTACAAATTCCATAAGTATTTAATATAATATTTTAATATAATTTGAGCAAGAAATGTTGATAAATTTACATAATAATCAAATTAATATTACTAATAATCTCCATATATTCCATTAAGCGTGTTATTATTTAGGAACAAAATTAGAAAATATGATATTAATTTTTTTGTGAATGCTCACTGCTTGCCCTCTCTTAAAAGTGGACAAAGCGTCATTTATAAGAACTTCCAAAAAATTTGAAATTTTCTTAATTAATTATATTACAAGTGACACGATAATTAAAATATTTCAAGTAGAATATTTATTTAATCTATTAAACCTTTCCGATCTTAAATTGCCAATTCTCAAAATTTACCATTTCCCATCCTCCAATATTGCTTAATAATTTGTCTTTTTTTATTTTTCTGTTACTATTTTATGAAAAGAATCAGTTTTGACTTAATTAATTGTTATTTCAATTTAAATAGTTATTTATGACTTTCAGAGGGGACTGCAAACTTATGATTTGCTTGACATTTAAAGGAAATTAGGTTATAGATTCTATCTTGAGTTAAAATATTCAATCATTTAGATTTTATGACCTTTGGAAATTAAATTGTCTCTTCAATTTATTAGGTACTGATTTCACCATATGATCTGGAGTAAAATAGAGACTAACAAATAGCTAAAAGACCTAGTCTCTAAGATAATCGCCAAATGAGCATTATTTTCAAGCTCTAGATGAATTGATACATTAATGTGATAATATGGGTAAAGATGGATAATGTATAATAATCTTTCTCAGAAGATCATAAACTCAATTTGTTATATTACATCTGGATTAGATATTCAAAAACATAACTTTTGGATACTGAAATAAAATATGAACGAGAATTCTCAATAAAAAAATTCAATCATCCAATTCTAAGGATTACTTTACTTTCCTCATGGATTCTATTTGGGGATTGCCCAACTACCTTACATACAGGCTTATGAAGAGATATTTAATGGGAAAGCATAAGAAGATGTAAAATAGGAGGTTAAAGAGGAGTATGATTCAGAATCTGTTAAAAGGGAGCCTGAATCATAATCTATTAAAGATACTTGTAAAAAAATAAGTAAATTCAGTCCTTATATATGGCCTGGAGAGACTAAGAACTACTATAAAAATATTGGGAAAAAACTATCGTCATTCATTACAAATAGTTTTGACTAGCCTTATGTTAAATAAGACCCCTTTGTCATCTAATTTGTGAAAATTCAAGGTTAAAACTACAGCAGAATTCACTTTGAAAAGCTATTTACCTCACAAATTGCTCGAAAAATTGCAACATAATTTTTTGGTAATTATCAATGGTGTTCCCAATTTATTTAATAGAATAAAACTGAACTTGGATTGTACTTAAGACATAATAAGCATATGTATAAGAGGAAAAGCTCGACAAAAAAATGAAAAGCATTAATTTATATATGAATTTAAAGCACAAAATAATATCAAATCCATTTATTACATAGTTGATCAACAATTTTTTCAATATATTGGCAACACATAAAGCTAATGTAGTGCACAATTTATAAGGTGAATTGATTCTTCAAAAATAGAATTAATTTATCTTTTAATTTGCAAAATTTACTTTTCCAAAATGATTCCAAACTCGAGATTTCAATATTATTTATTTAACAATATATTAGTAATCACTTTAGAGATTATTTTTGTTATATTATGTTACTTTTTTCAATTAATAAGTGATTTTTAAATATATTATAATTCATATTATTTTTGCTAACATAATTATTATTAATTAATATAATACATATTTTGTGAAAAATTAACTTTAATATTATTGCAATTTTAAATGAATGAATAGTATATCCTTATGGTTTGATTCCAATTGATTTTATAATCAGAATTAATAAATACTTTTGCAATCAATTAAATAAACAAACCTGTTAAATTCTTTTATAAAAAAAAATGATTTTTTATAAGTATAATAATCTAACCTTTAAATCACAGAAATTTCTTCCCCTGGATTACATTGTCTATATAATGTTAAATCTTCAATTTACTTATTATATATTATAAATCCTACAATTCTTCTTTAATTAACTAGTATTGTAAGATAATTATAAAAATCATTCCTAACTTATATGGGATGATGAAAACTCTCTCACATCAAATAATAAATTAGAACTCAAATAGTATGTGGTTAATACAATATTTTAAATAAATGTTCTTGTTTCAACATTTGATTATTAGAAATATTTAGTATTTTTTTTAAGTATATATCATCAGCATATATATAAATTTTATAATATAAAGAACATTAATTTGATGATGTTATTAATGATATCAAATTTCTAATTTTTTATATTGTTGAATTATTTGTTGATCCCTTGAATCTTGTGATTTTAGTGAATCTGTCTTAAATAAATTCGATAATATAAGTCAATTTATACTTAATTCGTTTTAAGGATGTGCTAATTGATCAAGACATAAATGTATTCGAGGGATGTTTCAATTTTGGGTACAGAACTGTTGTGTCATTAATTCCTTCATGGGTTAATCTAGAATAGAAGTAGTTAGAAACAAAATACATTTAATATGCTCTTTTAGAATCTAAAGTAACATATAATAAACAGAATTTAGTGATAATTTATTTGAATAAGAAATCCATTCTCATAAATCAAAAATATGGTTTAATTTTTAATAATACTTTTTTTAACATTTAATCATAAAATCTATATTTACATGTGCTAGAGAAATTTTTATATTTTATTATTTCACATTTTTATTATTATGATATTAATTTTACTACTCTATAGTATAGTAGTGAGAGCATAAAAATTACTTAAAACTCTTGAACTCGATGTAAATAATAAAATCTCAGGAATAATCAATGTAGAAAAGAATGATGAAAACCTTTTAATAGTATTTTAATTTGATAAATCAACTTACCCTATAGCAATAGTTTCTGAGGAGCAAATTTCAGATTCAGATTTTAATACGACAATTAAGCCAATATTTATTGAAAGTTCAAAGGTTGTTTTTTTTGATTATGAATCAATTTAAACCCATTAATCCATCCATATTGTTGAAATAAAATATATGGAGAACATCTACTATTATGTCAAAGATAGATTTGGGCCATTTAAACTGAAAATATAAGTTTATTCGAAACCTCATTCTATATGCATAAACAATTGTTAAGGCTTTTAGGTCAATAGTATGAAGTAGAGTTCTAGGTGTAGTACAAAATGCGAATGCCAATTTGGATACTTCGGATCATATTGTTAGTTTGAATTAATAAATATAGAATAAGACGTAAATTATAAGATTCATTTAATTCCCCATAAAGCTGTGTATTTATCATTTTAATTGGAATAAGAAGCCATTTTAATAGCAGATGATGTCATTGATCCTATAAGTATCAAATCATTCGATTTATATAGCTGCTAGTTTTGGGGTTCAAGGGAAGAAAGGTTTCGAGATCCCAGATCAAACATCCTATACTGCTATTCTGCACAGTCAATTGAGTCTCACAAAATTGATTCAGAATTTAAAATTACAGTTTAAGGATGCTAAAATATTGATCATTGGATTGTATTGCAGGACAGATTAAACCATAAATGTTGTCCTTAAACAAGAATAAACTCCGTCAATATGGAGTGGTAATTGTTTGTTTCTAGCTTTTGCATCTTTCAACATAATTGTTATAATACTTTGTTTTGGAATCACAAATCTATGCAGACAAAAAGAGATAACAGTGAAAAAGAAGAGAAAAATAAAGATTAGACCCCCAAAGATAGAAGACCCAAAAAACTTCTCTGGTTCTTTTTTCAACAAATATTTCGAAATCTATGAATACGATGATTTCATATAAATAAATCCTCAGTACAATTAGAACACCTAATGTGTAGTCTGTATGGAGGATTTAAATCAAAAAGAAATTAGTATCACTCCTTGTGGTCATATATTTCACTATTAGTGTTTAAAGAAATGGCTAATGAGAATCCTTAATTGTCCCTCTTGTAGATTCCAAATAACTTATTAACAGGTTATCGAAGGAGGCTGGCTTGGAAGTAAGCTTTCATAAAATCCACTCTGTTAATAATCAAGTTGTTAATCACATTCAGGCATTCAAAGAAGCAATTCTTTCATTGAAAACAATGAAAATGCTGATAACGTTCAAATGGTTGAAAAAGGCGATGAAAATTGTAAATGCATAAATAAAGAATTCTGAAAATAGATTTAATGATTTGAATTTCAATATAGAATAATAAATAAAATAATAAGTAATGTTCTATCCAATAAATAATAAATCATCTATATTGCAAACAATTAGGACATGATTTTTATTCGGCACATTCCCTATGATAAACCTTCAAACATGCATCACAATATGTGACATTCTTGATATCAAAAGCATGGATTGGTACCATACACTTACAAATACTGCAAATATGCCCTCTCTTTTAACAACTCTTACAAACATCAATATGCTTAAATAAAATAACATAATATCCTTAAATAACTTTTGTCAAACTTCCATTGTATATTTCATATAAATCCTTTAAACTAAAACAGTTCCTCTTTAAACAGAGGTTCATTCTTTTATCGAGTAATGTTTGTACTAATTTTGGATCGCAAATCATGTCATATAATAAGTGAATTTATCTTTTGAGAACTAGAAATTCAAAAAGAGTCTTATTGAATTACAATAATTTCGATGTTGGAGGTATTTCTAGAATGGGTAGATCGTATAATTTATCTATTTCAGATTAAGCAACTTTAGAAACCTTGTAATGTCTCAAATCAAAACTCTCTAAGGCTTTCCATGGAATTGGCATTCTAACCACCGACATGCAATCATTACAAAAATAGCGACCGTGAAAAAAGCATAAATCACAATTTGCACCTATAGTTAAGAACCCATTTGAAATTGGCTTTTGACATTGCCAACATTTGAAACTCTATTCTTTCAATTCATATTGTGGAGGAGGCTATGTGAATCTGTTAATATTGAGAGTTTCGATAATTTCCTTATAGATCTAAAATGTTATAGTAAAGTAAACGAACCTCGTCATAAAGAATTTGAGAAGGTTTCTTTCCTTTATGTTTAGTGTAGAGGTGAGGTGGAAGTTTAGTAAATTGCTCGCCAGAATCAGGGTGTAAGGAATCTCGTGATTGGCTAAATAACCCAAGAAAATTGTTAGGCTTGTTGACGGTAACCTAGTTTTGGTTAATCCAAGACATTTAAAAAAATAATTAACAATTAATGTTTGATGAGGCTGATGGAGACTATGTTGAACAGACACCTTCAGATGATGGACTGGAGGATGTGGAAGTCATCGTGAACAAGGAGAGGCAATATCAACAGGAATTGTTGCAAGTGCTAAAATAGAAGGAGGATGAACATAAAGCATTGAGACAAGAATTAGGAGAGATCAAGTGCAAAATAGAGCAAATCTAATTAAAGTGTATTAGAGAGTCATTGATAAATAGAATACCAAGAGGAAATACCTATGGTTGATCCCTACCTCAAGGAATACATTTAGGAGTTGGGCGAATAACAATTATTCGACTTGGAGTCCCAAAGATAAGAATTAAAGGGAGAGAAGCAAGGCAAAATTGAATAGTTGAGATAATTACAATAGGCTAAGAATTAAATAAAATTATTCTTTACATAAACTGAGATTTCAAGCTATTTACAAATTTCATACAAAAATATGCTAGAAAATCTTAATTAAGAGTTGTTCTAATATATGCAAGAGAGAGCAGACTTGGAAGACGAATAATTTAGTTTCGACAAACGACTCAAATCTCTTAGATCTTAAATTAGAGTATGATTTTCTTTAGCTTTAGGAAGTTACTGAGAAGAATCAAAAAATTATTCAATAAATAGAGAATAGCAAATAGATTGAATGAATTCTTGTATTTTATCATTTATATTTTCATAAAGTCATTGAGTTCTTTCAATCTTCTATTTTACCTTTGGGAAACGCTCAAGTTGCTTCTCAAACATTTGACTTACCACTTAATCAAGAGGCACATCCTTACTCACTATCACGCTTTTATTTCCAGGAGACAATACCGAATTTGTCAATTTTTTAATGTGATCTTCATTCTCTTCTCTTTTAGAGAGATAAAGCAAACCTTTTTTGCTTGGCCCCTCATTCTTTTAAGGAGGTTCAAAGTTATATGTTTTCCTTAGGAAGTCTGCAAATTGTTTCTCATTTTTCTAAATTAAATTGTACACTACCTAACCATTTTTTTAAGCATATAAGAAATATAGGAAGTTGCCCTTCTCAACATTGCTCATTTATCTCTATATTTTCTTTTCTTGTTTTTTTGGAGGAATGGAAGTTTCAGATTATTGCCTTGTTTACAATTTTATCTGTTTTGGTTTGCTTTAGATTGCAGGCAAGGGATTTATCTATTAAGATTATCTATGCATAACACTATTTTTCAAGGTTAACCTAAGCAATTGTGCTTATTTAGAGTGAATGATAACTCCTTCATCGATGATTTATTGAAATTAAAGTGATTATATATTTTTCATATTTTTGAAACAAAATCACCAATTTCATTAACAGCATTTCTCAATTAAACCAATTAAGACTTCAAATTATTTATGTTCTATTCCATCTCTGTTATTTTGTAATCATTCTCCAATAATGCCTTAATATGTTAAAATATTCTCATCATATCTGCATCCAAATCACTATACTTTGTAAAAATACAAAATTATTACATGCTATTGCATTTCAGCTACACCATGATTATTCGCTCTTTGTAGTTGATTGTTTTCATTAACAATTGCAGCTATTTCGTTAATCCTCTCTTCACATTCTTCTCGAGTGACTCCATGCTTATGATTAAAAAGTTCAATCTGTTCATTTACACCCCTAAATTATTGGCTAATTTCTTCGAGTTTTTCTTGCATAACCATAAATTTCGATTAAATCTCCTTATTTAGAATCTTAAATAAATTATCTTCAATGCTCTTTATGCCTGCTAAATTGTCTTTTGAGATTTTCTTCTCTAATTTCTCAAGTTGACCTTTGTCCAAAGTCACTTATTGTATAATCTGAGATTAATCTTATTGCTGTTGTGACTTGTATTATTGATCATTCAATTCATCCAAAAAGCCTTATTGATCTATTAGAGCTTTTTCGAGATTCTCTATTTTTAACAATACCTTTTGATTATCCTCTTCCATTTTTCGAATCTTTTGCCACATCTTCTCTATCACCTATTAAAATCTTTCTGCATTCACAAATTTTTTTAATTCCTCCTGCACTTATTAACACATTTCGCATGACTTTTATATATTCATTTCTTCCTAAAATTCTATTGTTGAAGGACCTTTATCCTAAAAGTTTTATTTCATTATGAAATCAATAATATTTAGCTATCTACCTTAGTTTCTACAGGAGTTTGCTGATTTTAGATATCTATCTTATGAATTTTATCTACTCATTAATTTAATATTATAAATTGAAAAATCCAAAAACCAAAATAATCATATTTCACAACATATAATCCTATCAAACAACAGTTATTGGACTAAGAGAATGCATGGTAACAATATGAAATTCCAGCTATTAGGATAAAAGTGAAAGAGATTCATATACATGGGAATCACCCACTCTGTCTTTAAAGTAAAATATTACTAACTTAATTTGATTAAGTTAATTAATTTTATTTTTATTTAATTTGTGTTGTTTGAAATAGAAATCCTTAACATTATCTGCAGAAGATTATATTAAAATACAAAATTAATTAATTAAAATAAGAAATTACTAATGATATTGCTTTGATTTAATCTATTACATAATCATTGAATAAATAAAATATAAAATTTTATTAAGACTTATATGCACTAATTTGTTTTTTTCATTTAATGTATTGTTTATTTAAATAAAGAAATTTTGAGAATTTATCATTTTAAACACTAATCCATATATAAGTAAGAAGTTAGGTTATTCCTTTATATTATTAAACTTTTCATAACGTGTAAAAATGATAGGTCTTTATTATCTTTGAAAAATAACAAATTGATACCTAAGTCAAAACTTATCTATTTCAAATAAGAACCATAGTATAAAAGGTAGTGGGAAAAAATCCTTAAGATTATATTAATTATAAATAGATAATTTCTTTGTATCCAAAATTTATTATTCCTAACTAATAAGTCGACCAATAATAACTATATCCATTAAGAAATATTAAAATTTTGAATATTCAAAGAATATATAGATATTAAGTTGTTTATTAATTAGAAAAAGTGAGGCTTAATTATGAATCAGATCCAAAAGCATTCTGATTATTTTAATTTTAAATAATTCTCCTTATCTAAAATTTCTTTTCGAACAAGTCAATTTGCAAGACAATTAATAATATACGATATATTAACTGGCTTTGATTTTGGAAATAATGTAGTTTTGGAAAAGTTTATTCTATTTAAGACAGATAATAATTTTCTTCTCTTAAATTTAATTGGCCAATTGGATTGGGTTAGAAGTTAGATATACATTAGCAAGAATATTGTTTAATAAATGATCCTAATAAGATCACAGATAATTTGCATATGATAAATAAAATAATTTTCAATCTGTTTTATTAATTGTATGGCACTTTTTCATTTCCATCCAACATCCTAAACCACAAAAACCCAAAAGACCGATCAATATAGCGATCAAAAATAAATGACTGAAGGAAGGTTCAGAATACTCTATTTCCATTTAATCCCTTAATTAAAATGTTTATTTATCTATATCAAATTACTCAAGCATTAAATGCATAATTATCTTTTATCACATTAAGGCTAATTTTAAGCATCAGATCCATTGATTTATTTGATTCTTCAAAATTTATCAAAGAATTGTCCTTTTGTAATTTTATTTAAGCAGTTATGATTCTAAAACAATATTAAATAAAGGTTCTTAAAATTAATCAATAGCAACTCTATTTCTAAATTCTCAAGTTAAGCACCTAATATCTGATCTTGCTACTGTTTTTATACTTGCTTACAAAGATTTAGACAATTTTCAATAGTTATGTTTGAAACAACTCATCCATTAGGTCCCTCTTCAAAATTGAATATTTAGTATTCTATATATTTTTTATTAAATTGATTAGATATAAATGAATAAATAATCAAAATGCTTATCTCTAGAAACTAATGTTATACATATGTAAGGACTTTATTAATTGGAAATAGCTCAATATAAAATGATAGTATTAAATCATTTCTTGTTTGAAACTCTATTTCTATTAATTATAGGTATACACCATTTATTATAAATGGCATATTATAATTTCTTATAATACTAGGCAATAAATATTAATTTTTCTATTTAATTATGCACAAATCCTTGTTTAGTAAATTTTAATCGTTATGAGTTAACAATTAACAATAATTATTATACTTGATTCTGCCTTATTTTTAGATAATTTTGAAGATGGGAGAATATCAAAACTTTTTATAAATTATTTGCATTACCATAGTAATCTAATAATGTTAATTTTTTATTACATCCATTATCTTAACTTAATTAAAAGTTTTCATCTACATTTTAGATTGAGAGTAATTCTCAAAGTCCTATTTTTAAGATTCTTCTCACATCCATCGAGTTTGCTATTTATATTTATAATTCAATTAAATATTATTATTATTCATGTGTTATTTTCAATTATAGGTTTATTAGTTTTTGGTTTATAAATTGGGAAAAATTGCCTACTTTAAACTGAATAACGAGATATTAATGGCTCTTCATTTATCATTAGATCTGTGACTAATTTTAATGGTGTTATAGGCAAATCTTTTAACTGAGCATTCACTTTATTCTTAGAACGAGTGACAAATTTAGGGTACTGATGTAAGAATTAATATTTTACATCCTTTGGAGTCAATAAATACTTCTTTTTATCGTTATTTTCAATTTAATTTAATTCTTCGGTTCTAAAATGAATGGCATTTCCCTCTAAGAAAATAAAGATTAGCCGATTTCTTACATAGATCATTGAAAACCATATAAATTTAAACACCACACAAAGAAGCCAATTCATATGCCTTCTTTAGTAAACCTATCTTCCTTTTATGAAATGTAATCTAAACCATATTTAAGAACATACATTTCTTTATTGTCTGTCTTCTATTTTAGTTATTGAAATCTTTTTTCTGCCCATTATAATTTAAATTAAAATAATTAAAGTTTCATATGCTCAATAAACCATCATTAGGTTAATCATGTATGAACTAATTTTTCTTTAGAATAGAGTTCTATTATTATTATATATTTCAAAATATTAAGAATCGTATAGTCTTTTTTTGAAAAGACTAATTAAACAAAGAGCTTAATGAATTACTTAAATAGATTTTTACTTATGAAAATATTATACATTATATCAATTTAGATAAAATTATTTAACCTATTTACTTGATTTGACCAATCTTGATAATACCTTTGTTGCAATAACTATCAAGACTGTTGTTGCTATAAGTGCATTATAATTGAAATTATCCAATAACATATCGTATGTCTAAAATTTTATTAAATAAAATATACTTTATCAGGAGCGATTCTAGTGAAGAAAATATCAGAACCATAAACTAATAGCAATGCTGAGGATTCTAAATTTGTGGATTCAATAGAAAATTTCTCAATTTCGAACTAGATTAAAAAAGTTAAAATACAGTTTAGTGATATGTCAACATGTTTAAAAAATTAATTGGTAATTAATATTAATAGGGAGGAAGCTCTGCTGATTAGAGAGAATATTCTAATATAGGTTGATCTGCCTTTTCTCTTCTTCTAGTGGAAACTAAGTTTCGATCCAAAGAATGCAATTCTCCTGAAGTTGTTATAATCAATAAATTCTTTTTTGTTAATGATTTAAGAGTTCTAGACATTCCCAAATACTTGATTCCTAAAGGGCATCCATACACTTATTACAAGAAGAATGCTTCAAAATCAGCTTTATAATAGTTAGTAATAATTGGTGTTTTTGTAAAGTAATAGTTCTCCAACATTTTAATGAATGAAACTTCAATCTTAGCATGGTAGATTTCAACAGTCCAGATTTCAAACATCATTTAAGCCTTGTTGTAATAAGTAACAAAAACTTAGTGTTCATCAAAAACTAAATTAATAGGTTAGGTAAAGTCAGCTTCACTTTGGACACTTTAAAATATTATTTTGCCTGTCTTTGCATTAATAATGAATAACTTTAGTTTATCACCATCCGAAGTTAAGATTGCAAAATTAGATTGATCAATCAATTTGAATATGACTTTTCTATCATCCCAAATTGCAACTCTTGGATTGTCTTCTCCAACATGATAAGAAGATCTGATTATCAAAATTTCATCTTTCATATTAATTGTCCATGTGTTGACTAATTAATTATTGAATAATTTATATCCTTTTAGTACACCATTGTCATTTCTATATAAGATGATCTCTTTTGTATTTAATGAATCATGTTTGGGATATGTAAATATATTGTTTTCTTCATCAATTAGAATGACAATATTGTGATGTTATCCAGGTCCACCTTCCACTCTGTAGGGGATTGTCCATAAGATATTATTTGAATTTTGTGATGCAACCTATTAGATTATTCCATGTTATAAATCTAAAACAAAAGTATTCAAACGTTTTTTCTCAGAAGAGTAATAAAATAAGACATGAGTTGGCTATGCATCATTGCTATCAAAATGTCTGATTAGATTGGAACTAAATATGATATAATATATTACTCTATTTAATGATGTGCTACCAATTTAAAGGATTTATCCTGATTATTAATCTATAATTTAATTAATAAAGATAACTCTTAAGTGTCATAACATAATAATGTCCCATAAGTTGTCAAAAAGTATACCTTCTATTTCAATCCATAGGTTTATTCCATCTCTCTTGTTTAAACCTTCTCTTTACCCAAATTATCAATAAAATGAGTTGCTACCTCTTGTAAGTCTCTGATCTCATTCAAAATTCTTGAAACAATATTTTAAATCAAAAACAAAGGATTGTTAGTGCCGTGCTTCTCAAGTGATTCATAATATGTATTTTTATGTGTCTATTCTTAATTTTCGTATTTTTCATAAAAAACAGTATCAATGCTGATTAAGGATTATTCAGTCGTCCACCTAATACCTTTATTATCAACTAGTACTGTTTGTAAATCATTATACTGAATTAAAAATTATTTTTTATTTTAATCTATCAAAAAAGCATTTAATATTATGGACTTTGTTTCTAATTCGATTATTTCTGAGTGATGTTACTTTGTATCTCTGTCAAAAGTCACAATAATTAAGTCATTATCTTTCTATTTTAAAGTATAGTAATATTTTTGAGTCTCCAAATTTGATATAACATACTCATCTTAAGAGAGCTCATATTCAATTTACCCATCCAAATTAACTATCTATTTCTTTGATTTTTCATTAATTACTAAAGTTTATGTTAACCCAATAAATCTATCCACTTTCTTAATTAGTTCAATATCTAATGGCTTGGCTTATTTCTCTTTTAGATGATAAGCAAATTTGTCATCCTTATAAACAAGGGTGTTGCCAAATTCGTAAATTTTACCATTATTCAAACTTTATGCACAGTAATTTTATTATATAGATTCCCTAATTTAGTAGATACAAATTTCAGTTTATTTTTGCAAAACAACTACTGGAACATCAAAGATATATCCTGCGTGTATAATTTAATGATCAAGCCTAAAGACATCTAAATTATATTCATACTTCTCTGTGAATTTGTTATTAAAAGTTGAGAATATAGTTTATCCATATATAAGTATAAACTCCCCATTTAATCCTATTAAACAATGGTCGATTTTTTCTATAATTTCTCCCTCTGTCAACACTGAATACCCTTCATTATATAATTGCACAATCTATTGATTTGGTTCATACCTGACGTAATTATAAGAATCACACATAGTATAAGTATTTCTTTATTTAACTTGGCCTAAATTATATGAGTAAATCAAACCTGTAGATTTTTCGATAATTCCATGTTGATTGTTCGTATTTTAGTAAAATATTGTTTGATCCGAAACTTGAATGTATTTTAGTTCTCCAAATAGTCTTTTATTCCAATCATGCACTCCTGCTTGTTATTAATGTAAAGCAAGGACATTATTAAAAATAATTCCAGCCACGCTCACAATTAATAATAACATTTATTTAATTTAATATTTTAAGTTCAATTAAAAAATTTTTTTATTAGAATAATGCAGATATTTTATCATCAATATATAGTGCGATAAATAAGAATCATTTTTTATATAAAGCAGTCTTATCTCTATATTGAATTTAGGGTATCCAACAATTTATATATTGTTCTTATAATTTTCAATTGCTATTCAATTCTATTTCTTCTTTTTTACTTCAATTATATTTATTATAACAACAGATTTCTTTTCATTTTTAATTTTTCTTCAAAAAATTGGTCACTAAGTTAATATCTAAGGTAAATAAATCTAGCCAATAAGCCAATTTAGATCTATATTCTTTATCTCGAAAAATGGAGTGACTCTTAAGGAAGAAGTTTATCATCAATGCCACTTGTATTGAAAAAGCCATGTGGGTTGGGCCATTATAAAATATAAGCTAATTAATCATCCCAACTTTTCATTTTTAATTTTACTACAAAAATCTTTCTCTGAAAATATGATATCTTCATTTTAGTAATTTAAACATGAAATCTGTTTTACCAGCAATCCAAAAATTGAATTTATATTTTATATTGCAAAGATTATGAGTTGCTATTATATTTTTAATTTAGTCCATATCATGAATTTAGGATTTTTATTGTGATCAGATTTGAATCAAAAGTATTAATGTTAAACAAAAATAGCATTTACAATGTTTAAATCATTTCAGCCTTTTAGACTATTACCACAAGAATGATAATATTTTGATTTTGGGGGAGTTCTTTATAAGAAAAATTTATCATTTGAGATTTTGTCGAACTTGATTAATTTACTCTTTCTTTATAATTAAAAATGTACTTACTCTCCTTGAGTTTTAAACAATGTCAAAAAAAATGCCCAATTTTGTTGATTTGAAGTTTGATTTGATACAAAATTAAGGAATTTTAGGATGTCCTCTTTATAAAATAAAATAAAAAAATAATAATAATGTTATGATAATTGTAATAATAAATTGGTTGGTTCATTCATCAAGCCAAAATTAAAATTTAGTTTAGAGTCCAGTAACCCATTTGATAGCGATTCCTTTAAAGCCTGTTAGGAATAGAACTTTGGTTGATTATGATGGATTTCTTCCCATAGCTAATTTGAGTTAGGTTTCTGGTGATTAAATAATATCATTAAAGGATAAAACAATATTATCTTATTCGGTCTAATGAATGAAAGAAAAGGAATACTTCTGAAGCATTTTCTTCTAAAAATGTAGCTTTGAATGATCCATCCTCTGATTCTAATGTGACAATCTTTCCAAATTCTTTAATTTACACTTTATATCCTTTTATAGTTTTAAGACTTTTATATATATGATAATAAATACGGTGACTCTCTTGGACCAGATGTATCATCAATTTGTTATCTTTTGATGGCTACCTTATTCACTAACATTTTATTTGCTTAATCTTTCAATGCATCTTAAAGATTTAATGGCTTTTATTAAATTTGAGGGGGTGGATTAGATGGAATTGGAGGTTATTAATTTATTTTGGATGGCTATGCCATAAATGGACTTTATGGTTGTTATTAAGGAACAAACGGGGAGGGTGGTTGTTATTGGGGAGTGAATCCTATTACACCAGATTGACCAGGAAAATTAGGTTGATTGATAGGTTGAAAATTGGTTGGATTATTAGCTTAATTTTTGTCCTAAACTATTTGAATATATCAATACCAAGCATTCAACTTGTTCCCCTCCTTAAAGATGTTGATTTATCTTTGTGCTTTTTAAAATCTGTTTAACTTGACCATTTATTTTCCATACTTTATCTATAAACTTGCCCACTTTAACATGGTCATCAAAAATGTCTTCAAATGTACTATTCGCTTTTAACGTAACTTATTTTCCATTCACGAAAAAAGAGGTACTCATATATGATTTCTATTAATTAAGATTATTTATATTTCTATTAACTTCATTTTATTATATTTCAATTCTAATTATAATCATTCTTTTTAATCTCAATATATAATCATCAACACTCAATATTATTTTTTATTTCATATTAATGATTCCATAAAACTCTCTTTAAATTTACTTTCATTCAAATATCTGTGAGAATTATTTTCTTAATTCTAAAATATTCTAATTCATATTACTTTTATCGCAATTTGGTATTTAATTCTAGATCTTTTACTCTCTTAATCAAATACTTTATCATCTTAATGTCTTCATATTTACTACAACACTTAAGTATTGTAATATTTGAATATTTGGAAACTTAAATACAGCGCATGTCATTTAGTCATAATTAATCCTGCTTAAATAATTTGAAAGGAGGAACTAAGATATTTTGCAAATTATTTAACTAACTTATGAAACTGTGTTCTATTGTTTGTTAATAAATACTTAACCTAAAAGTCAAAAATTTGACCATCAATATTTTTTAATTTGTTATGAACTCATCACAACATTTGCACAATTAATGAAGGAACTATTTCCATTATCAATCGATTGCTGTTGAATTTGAGGAATTCAATTTATATAGTAATTCCTGCAAAGAGTGGAATTATATTTTATTCATTAATTTAAAATGTATAAATCCAAACGAACCTAATATGGAGGATCGACTGCCAGCACCTTAGATCTGTTGCAGTCATAGGATTGTCTATTTTGTCAATAATCTCAGAAATTTTGTTGCCTCATTACTAGAGCTCTTTACATCAAATACTCAGCAAGCCAGAATTATTACTATCAAAAGGATATTAATATTATACTTTTGCAATAACGATCTAAACAATATACTACATATAAAGAATGGACTTATTATGATCCTAATGAGTATTTAAAAAGATTTTATTCTTTAACTGATACAAGATAAAAAACCATTGTATTAACTGAATATTATAAAGTAATTACTTTCAAAACTATACTGAATAGTTTCACCGAGATATTCCTCGTCTTTTCATGTTACCTATAGCATCAACATTATCTAAATATCATGATAAACGCCGCAGAATAGAATATANATAATGTTATGATAATTGTAATAATAAATTGGTTGGTTCATTCATCAAGCCAAAATTAAAATTTAGTTTAGAGTCCAGTAACCCATTTGATAGCGATTCCTTTAAAGCCTGTTAGGAATAGAACTTTGGTTGATTATGATGGATTTCTTCCCATAGCTAATTTGAGTTAGGTTTCTGGTGATTAAATAATATCATTAAAGGATAAAACAATATTATCTTATTCGGTCTAATGAATGAAAGAAAAGGAATACTTCTGAAGCATTTTCTTCTAAAAATGTAGCTTTGAATGATCCATCCTCTGATTCTAATGTGACAATCTTTCCAAATTCTTTAATTTACACTTTATATCCTTTTATAGTTTTAAGACTTTTATATATATGATAATAAATACGGTGACTCTCTTGGACCAGATGTATCATCAATTTGTTATCTTTTGATGGCTACCTTATTCACTAACATTTTATTTGCTTAATCTTTCAATGCATCTTAAAGATTTAATGGCTTTTATTAAATTTGAGGGGGTGGATTAGATGGAATTGGAGGTTATTAATTTATTTTGGATGGCTATGCCATAAATGGACTTTATGGTTGTTATTAAGGAACAAACGGGGAGGGTGGTTGTTATTGGGGAGTGAATCCTATTACACCAGATTGACCAGGAAAATTAGGTTGATTGATAGGTTGAAAATTGGTTGGATTATTAGCTTAATTTTTGTCCTAAACTATTTGAATATATCAATACCAAGCATTCAACTTGTTCCCCTCCTTAAAGATGTTGATTTATCTTTGTGCTTTTTAAAATCTGTTTAACTTGACCATTTATTTTCCATACTTTATCTATAAACTTGCCCACTTTAACATGGTCATCAAAAATGTCTTCAAATGTACTATTCGCTTTTAACGTAACTTATTTTCCATTCACGAAAAAAGAGGTACTCATATATGATTTCTATTAATTAAGATTATTTATATTTCTATTAACTTCATTTTATTATATTTCAATTCTAATTATAATCATTCTTTTTAATCTCAATATATAATCATCAACACTCAATATTATTTTTTATTTTCTATTAATGATTCCATAAAACTCTCTTTAAATTTACTTTCATTCAAATATCTGTGAGAATTATTTTCTTAATTCTAAAATATTCTAATTCATATTACTTTTATCGCAATTTGGTATTTAATTCTAGATCTTTTACTCTCTTAATCAAATACTTTATCATCTTAATGTCTTCATATTTACTACAACACTTAAGTATTGTAATATTTGAATATTTGGAAACTTAAATACAGCGCATGTCATTTAGTCATAATTAATCCTGCTTAAATAATTTGAAAGGAGGAACTAAGATATTTTGCAAATTATTTAACTAACTTATGAAACTGTGTTCTATTGTTTGTTAATAAATACTTAACCTAAAAGTCAAAAATTTGACCATCAATATTTTTTAATTTGTTATGAACTCATCACAACATTTGCACAATTAATGAAGGAACTATTTCCATTATCAATCGATTGCTGTTGAATTTGAGGAATTCAATTTATATAGTAATTCCTGCAAAGAGTGGAATTATATTTTATTCATTAATTTAAAATGTATAAATCCAAACGAACCTAATATGGAGGATCGACTGCCAGCACCTTAGATCTGTTGCAGTCATAGGATTGTCTATTTTGTCAATAATCTCAGAAATTTTGTTGCCTCATTACTAGAGCTCTTTACATCAAATACTCAGCAAGCCAGAATTATTACTATCAAAAGGATATTAATATTATACTTTTGCAATAACGATCTAAACAATATACTACATATAAAGAATGGACTTATTATGATCCTAATGAGTATTTAAAAAGATTTTATTCTTTAACTGATACAAGATAAAAAACCATTGTATTAACTGAATATTATAAAGTAATTACTTTCAAAACTATACTGAATAGTTTCACCGAGATATTCCTCGTCTTTTCATGTTACCTATAGCATCAACATTATCTAAATATCATGATAAACGCCGCAGAATAGAATATATAAGAATATCAAGGATGCTAGGAGGACATGTTGAATAACCAACAGCAACATAAAATTCTATCTAAACAGTATTAATTGAATATTTACATAAACTTAGTCATTGCAGAATCTATTGGGTTAATTAAATTTTACTAAACAAGAATAATCTAACACTTTGATTGAAATATAAAAAAATTTAAAAGAAGCCATAAATACATCCAAAAACAATCAAAGAGAATTTGATTCTCGTAAGTATAATCTGCCTCTATAACTCAAAAATTCTGATTATTACAATAAATCTAGATTAGATCATAAATCTGATACTAATTCAAGATTAGATTTTAAAGAAAATATCAATGATCTAATTTAAAAAAAAAAACCATTAAAAAATTCAGGAATCTAAACGTAAAGAGAAATTTCTTAACCAAAAGTATATAGCACTGAGAAAAATTGTAAATTATAGGTTCAATAGATTCCACTCACTTAAAGAAATGGCAACAATACAAAATAATCAATTTCTCCTAGACCTACTACTTAAAGATCAATAAAGCCATAAATTATGTAGTTATTAAAGCCGAACCATAACAACAACAATAAATTAAAGGCTACTAACATTATATTAGAATGTCTAATGAGAAAGCTGAATTTAGATCAAAAGGCCCTCACAAAATAAAAATCCAAATCTCCTAATAATCCTTCCAATCAACAAGCCAAAAGAAAGAGAAGAGTAATGAGTACAAATTAAGAAACAACAAAAATAGATCTGACTTAACTTAAATAAAAATAATCATAATTACTTTAGAGTAAATTTGATTAAAATATTATTAATAAAGGATATAAAACAGGAAGAGCCTCAGCTATGGCTTGATTAATTTAGTTATATATTTATTTATTACTATTAAATAAAGTCAATTATAAAGTAAAGTTTTAAATTGAATCAAAAACCTATTACTCTAATTCATTTTTTCTAAGTAATTTAGGTTTGCTAATTTGAACTAATAATTTCATTAGGGAATTCCTTACTGTCGCATTAGTATATGACAAAGTGATAATATGAAAGTTCTAATATTTCTCATAGGAATATCCCTAGATGTTCCTTGAGAGGACATTCAAGCAATATAGGTCTATTATGATATATTAAAATGTTCTCTGGGCACACCTGTCTAGAAACTAAAATTTTAGTTCGATTAGGTCTTTGATAATAGAGGGATTTCTAATTCCATAACATCGGATCCAGCCACAGCCTCACAGGTATGGAGTTTTTTAGAAGCCTCTTCAATATTATAACCTAAAATTTCGCTGGGAAGCACTCCAAACAAGTTGTGTCACTCGAGAGGCCAACTTTTATAGAAATATTATGATTATAATCCTTTTTATATTAAATCTACAATACTATATGCAAATAAAAATGATGAAAAACTTAAACACAGAAAGTGATAAAAGTCCATAAATTATAAGAAAAAATAACGAGCACTATGTTTCATATAGTGTAGATGAAAAGTATATTTGTTAATGCAATTTATGCTTGTAATCGTTGAAGAAAAAGTAACTAGATACAATAAAACAGAATTCCCAAACCCTTGGAAGAAATGTAGAATCTTAAGTCTAAGTCAAATTCAAATGACAGAGACTTTATTTTTATTGTGACTCGTTTAGTATAGGAATCCTTTGGTAGAACTCTAAACATTTAGATATAAGATACCGTATATTTCGAAAAAGGAGAGGCTTAATCCATTTTATAAAGTATCAAAGATAGTATAGATAAGCCATACTAATTAAGAGTCTAATTATGGAAAGGATCATTATAAAAATTAATGCAATATATGAATAACAGAAGGAAGAAAATTGCAAATACAAATGTGTAATTAGATTTGATTCAACTTTGCGAAAAATAATAATCAGCATTGAGTATTTTTAATTTTTATATAAAAAGGTAGCATAAATAAAGAATAAATAAATAATATTAGTGAAAAAAGCAAGGAAGCAGTTTTGGTTAAATTTGATGATGATTCAGTGTAAATAATGACTGAAGCAGAATTTTTTTTGCTAATGTCTAAAAGAAAGAATGATAAATTCTGGAATAAAATATTTTATATTTAAAATTATGTTAAGCAAAGGGCTTTTTTAACACATAGAATTCATTTTAATAGAAAAAGAGATATAAACCATGCTTATTTTGAGCGTAGCGCTATGGAAACTCGAATAATTAGAGGTGAAGTTATTTCAGCATCTACAGAGTATATTAGTCAAGCAATTGAGGAAGATTTCTTAAGATAATTGAAGGAAAAAAGTATTTTTGAGTATTTAAGATATAATACGTTTAAAATAATTTAATTTTTAGATGTATTTTTATCTAATATGAATATAGATACTTGATGATACTATCATAATTGAAGGTATTTTTGAATGGAATCAAGATGATAGAGCAGAATTTCAATTTTTTAATGCTTATTAAATCACTTATGAGAAAAGAACGAGAGAAGAAAGTTATACTACTCCAAAACCTCAGCATTCTAAAAATAACAATAATGCAAATGGGACTGAAAACAGTGAAGAATATAGAGAAATTGACCCAAAAAAAATGTTTAATAGAAAATATTAATTGCAATAAATCGCCAGAAATGCATAAAATAAATTAAAATTAAAATAATAGCATTTATTATACAAAGATACACCAAAAGTAAGTTAATGGCAAGGTTGTATGCAAGATGATTATCATGCCTTATTGTAATCAGTTGGCATTGATAAAAATTAATTTAACTTAAAGGAAGATAATTAATCAGAAATGACCTTCAAATATCTACACCCTGAAATATAGATAGAATTTTAGAGGATAATGAAAGATCAATAATTATTTAATAAACTAAAGAGTAAAGATTTATTAAATAAGCATTATAGAACAACTTTTTATAGAGAACAACAAATCTAAACCTATTTCTCATTCAAAAATGTTAAATAGTTTTTTTCTAACACCAGAAAAAAAACAAAGATCACAAACAGTTTCAAAACCTAGGTAGGATTTAATTTCAACTCTTAATCAATCTTCATTTAAGAAAACCATCAGGTCGGTTGATAAAACGGTGAGTGAGTTTAGATATGAAATAAGTAGAAATGGAAAAAGATCAGCAAAAACTCTTAATAAGATACTTGGGTTAGCTAATACTTGATTTGATATTTTTTTTATTATTTTAAAATCAAATACATTAAAAATACGAATTGTAATGATTACTATGTATCACTTAGAAATAATAAAGCAATAACAAAAGTAACCATTGTAGAAGCAAAATATGTTGATAAAACTTAATTAGTTAAATGAAAAAATTAAACCACCTAGATCAACATGAAAATAAAAAAATAGTGAATATGAAATAAAAAATAATATTGAGTGTTGATGATTATATATTGAGATTAAAAAGAATGATTATAATTAGAATTGAAATATAATAAAATGAAGTTAATAGAAATATAAATAATCTTAATTAATAGAAATCATATATGAGTACCTCTTTTTTCGTGAATGGAAAATAAGTTACGTTAAAAGCGAATAGTACATTTGAAGACATTTTTGATGACCATGTTAAAGTGGGCAAGTTTATAGATAAAGTATGGAAAATAAATGGTCAAGTTAAACAGATTTTAAAAAGCACAAAGATAAATCAACATCTTTAAGGAGGGGAACAAGTTGAATGCTTGGTATTGATATATTCAAATAGTTTAGGACAAAAATTAAGCTAATAATCCAACCAATTTTCAACCTATCAATCAACCTAATTTTCCTGGTCAATCTGGTGTAATAGGATTCACTCCCCAATAACAACCACCCTCCCCGTTTGTTCCTTAATAACAACCATAAAGTCCATTTATGGCATAGCCATCCAAAATAAATTAATAACCTCCAATTCCATCTAATCCACCCCCTCAAATTTAATAAAAGCCATTAAATCTTTAAGATGCATTGAAAGATTAAGCAAATAAAATGTTAGTGAATAAGGTAGCCATCAAAAGATAACAAATTGATGATACATCTGGTCCAAGAGAGTCACCGTATTTATTATCATATATATAAAAGTCTTAAAACTATAAAAGGATATAAAGTGTAAATTAAAGAATTTGGAAAGATTGTCACATTAGAATCAGAGGATGGATCATTCAAAGCTACATTTTTAGAAGAAAATGCTTCAGAAGTATTCCTTTTCTTTCATTCATTAGACCGAATAAGATAATATTGTTTTATCCTTTAATGATATTATTTAATCACCAGAAACCTAACTCAAATTAGCTATGGGAAGAAATCCATCATAATCAACCAAAGTTCTATTCCTAACAGGCTTTAAAGGAATCGCTATCAAATGGGTTACTGGACTCTAAACTAAATTTTAATTTTGGCTTGATGAATGAACCAACCAATTTATTATTACAATTATCATAACATTATNATGGAAATAGTTCCTTCATTAATTGTGCAAATGTTGTGATGAGTTCATAACAAATTAAAAAATATTGATGGTCAAATTTTTGACTTTTAGGTTAAGTATTTATTAACAAACAATAGAACACAGTTTCATAAGTTAGTTAAATAATTTGCAAAATATCTTAGTTCCTCCTTTCAAATTATTTAAGCAGGATTAATTATGACTAAATGACATGCGCTGTATTTAAGTTTCCAAATATTCAAATATTACAATACTTAAGTGTTGTAGTAAATATGAAGACATTAAGATGATAAAGTATTTGATTAAGAGAGTAAAAGATCTAGAATTAAATACCAAATTGCGATAAAAGTAATATGAATTAGAATATTTTAGAATTAAGAAAATAATTCTCACAGATATTTGAATGAAAGTAAATTTAAAGAGAGTTTTATGGAATCATTAATAGAAAATAAAAAATAATATTGAGTGTTGATGATTATATATTGAGATTAAAAAGAATGATTATAATTAGAATTGAAATATAATAAAATGAAGTTAATAGAAATATAAATAATCTTAATTAATAGAAATCATATATGAGTACCTCTTTTTTCGTGAATGGAAAATAAGTTACGTTAAAAGCGAATAGTACATTTGAAGACATTTTTGATGACCATGTTAAAGTGGGCAAGTTTATAGATAAAGTATGGAAAATAAATGGTCAAGTTAAACAGATTTTAAAAAGCACAAAGATAAATCAACATCTTTAAGGAGGGGAACAAGTTGAATGCTTGGTATTGATATATTCAAATAGTTTAGGACAAAAATTAAGCTAATAATCCAACCAATTTTCAACCTATCAATCAACCTAATTTTCCTGGTCAATCTGGTGTAATAGGATTCACTCCCCAATAACAACCACCCTCCCCGTTTGTTCCTTAATAACAACCATAAAGTCCATTTATGGCATAGCCATCCAAAATAAATTAATAACCTCCAATTCCATCTAATCCACCCCCTCAAATTTAATAAAAGCCATTAAATCTTTAAGATGCATTGAAAGATTAAGCAAATAAAATGTTAGTGAATAAGGTAGCCATCAAAAGATAACAAATTGATGATACATCTGGTCCAAGAGAGTCACCGTATTTATTATCATATATATAAAAGTCTTAAAACTATAAAAGGATATAAAGTGTAAATTAAAGAATTTGGAAAGATTGTCACATTAGAATCAGAGGATGGATCATTCAAAGCTACATTTTTAGAAGAAAATGCTTCAGAAGTATTCCTTTTCTTTCATTCATTAGACCGAATAAGATAATATTGTTTTATCCTTTAATGATATTATTTAATCACCAGAAACCTAACTCAAATTAGCTATGGGAAGAAATCCATCATAATCAACCAAAGTTCTATTCCTAACAGGCTTTAAAGGAATCGCTATCAAATGGGTTACTGGACTCTAAACTAAATTTTAATTTTGGCTTGATGAATGAACCAACCAATTTATTATTACAATTATCATAACATTATTNTGGAAATAGTTCCTTCATTAATTGTGCAAATGTTGTGATGAGTTCATAACAAATTAAAAAATATTGATGGTCAAATTTTTGACTTTTAGGTTAAGTATTTATTAACAAACAATAGAACACAGTTTCATAAGTTAGTTAAATAATTTGCAAAATATCTTAGTTCCTCCTTTCAAATTATTTAAGCAGGATTAATTATGACTAAATGACATGCGCTGTATTTAAGTTTCCAAATATTCAAATATTACAATACTTAAGTGTTGTAGTAAATATGAAGACATTAAGATGATAAAGTATTTGATTAAGAGAGTAAAAGATCTAGAATTAAATACCAAATTGCGATAAAAGTAATATGAATTAGAATATTTTAGAATTAAGAAAATAATTCTCACAGATATTTGAATGAAAGTAAATTTAAAGAGAGTTTTATGGAATCATTAATATGAAATAAAAAATAATATTGAGTGTTGATGATTATATATTGAGATTAAAAAGAATGATTATAATTAGAATTGAAATATAATAAAATGAAGTTAATAGAAATATAAATAATCTTAATTAATAGAAATCATATATGAGTACCTCTTTTTTCGTGAATGGAAAATAAGTTACGTTAAAAGCGAATAGTACATTTGAAGACATTTTTGATGACCATGTTAAAGTGGGCAAGTTTATAGATAAAGTATGGAAAATAAATGGTCAAGTTAAACAGATTTTAAAAAGCACAAAGATAAATCAACATCTTTAAGGAGGGGAACAAGTTGAATGCTTGGTATTGATATATTCAAATAGTTTAGGACAAAAATTAAGCTAATAATCCAACCAATTTTCAACCTATCAATCAACCTAATTTTCCTGGTCAATCTGGTGTAATAGGATTCACTCCCCAATAACAACCACCCTCCCCGTTTGTTCCTTAATAACAACCATAAAGTCCATTTATGGCATAGCCATCCAAAATAAATTAATAACCTCCAATTCCATCTAATCCACCCCCTCAAATTTAATAAAAGCCATTAAATCTTTAAGATGCATTGAAAGATTAAGCAAATAAAATGTTAGTGAATAAGGTAGCCATCAAAAGATAACAAATTGATGATACATCTGGTCCAAGAGAGTCACCGTATTTATTATCATATATATAAAAGTCTTAAAACTATAAAAGGATATAAAGTGTAAATTAAAGAATTTGGAAAGATTGTCACATTAGAATCAGAGGATGGATCATTCAAAGCTACATTTTTAGAAGAAAATGCTTCAGAAGTATTCCTTTTCTTTCATTCATTAGACCGAATAAGATAATATTGTTTTATCCTTTAATGATATTATTTAATCACCAGAAACCTAACTCAAATTAGCTATGGGAAGAAATCCATCATAATCAACCAAAGTTCTATTCCTAACAGGCTTTAAAGGAATCGCTATCAAATGGGTTACTGGACTCTAAACTAAATTTTAATTTTGGCTTGATGAATGAACCAACCAATTTATTATTACAATTATCATAACATTATAGAGAAGCTTCTATTTTCTAGGAATCTATTACTTCTAATTTTTAAAATTTCAATAATCCTTATTCTGACCGAGCATTAACAATTTTTAATTTATTTATGAAACTTTCAAGAAATCAAATGTTTTTAGATAAGTTATATTTCAATCCTTTTCTTTTGATATTTTGCTACCATTAAACGTTGCATAAAATTCACTAATATGAATAATAAGACTGCATTAAAAATTAATTTATATTATTATATGCGCAAATTCTTCATATAAAAATATTCTTCAATTTTAAGGAGATGATTTAATTCTAATTCTAGTTTTACTTTGTCATATTCAATGTCATGTATGAATTAACTAACCATTTATTGAAACTACAATCAGTTTGATGCTGTAAATGATTTGAGGATAAGGCATGATTTGTTCTAAAACTCATATAAGAATTAATCACTTTTTTTATATCATCTTTTATTAGTTTTAATTTAACAATTCCTTTTGCTAAGCCTTCAAAATAGTAATCTTCTTTCTTTTTTGATGGAAATCATTTCAGATTGTGTTACTTAGTCGAATTATTGACAGATTCTAAAGGTATATTCTTGGTTTTGGTTTATTCTCATTATGTTTATAAAAATAATATTAGAGATATAATAAAAATCAAAATTTTTTCAAGTTTTTTTGTAAAATATAATTATTTGAAATCAAATATATATAATTAATTTCATTTTAATGCTTTAAGCAATTATGCAAACATAATAGCATTTGAAACAATTATTTGAAGAGCTAAATTTTTTTCTGAATTTGAATTTTATAGAATGTCTTTTATCGATTATTTTAGATTATCTTATAATTAAAAATTTTCATAATTGTGATATTGATATCCAATCAATGATTGAGCGTAAACAAATATTGAATTATTGGTTTTTACGTCATATAAAGGAATATCTTTCACAATTTTATATCTTTTATTAAGTTTCTTGGCTAATTTTGGGAAGTAATCCCTTATCTAACTAAAGCCACATTCATTCCATGAGATTTCAAAAGTACAACAAGGTTTAGATTACATTATTTAAAATTAAAAATCATGAATTAAAAGTTCGCATTTTATCAAGCAAAATAATACAATACATTAGATCACCTATTGTCTAGTCCAAACACATTCTTTAATAGGCTTGAGATCGTTTTGTTATAAAGTGAGGAGGATTTAAAGATCGACATCTTGAAATTGAGCTATCTTATGAAGTGCTATTTTCAATTTCTCGAGTTTGGGTGTATCTTATAAATATTAATTTCCACATTAACATAATCCTTTGGCACATTAAATAACAGTGTTTATCGTTAACTCATCTAAGTATTCAGTTTGCAATGTCTTCTTGATAGTTGACACACTCACCTTAACATAATCAACATATGCTATCTAGTTCATCCATGAATATATTTTAGTTAACATTTCCAGCCTATAAATATCACTTATTAGTTTTTATAATTTAGGAAAACTAACTCGTTTCATCATTTTAATATTAAATTGTTATTTCTTCTCCTCATAGGGATCACTATATGTAAAATCTGTTTCATCAGAATCAGAATTCAATTCATTTAAATTAACTTTTCTCACTACTTGTGTTAGCGTATACTCAGAGAATGTGCTTAAATAATTAAGCAAATCTTAAATAGGATGTTTAATATTAACTAAGCTTTGAAAAAAAACAACAACATCTATATACGGAGCATGAGACGCTAAATACTAGATCGTAAAATTAATGGATTCGGTCAGATTGGGCTAATCTTCCTTTAATTGCATGAGTTCTTAAGTAACTCTTTATATTTCCTGTTGTCTTGCAGATTATTTTTAAGGCCAAATGATTGGAAGAATATCCATTGGGTTTAGTTTATTCATTAAAATACGTATTATTCAAAGATAATGCAAACATAAATGAGATAAGTATATATTTAAGAAGAATAATATATTTAGCTTTTTAGCTAAATTCAAGTTGAGTTACTAATATCAAGGCAATTCTAAAGCCTACTTAAAATTAAATACAAAAATAAAAATTCTAATTCTACTTAATAGATTCTTCAAATAAAGCAGATGATTTTAATAATCTATATTGAAGTTATGAAAATTCGATTAGTCAACCTTGTTTTTTATTAGGTTTTAGTTACGACTGAATTGTGTTTGCTAACTTAATAAATTCGGTCAAGTATGTTGGCGTGATGTTAGCAACATTAATATTTGCATTTTCTAATTTAGTTCGCATATTAACAATCTCATGCAAAGGAATAAGGCTTGAAATATCAGTTATGGACTCTTATTGTTCATATCTATCTGTAATTTAGGAAAAATGAGTTGGACTTATAAAGCTTGATTTCTGAGGTGACACTATTCCACTAAATTAGGTTATCGAATATTAATGACCCTTAGCTGGGAATTATAAGTTATTTTATTAAGGTGGAGGTGATAAGGAAGATATTGATTATATTCTAGGTGTAACATATAGAATAGTTACTTTTAATGCAATCCATTAATTTTACTTGGAGACGAATTTTGATTGCTTTTACCTGACTTAAATAAAAATGAATCGTTTTATTTTGCTTTCTTGCTACTGTATTCTTGCAGTTTATTTACTAAATTGTTCAATGAAGGAGTACTGCTTATTCAACTTATAAATACTTAGCTTGATCCCTTTTTATTGGAGTCTTCCTTTGGCTTTCAATTTTTGATGAATCAAATCTTGTTTCTACAGGAGACTTTGAGTATTTATCGACCAATCTTTCTCTGTATAACTTTAGATTAAAATTTAACGATTCACTCATTAAGTATATTTAATTAATGACAATTTAATTATCACTCCTATTCATCTACAATCAATTATTCCATTTCAGAATCAACAAACACTTCACTTATGGGGAATTCAGTCTTGTCCTTTAATGACAGTCTTGGGAAATTTTAGATTAAGTCAATTTTGGCATGAGGATCGTTAAAGCAATCGTCTTCTTGACTTTCAACAAAATCAAATAACACCTATCTATAGTATTAATTTATACTTAGATTTTATCACTAAAATTGAATCTCCTTGTTCGAGTAGCATTTACAAATCTGAATAGTATTGATATACCTTAAGTATTGGCTGGTTCCTCGGGTAAATTTGATAATAACTAGGCTTTTTTCAATAATCTTTACTCCTTATATGTAATATTATTATTTATACTTCTTTTTGCTATTCTTCGAATTATTTGGCTTATTCTTATAACCTTTATTCTTCATCCCTTTATTTTTTCAATATAGCTTATTGTTCTGCAAAACGATAAGCTTCTTTTTATTATTGAATTAATAAATCTCTTTCTCTTTAATCCTCCTTTTATTTTTGCACTTGCCCTTGCGTTTGTGTTTGCTATTATTGTTGAACATGATGGAAACTGTGTTAACTATTGTAATAGTAATTTAAGTTCGGTTAGTTAGGAGAATTGACTTCTTTTTTGAGATTTTCGATATAAATATATTCTTTATTGAAAGCTGCCCTAATTGTCTTAATCTTTTAGGCAGTTTCTTCAAAATTGGTATCTATCGATAAAGAAATTTGATCCATTAAAACAACTTCATCCACTATATCTAATTTGTAGATTAAAATAGTTGGAGGTTCTGGTTTATTTGGCAATTTTTCAATTACTTATGGACTATTCAACAACCCGAGTATTAAATAATTTTTATTAAGATTTGTGACAAAGGGTTTGCAATCGGACATTTTCTGCAATATCAACAAGCTTTAATGATTATGCAAATAGACTAATAATGGCCTTGTTTCTTCATTTGCTTTTTTCAACTTATCCTAAAAGTTTCCAGATTGAAACTGTATCTATGTTTGAATCTAATGTTGTTAGAGGTATTTCAAGAATTCACTCCCATAATTAGGTGCATTTTTGACTATATAGAAACTTAAATATTACAAAAATATGAGACGAGACTTGCACCGATTTGAAAAGTTTTATTGATTATGCCCTCCTTTGCTCTCTTTTCTTCATGATATATCCTATATTTTTCAATTAATGCAATATCTTAAGGTTATCTTCTATTACTTTAATTAAAATTTTAAACTATTCCTAACTCTATAATAAATACATTGTACCCTATGAAGTTTCTTATGTTGTTGACCTCTATTATAATTAATCTTATTATGGTTTCTGTTGTGTGCCTTGACTTTGAACTCCCTCAAAATCAAAATAGAGTTGTATTGCATTCTAAATAAAAAGTTTTGAATACATCAAGGTTATTTTAAGCCATCTAAATGTATGATTATGCTTTCTAATAATCTTAGCATCCAGTTATGGTCATGAAATTAGTTATTTTCTCTTCGAAATCCATTTGCTGCATTTTTTATATATTTTTAATTATTATAATCGAAGGTTTAATATAATGGAATAAAGTCTATATTTATTAATTATATTTATGATAGTTTAGTTTTGAAAAAATTTAAACATTTTCTTCTTTTCATGTGCATACAAATGAGTGAATTTTGTATGAGACAGCAACAGAATAAGTGGGGATTTTACTGTAAACCATTAATTATTTATTTATAATACTAGAAATTATAAATTTATTATATTTATAGAATCAACACATTTAAATAATACTGGTTACTGTTTATATGTTATAATTGAATTAGATAGTAAATAAAATTGTTATGCTTAAAGCATTTAATTAGCTTAATAAAGGATGCATTTTTGAAAATCTATTTTAAAATAACATTTTTAAGTAGGCTATATCCCAAAAGGTATGGAGAAAATAGCCTGTGAAGATTGTTAATCCCTATTTAAGGATATAGAAAATGGAAAATCATCAATATTTTTCTAACTTACATAATATAATTTGATAATTAGTTTTACTAATATTTATAATAGAAATTTAATAATACATCAAGAAAGAAATACTGTATACATAAACCTTGAAATTGAATAGGACGATTTCTATTGTACTGAAAAGATTTAGAGATGGGGGATGGTACCCAAAGTATTGACTTATCAATACTTTGGGTATAAAAAAGGAATGTAAGTATGCTATAATACAATCAATAGGTTAGCTTCTCTTTCTGTTAATTAAAAAAATAGATTCGTTTATAGTATATAATCCTCCGAATAATCAGGTCAATATAAAAATCTCTTGCCTTTATAGATCGTTTTGGAAGACATTAGAATATGATTTATAATTATACAAATTTATTAAATACATAATCTTCAAATTTTGAGAAAGTGTAAGAAAAGGAGTTGGAGAATTAAATTTATTTGAAAACAGCTGATAAACAAATACAATTTTTAAGAAATGAATTATTGCGTTTTAGTTTGTTAGAATAATTAAAGAGTAATTAAAGAATAATTGAGGGTGTTTAATTAAATTACATATATATTGATACAAAATGAATTGATGATAGAATTAAGATTGTCTTATATTTTTTGTCATCCAATTTACATATTGAATGTGCATAGATCATTTCTCATAGGTTCCCATTTTCTTATTAGAATTTGATGTCTAATGATTGATGCCCATCTCAAGTAGTGCGTCATAAGAGAATTGAAGACTATGTTCTAATAAACATCAATAATTTAAAAGTAGCATAATTTCTACCAGAAATTTTAATTAGAATCAATCTATTAAGTTTAATGCAAATTAAAAGTGCGCTTTTGTTTATGCTGGTAGTTCAATCATGGCAATCGGAAGAAAATGCTTGTGTTTGTGGTCATTTAAGCAATTAGGAATAGTGTGCAAAGTCATCGATTTGTTAATGGGATGGCAATGTTTGTGTATTGAAAGAGGCCTCCTATATTACAACATAAAGTTAATTGGATCCTTCAAACTGTAAAATATATCCCTAAGAGAAGTGCAATACGTTAGAAAAATGTGGATTTTACCTAAATATGTGTACTGAATTTAAGGATTGCGGCGTATTTTAGAAAGATTAGTGTTCTGAATCTTCCTATCGATGTGTGAGTGATGGGGAGAAATGTGTAGAAGTAAAAGAATGCGAAGACTATTTGACTAATGTAGCATGTTAAAATAAGAACATACACGGTAAATATTGCAGTTGGGGCATATCAATTACACCCAATTGTCAGGAAATTAAAGATTGTACCTTTTTGCCTGAATACTTTAAATCGGACTAGGAATGCAGGGAAGCTCTTTCATATTGTACAGTAAGCAAAAAGTCTTAAGGATGTCAAGAGAGTGGGGAAAATTGTGTAGATCACTAGAACGAAAATTAATGTATAACTAATAGATCTCAAACAACAAAATGCTATTGGGATACAATAACTTTATTATGCAAAGAGCTCAAGTGCGAAAATATCACGGGATATACAGATGAGAGTTGTAAGAAGATTTTGCCTGAATGTACTACAAATGGGAAAACGTGTACTGAGAGAAAACAATGCGAAGATGCCTAAAGTATTGAGGGATGTATCACGGACGAAAAAAATAATAAATGTGCATATTATAATAAGGCTTGTATGATTAAGACTTGTTCTACTGCCTCTTCGTAATATTCAAACTATTATCTTTGTTAAGGATATGACGATAAATTAGATTGTGTAAGTGTCAAAGGAGGAGGTTGTAAGAAGAGACCTACTGCATGTGAAGATTTTGAACAGCAAATCGATTGTGATTTATAGGTGTCTCTGGGTTGTATCTGGTATGGAGATTAATGTTTGGTTAAAGAATGTTAGTATGCTCCTTCAAAATACAATTAAAGTGAATGCAAGACATTTGGATAATGCATTGGGAAAACAGGAGGTGGTTGTCAAGATTGGCCAGAAACATGCGATTTGATATTAGAATAGGAATTTTGTGAGTTTGATAAGGAAGGAAATTGGTGCAGATGGTCTGATGGTAAGTGCTTATAACTAATTTGTACTAATTTCAAATATCCAAATTACGATTCTCATTCGAAATGCCAACTCTTAAGTAAGAAATGTACATACAGTGCTCAATTTGGAAGTTGCGTAGACTATTTATGTGAAACAGTTACTGATGATATGCCTTGTGTAAAGGATTATAATAACAATAAATGCATTAAGAGATTTGGATGTACAGAAAAACAATGTTCAAAAGCTCCAGCTACATTGAATACAAACCTTTTGTGTGAGGGTTGGTTAGCAAATTGCACAGTGAATATATTGGTATTTGGATCAGTCAAATCCATCAGAGGTTGCACAAAGAAGAAAGCATAATGCAATGATTATTTTGACTAATAATGTTTTACAACTAATACTGGCGAGAAATGTAAATGGTCATCCAATAAATGTATTCCTAAATCATGTTCTGATGCCGATATAACACTTGTTACAAATGAAGATTGCTTAAAATATAAACCTTAAGGAGCAGCAGTTCCCTGTATTTTAAAAGTTGCTGGGGCTGGCTGTTAAGATTGGCCTACAGTTTGCAGCAGTTTAGGGAATGAGGTTCAATGTAATTACGGATTGTATAATGGCACAACATGTTATTGGAACGGTAGAGCATGTAAGGACAGATCTTGCAGTAATGCTATAGACACTGTCAACTCAAATATCCTGTGTGTTCAATTTAATCCTATTTGCATATTAGATTCAGATTAACTTGGCTGCAAACTTAGACCCAGCAACTTACTTTGTTCTGATGCCCCTGATTCCCCACTATATGATTCCCATGATAAATGTTTTGCATGGTATAATAAATGCACTGTTTAACCAGTCGTAGGTTGCTATTAAAAATAAACCTCATGTTCTAATTATTTAATCAATTAATGTAATTATACCATAACAGGATAAAAATGTAAATGGGTGTCTGGTTCATGTGCTTCTTTGAATTGTGAATTGAAGGTAGATACAGTTACACTATACCATAGTGCTTGCGAGGCCTATGATATTAATTGCACAGTCAAGACACCAACTACTTGTATACCATTAAAATCAAATTGTTCTCAATATGTTGAGGAATAATCTTGTGTTATCAATTCAACTTACGAAAAATGTAAATGGAATATATCATCTCAAACATGTTCTGATTACACTTGTGAGATGAATACAACTGCAACTACTGAATCCTAGTGTTTCGCAATGAGATAAGGGTTTAAATGCCAATTTAAAATGAATTCGGATGGTTCTTTTGGTCCTGGCTGCGAAACTAGAAAGACTAGTTGCAGTGGGCTATCGTCAGCAATTTGTAATAAAACAGTCCTATAAGACGGGTCTAAATGCTATTATTATTCTTCCTCTTGCACAGTCTTGGGTAGTGAAAACTGCAGTGCAATTCAAACAGGGGGGTACTATTAACACCATATTTGTTTATATTATGCTTCTTATTGCTTAGGGGATATATCAGGAGCGTATGATAAATGTTAGCATAAATACAATTGTGCATCCTTTAGTTCTACACTATGCAATTATATAATAGCAAATTATGACGAATGTATGATAGACCCATACTATTACAATTGTCGAGATAAATTGAATTGTTCAAGTTATCCACAAAACTAATGCGGTTATACTCTTAATTATGTAAGTTGTGTTTGGCTCTCCTCTAGCTATTATTGTGCAACATCAAGTTGTTCTGGTATTACATCAAGCACAGACTCCAATTGCCAAAGTATGTCGGCCATGTGCAGGTATCCTGGCACTGGATCATATTGTAGTTATGTATATTATTGCTCTGATGTTTAAACAAGAGTCAGCAATTGTGCATATACTGTAACCTATTATGGTGAGAGATGCTATTACGATGGTTCCAAATGCCTAACTCGAGAATGCCCTTACATAACTTCTCCAACCACTAATTACGACTGCTATAAATGGAGGAGGAATTGCACCAAATAACCTGGTTATTCATTCTGTGTTGCTACCGCTTGTCATGAATATACTGATATCTATTAATGTCTTAAGAACAGCTGTTATTATTAATATGGTTATGGTTGCACTACATACATCAATTGTAAATACAACTCTACTGCAGTCAGGAATTATGATTGTGAACTATTAAGTCCCATTTGCAAACTGAATTATAGAAATGGACAGGGTTGTGAATTTAGATCTTGTTATGATATTACAAGTTCATCAATTTGTGACGGTGCCCGTAATTTTCATTGGGTGTATTGTAAATATGTTTCAGGTTGTGTAAATATGACTTGCAGTTAAATTACCAGTTAATCCATATGTGAAAGTGCGTATGGCTATTTTAACACAGCAGAAACATACGTGGCTAAATGCTATTGGTGTGACAGTATGTGTTCCTACTCTAAGACCTGTGCATTAGGCTCAACGCAACTCCCAGTATCACATGCTGAGTGTCAATATTTGGATCCCACAAAAACCATCGCCTCAGATACGTATAAATGCACTTTAAAATTCAATAATTGCAGCGATTATCACTATTACAGACAATGTGAATACACAATTACTGGGTAGAAGTGCTTCTGGGATAGAAACCAATCCCCTACTTGTTTTGACTATTGTCTAACTAAGGCCTAAGCAGGTTTAACTCATGCTCAATGTTAAGCATACCATTCTCAATGTGTGGCTAACTCAGCTTCAAATAAGTGTATATACTTGGTCTGTTCAAGTTATACAACTAGTTTGAGTTGCAATAACCTAACAACTTTGTGTATGTGGGACCCTATCGATTCTGTCTGTGTTAAATATGAGACCTATTTATATTGTCATAGATATAGCATAGAGGCAGATTGCAACGCTGGTACAAATAGTAGTAACCACGGATGTCTATGGAATTCCACAAGTTCAAAATGTGAAGATAGGACATGTTCTAATTATGTTGGTGTTCCTACTAGTCTAGAAGACTGTGATGATTGGCTAAAAAATTGTCAATTTGATTCCACTAATAATGTGTGTGTGGCTGATTGTTAAAGTGCCCAAAAATCAAAATAGTACGATACCGTAGAAGAATGCGAAGAATATTATTAAGATAAAATATGCACTATTGTTCCAGGGGTCAAGAAATGCCAATCATTATTCAATGACTGTTCTTTATATTTGATTGATTCAATGTGTTAAGTTGATAGTGCTTATAATCCTTGCTATTGGAGCACCCAATAGACTAAATGCTTTACCTTAAATACCTGTATTGTATTAGATACATATAATGATACCCATTTGAAATGTAATGCTCTATGGAAAAATTGCACTGTGAATACTTCCTTAGCAGGATGCATCGAATTAGATGATTGTGCTAATTATACAATACAAGATCAGTGTGTTTTCGACAAAAATAACATTGATTGTTAATGGTTTCAAAGTAAATGCTAAATTAAAAGTTGCTCAACTGCTCCTCTAGTCCTATACACACCAACAGATTGCCAAGCATATTTTCCAAAATCATTGTGCACAAGCAATAATAATTCGGATGCCTGTTTTGAAGGTCACAATGTTTGCAAGAAATACACAATGGATGCTTGTAGTCTCCCAGGATAAATGAATAGTGCAGGAATCCCATGTTTTTGGGATTTAGATTAATCAAGATGCAGAGAAAAAGTATGTAGTAATGCTCCCTCCAATTTCGAAACTACTGCATAATGCGAGGGTTTCCTTTCAAATAAACAATGCTAAATTATTGGATGTAAGTAAATTGAATGTGATGATTTTCCTTACAGAAATGATGAAACTTGTAGAATTGCTATGGAGAATTTCAAATGTACTACTAATGGATATGAGTGCATCGACAGAACCTATTGTGAAGATGCAACCTTAGAAGATGCTTGCACTTTTGATTATTAAATGAATGAATGCCAATGGTTTGATTATCCAGATTATTAGTGTGTCTAAAAAACATGCAGTACTGCCCCTGTTGAATTTAAAACTCATATCGAATGTCAAAATTATCTCAAAGGATGTACTAACAAAATTGAAGGTGGATGCACCAATCTAAAAACTTGTCTAGAAATCATTACTTAAGATGGATGCAAAATCGATATTAATAATCAAGAGTGTTTATGGGATTCCTTCTTTAAAAAATGTTTTCCCAACCATTGTTAGGGATTTTGTGGAGATGGCATGATTTAACTGCCATTAGAAGAATGCGATGATGGCAATTTTCTGCCTTATGATGGATGCTATGATTGCAAAATCCAATGTCCTCTCGGATGCAATGATTGCAATGGTAAGATTTGCCAAAAATGTAATGAACTTAAAGGATATTATTATAACTCAGCCACATAATAATGCTAAACAAAATGTGGAGATAAGATAGTTAATGGACAAGAATATTGTGATGATGGAAATGACATTGAATATGATGGTTGTTATGAATGCTAGTATTCTTGTGATATCTATTGTGTTAATTGTTATCAGGGAGAGTGTATCGAATGTCCTAAAGGTTTTAATCCAAATGGCCCATATTGTTAAAGCAAATGCGGTGATGGAATCTTAAATCCCATCTTTGAAGAATGTGATGATGGTAATATTAAACCTAATGATGGATGCGATTCGAATTGCTTCGTTGAATCAAATTGGAAATGTAAAGTCGTATCATCTATGAGTGAATGTTACTATCTTGTTTATCCTAAAATCGTTCTTACTTTATTAACAAAATAAACGGAATAGACCTAGGATGTAAAAGTGAGTTTTTCTGAAAAAGTCAAACTAAATAGCACTTCAATTACTCCTGATGATTTTCTAAGTTAAATGCAAATTCTTTTCACAAACAAAGACTCTGTTGATTTTTCTTTTAATATTGTACCTATCAAACCAATCTCCTATGAATTAGATGATGCCTCTTATAGAATTACTCTAACTATTAAAGAATAGATTTTGAAGCCAAATCTATAAGTTATTATAAAATCAATATATCTAGTAAATCAATTTGATAATACCTTATTTATATAACAAGAAGACATAATTTTGAATGACTCATTTGTAGTATCTGAAGACTCAAAATCTGTTGCTGCTAATGCAGCTTTTTTGAGTTAACTTATCATCTACTCAGTTTTAGCTTTGGCAATAGTTTCCTTTCTTAGTGGAAACTTAGAAATATTATTTAATTTAATAGATGTTTTATAGCAGCTATCATACATTAGATACATAAATATCAACTTTCCATACCATTTAGATCTATATTTTGATGTATTCAACTTTGTTACTTTGCAACCTCTACTTGATTATGTTTAATTTAATTCTTTTCTTGAAGGTTCATTGAATTTGCAAACACCAGAAATATTTCCTCCAGGCAAATTCAACATGTTTGGAGTGAATGCGTATTTTGGAGTTAATTTTTAAAGTTTCTTAATTTGCATGGTTGTAGGTTTTGCTAATTATTTCCTTGCCATACTTATTACTTATATTTTAAAAAAACCCACTTTGGGTTGGGGTGATACTCCAAGCAAAATTTCGAGATACTTTTATCTTCTAATCATGAAGGCTTACCAGTTAGTTTTTTCTACTGCCTTCTCCTATATGCAATACTTTTTCTTTTCAGGATTGATTAGAATTTTCTTATCAAATTATTATGATTTAACTTTCTCAGCATTGTTACAAGTTATGAATTTCAACACCGAATCAACTTTACTAAAGTGGAGCTCCCTTTTAGCAGCTGTAACCTTGTTGATAAATGCGTTTTTGATCTTGATATTTTATGCCTCATTGTCAAAGAAAAATGTATTCTAGAAGAGCCTATATGTTTTGGTTGATGGATTGAATATTGGAAGGAATAAATGGAACAAACAATTTAATACAGTAACATTAGTAAAAAAGTTGTGTTTTATTTACTCATTAGTCTTACTTCAAGATAGTCCTATATTTCAGACTTTGTTAATTAGCTTCATCTCTTCAATTTTTGCCATCTATGTTTTACTATTATAACCTTTTGAGCATCAATTTGAAAACTATAAAATTATTGTTACTGAATTTTGTGTCAGTTTCAATACTTGTTCATTTTTAGTTTATTGCTCCAAAGAAATATTCTACAATAGTGAATTTTCAAACATGCTTGGATGGTTAAATATTTTTATGTTTAGTTTAATCCTAACTTTTAGTTTGGCATTGGATTCTTATTCACAGATTTTATAGCTAAAAAGAATATTCGACAGGATGTTAAAACCTAAAGTTTTAAACAACTAAATAAAAATTTAATCAACAAAATTGTTCACTGTTGTGGGAGAAAACGAAGTAAATTTTTGAATGTTAAAAATTTATCGTAATTTATAATTATCAATTTATCTATTAAAAAATCTTTTATGCTCTTATCTTAAGACTCGATTTCATTAATTCTAACTAAGGCTTCAATTTTTCTGATTCATATTTCTAAGACTATTTTATTAAATCCAAATAAGCTTGGAACTCGGTTTAAAAATTTCTATTGTTTTTAAGCAACTAAAGTTAAGGCTTGAGCCTTTATAGATTTTCGATTGCAAATTCTAATTTTAGTTTGATTTCTATATCCTTCAACATATTTGAGATCATCTCAGTACAATCCTGGTCATAATCGGTTCTACTTGCCATCTCCATTTTGGCTATTTGAGTATATAGTAATTTAAATTCTTCCCTGGATTTCTGCTTCCTTTTTTCTGCAGATGTTTACTACTGTTAATGCTAATCATTTACATCTAATAGAGTCATATCCTTATCCAAGCACTGAGGTCCAATTTCGTTTAATTTATCATTGTACTCTTTGAATTACAGTAAAAGTTCCTATTAGCTTTGCAACCTTTCAACTTAATCTTTTGCTTTGTCAATGTATTATTGTACATTCTTCTCATTATAATTAGTGAATAGAAATAATTGCTTTTGAATTATTAGATCCTCAGCATTTTAGCTATATAGATTAATAATATTTAAATTACATTTGTTTGACCTCTACGTGTTTCTTTTAAGCTTCTTCTCCAGCCATTCTATTAAGTTCTTTTAAGAATGCTGTAAATAATATGAATCATTTAGTTACATGTCTACTCCAATTTTTCATCTGTATTAAGAGGATCAAAAATTCTTGGTTTTTTCCTGGCACTTGTATTTGTTTATTCCGCAATAGAATTTCCAACAGCTGTAGGTTTCTGGTCAATTGTTTTTTGAACTTTGACATTTTAATTTACTTGAGGTTGAGCTTTCTAGACATTTTGAGTAGGCTATGGCGTTTATTTATTGAAAGATTGATCAGGCAACTTTACTTCCTTGAAGTTATCAATATTGTCCATTTTAAAGTTGATTGTTTTTTTTTCGAGTGATTGTACTGAATTTTCAATGATAGTGCCTGTTTTTTTTGCTACAACAGCAGGTTATTCACTAATTAAGGAGGACTTGTTTTAAAATGTCATATCTTATTCTGATTCTGAGAGTGAGTTCATAGGGTTATAAAAGTATCTGTCATCAATAGAAGAATCTGGAGAATACATAAAAAATATTTATGAAAATAATTATAAATTATAGTTAATGTACCGAATATATATATAAACTCATAAATCTCTTGTGGCAAGATATCCTTTCTCTAAATCAAAGTAACTTTGCAATTCTTTCTATCCATATTTCAATACTTTTGGTATTTTATTAGGTTTTTCATCAATAAGAGGAAATCTTTGTGCTTCCTCTCCGTCTTCGAACAGAATTACACTAGGCAATTACCTAGACATTGCTCTTGTATTAATCCTATAACATTCAGCCAATCTTGGTATTTTGGCTAAGTTAATTAAATAAATTTCAATCCATTTGTTGTATATTTGCATGAATGATTAGCCCAAATTTCCTTAGTCTTTCAATGAATATAAATAAAATAGTACATAATTACAAGTATCTGCCCAATCAATATAAAACTCAGCAAATACCATTTCAGTCATTTTATAATTTTATATTTTCTTCTTTTTTTTTCTTTCCCTTTCTGTTTCTTAGTAAATCTCTCATTTAATTCTTCAATTATATCTCCGTTTTCATTATCCTTAAATTTGACTCTAACCAGTTCTTCAAATTCTTAGATCTCTTCGATGTTAGATTTTTGTTTTACCATTAAATTTAGGTTCACTACACAAAACAAATATGGCCAAACAAGCACCTCCATATAATAAACTAATTTTAGCATCCACAAACAAATAACTGGTTATCAATGCAATTTTTATTGTTAAAAAAAGCGAGCTCAAAAATTATATAGTAGAATAACTTCTTAAGTATTTAATTACTGCCAATGCCATGATAGTATAAAATATTGAGTTTTCTCTAGTCGTATCTAATTCATCAGACAGATCCAAAATAAAGAAATTGAATAGTCTAAAAATCCTAGAAATTGGATATATGCTAATTAACAGAAAGTTTAGAATATAATAAAGAGATATCATAAAATAAATTTAATATATCAATTCTTTATCTAATATTATACATATCATTTAAACTTTAGTGTTTAATCAATTGAATCTAATGTAATAAATGACCGAACAATTATTAGACATCTTAAACAAAACTTCATATCAATAATTTTTATTTTTTAGCTTAACATCATAATTATTTAGATTCATTTCATGTACCCAAAAAAAATCATAATAATAAAGAAGAAAAGATTCAAGTGAACTTTCCCCATTAAGTCCTCCTTCATCATAAGTGTAAGAAACATAGTATAAATACTTGCCTTTGATGACTAAAGCCATTAAAGACGAGCTAGATCCCAAATGGCAAGAATGCAAATTATTAGGTAAAAATTATACTCCTCGTTCAAACTCTGCCATAGCTATCCATGATAACCAGTAATTGTTTTATTTGACTTAGTTTATATTTGTATGGGGGATATCAGTAAGCTGAAGGCATTTTGTAAGACTTTTATAAACTCAATATGAATGGTGACTCCTATTTTTGGCGAATCATAAAATGCGAATATGAGCCTGGTCCTCGTTGTCGTCATTCACTTTATGCCTACAAGAGTTGTCTTTATTTATTCGGAGGATAAATAGCTGATTCTATATCCACAAATGAAATATTTGTTCATGACGTCAATCAAAGATTTTGGAAAAAACTTGAGATAAACGACTCATATCCATAACCATTAGATAGCTATAGTTCTGCTGTTTATAGTGATAAATTATTTATATTTGGAGGCTTTTACACTTCTGATATTTGCAAACATTCTAATGAATTATATTCATTTAATTTCAATCTAAATAATTGGATTAAACTGAATAGATCCAAAGGAAGACAACCCCTTCCAAGAGATGCTAGTTCTATAGCTATTCATAATTAAATTCTATATATGTTTGGAGGAAAGAATGGAGATATTAGATTCAATGATTTATGGCAATTTGATTTGTCAAAATAAGAATGGAATTCCATCCCCATTTGTGGTTCTAGTGATATTCCCATGAATAGATCTGGACATTCCCTTGTAGCTTATGAAGGTTAGCTAGTACTTTTTGGAGGGATACATGATATAACTTGGGAATTGGATGACTTACTTACTTTTAATATAAGTAAGTAAGAATGGAAGACAATTAATTAAGATACTTCTCGAAGAAAGGATATGGAAGTTCCTTCTCCTATTAAATCTAATCAAAGTCCACAGAGTAAAAGAAAGTCTGTTAAGTTTACACCAATAATTAGACCTTTTAATTTAAGGAAGTCTTCATGTTAATCACCCAAAAAGGTCAGATCCTTTACTCAATCTTAATAATATTATTTTCCTAAAAGTTAGAATGTAATAATGAACGAGGCTCATAAAAAACATGATTCTTCAATTATTCCTTCCAAAAATCATGTTCAAGAAAGAAGGAAATCAGATTGTCTTAAGAAAAAGGCTGCTATGCTAAAACTTTTTGATGTTGAAACCAATAAACGAGATTCATTTTAAGATGATTGCAATATTACAGAAAAATTAAAAACTTCCATACTTTTAATTGGAAATCCAAAATAGGATTTAAAACTAGCAAAAGGAACATTGACTGAGTTTGGAAAATAAATAATATCCAAGTATTATTTGTTTTTAATTTTAGATTTATACTTCCTCTATGTAATGGTAAAAATGTAATTAGTGGAAAAAAACCATGTGCTCGTGATGGACATGCAATCGCAGTTTTAGAAAATCAAATGGTTCTCTTTGGAGGTGATAGACACACCATGTCATTTAATGATCTCTTTATTTTAAATTTGTCATAGATATGAATACTTATTGATCTTACCATAATTTTAGTATCAATAATTTATATATTATAAATCAAGCAAAAATATCAATAAGATATTAAGTATTTATTTGGCAATCCTATGATTTCATAGATGCTTTGAAGATTTACTCAAATTATTGAGATATTTTGGAGTTACATAACTCAGTTGAAGATTTCTTTTACTTTTTGATTTAATATTTAATTTACATTTTATTATAAAATATGCAAGAAGTTATTGATTATGATGGCCTTTCATAAAACTTCAATTAATGTCCAATTTGTTAGGAACAAAAAGAAGATAATTCTGAATTAAAGTGTAAGCACGTATTTTGCAGGTTGATTTGTTAATAATATTAGAAAATGTTTAGAATAGTATTTAAATGTAAAAATAGATGAAGGAATAGTAATGCAGATTAGATGTCCTTCCTGTCTGTACGAGCTCTCATATGATGAAGTTGTTTCAAATATTGAAAAAATCAAACTCGACAAATATGCAAAATTAAGAACACTTTAATATGGTGAGAGTGATCCCACATTAAGACACTGTCCTAATAAATAATGTGAATACTATGTTCATTTGGATTCCAAAAGATGCTCGTGTGGATAAGAAATTTGTGTTGATTGTGGGAATTAATACCATGGACTGAGGAGTTGTGATGAATTGATGGACTCAATATTTGTCTTAGATAGTAGGCAAGAGAAAATATAAAGATGTCCAAAATGCAAGATCGTAGTTCAAAAAGAAGGTGGATGCAATCATATGACATGTAAGAGGTGCGAATATTAATTTTGTTGGATTTGCAGGAGAAAATATACATGTATTTTGTTTAAGAAAAATAATTTAGAATAACATTATAATAATTACAACTATTTTTTTGGATGTCCAAATAAGCAATACTCAGATACCAAACCATGGAAGTATCCAACATTATATAAAATTCTGCCTTTCTTGTTGTTCTTCTTATTGTCGCCTGTTTGGATAGTATTGGGAGTTATCTTACTTGTAGGACATCCTTTCTCTGGAGCCTATTATATATTTAATCGATGGGACAATGATGCAGTTGGTAGGTAAAAATATTTATTAATTTTAGGTTGAGAACTGTTTAATTTGTAATGGTCACTTTTTTTGTTTATTTTATTGGAGGAATAGTCCTATACCCTTTTGTAGTGTTGTACGAATGCATAAAGATTCTCTTTTTCTTGGTGTCCTTACTAGTCAGTTTAATAAAGAAGTTTAGAAAATTTTGATTAATTTAATTTTTCTAATGTTTCAAAAACAAATTTTATTATCTTGAGATTGTTACCAAGTGGATGATAATATTGATTAACTCTTAAGATGCTATTCCATTATCTATGACTGGTACAGTTATCAAAAGTTCTACACTAGATTTTAATTTCTTTGTATCTTTTTTATTTTTGGCTTTTGTTTTAGAGTATTTTCAGATTTCATAAGTAATGAAGTATTTTAGATTAGAACTGATTATAAAAATGTTAGAAATCTATCAAATTTAATCACATGTTTTATTTTTAATTACTTAGCATAGATATTTTGAATGAATGTAAATAAGATTAAAGGGTTATCCTGATAATTTATGTCTAAGATATTTCTATGCTCATAATTTTCATATTCAATCTACATCCCAATTAATATTAAGCTAGAAAAAGGAATAAACAAATAGAATAAAATTTTTAACTAATTATAGTTACTACATTATTCTATGAAAATGATCAGTAAGATTTTCTATACAGCCCATAATCTACTTATATTGTCTTAATTAAAGTCAGGCGTAAAAATGGTATCGAATCCCCTCCTCCCAATTAAATTCTAATGTCGCAATTTTATATTGTAGTTTACAATCATAAACAAACAAAGATAGAAATCTATATATGTTAACACTAACTAAATGGATAATATTTTCTTCTTTGAGCAAGAATCAATGATAAGTTATATAAAATACTTTTTGATTTGTCATTAAGATTAAATTAAGAAATATTAATTCATTAAATATTTTATATTAGTATTTTTGTCAACAAAATTCCTATTTTTTTCGTATAGATAATAAACATAGGTTATGATGAGATTTTACCTAATTTTATGATCTTTATTAATTAATAAATGCTATAATTTAGAGGATTCCTGATTTATGATTTAAAGAGGTCTATATTCTTCTTTGAAATGAGAAGAGACATTGAACTAGACCCAAAATGGTTTGCATTTCAGAAAGATGTTAGAAAAAAATTAAATGAATAAGATGTATTAGAAGATAAAGTTTTGGAAATGAGCAATGTATATGGAAAAATAAGAGGAAAATTTGATGATTTTTAAAGTATTTGCAATTCAGTATAAAAAGAAAGGTTTCTGATTCTGATAACCTAAAATTCGGTTGAGGATATTTATTTAGCTGAATTATTAAATGAGATTTTCTCCATTTTGATAGTCTAAGAACATTATATTAAAGTATTTCATTCCTAATATACAGTTCTTCAAAGAGGAGTTAGAAGCTTTGACATTTTTTGAGGTTGAGAAAATAATTCAAAAAAAAGAATATTATTTAATCTAAAACTTTCATTCAATGCTTGCTCCTAATCTCTTCTCATAAATTTCAGATAATCAGAAACTATTATTTTCGAATGATGTAGAATTATAAATGGAAGTATCCAAATAATCTGGTTAATGTGCAAAAGAATAGATAATTTTCAAAGGATTTACAATTTTTGATACATAAAGATAATGCTTTTATATGTTAATTAAGAGAGGATTTGAAAATGACGACTTATGGAAGATGTAAAGAACATAAATTTAACAATATTTACTTAAAAGGTCAAAAGATCCATTGTAGCATTTCTTTCTTAATTATGAAATGGGTTAATTCCTATTCGAATATGATAATTAGGCAAGTAAATAATTGATGTTAAATTTATAGAAAATTATTTTATACTTCTGACTGATTCTACATCCTCTCAGCATCCTTAATATTAATTGCTATCTAAATTAAAAGCATTGGTTTAAAAAATTCCAAATTATTAAAAAGTAATAGAATTAAAATAGCTAGCTAAACAAACCGCAAATAGAAAATCTTCTAAAATCCAATTTGGTAGAGGTGATGGAAGCTGAGGAGAGAATTTATTACTAAAAATACTATCCTAATTGGATAGAAGAAGAAAAAAAAATTAACCGATAAATATTAAGATAGAGAGGAATGACTCAAATTTCTTTTCAAGACTAAGGGACAATGTATAATGATGAGTTTTCATTAACTGATTATGCAAGTTAACGAGTGAGATTTGTGCATGATTTTTATTAGTGACTTTTATTTCAAAATTTAATATCATTTTACTTCTATCCAATTATAATCCTCTATTTTATAGACTATCATATATAAATAAAATGTGCCAAGTAAAATTGACAACCTTATCTTTTAAAATTAATAATATATATGGGATTAATTATTTGATTATTATTAAAATGTGTGTAATTTATTTTCTTAATCTCAAGATATTTGAACAACATATATATTGTTTCAATTTATATTAAATTGATGAATATTTGTATTAATAAATAGTAAAATATAAGTTTAGTTATTAAATTCTATCTTATAATAATATTTACTATTCAATTAATTAATGATCATACATTTTAAAAATTTGGATTGATTTTTTAAATAAAAAGATGGCTTTCTTTGTAATTAAGTTTCAATACTTATTACTTATTCTCTGTCAATAAATAGATATTTGTTTTCTCTGGGATGCGACTTTCTTGATACATTAGTGGAGTGCCAGCAATAGTGAGGTGAAATAAAAGATGTCAATTTCTCTGATTTTAGATATTTCCTTATAAAATTATATAATTTAACATAATAATTATTATGAAGAAAGACCAAAGTGCAGCTTGCTTATTTTGCTAGAAATATAAACAAGATGGTTCATTCTCCCTTGTTCTTACAAAAGCTTTATATTGTAAATATGCTCAATCATAAAATTTTTACTTCTAAAGAGACATTAATGATATTTTAGAAAACAAAAGAACCAAATCAAGAATTAGACACTTTGATTTAAACATGTTTGATTTAGAAAACGAATACTTAAGAAGGTATATGATATTTCTTTAATCTAAGATTTTATAAATCTTCAGAAACAAATACTCGTATTTAATCTCTTCTTGAATACTACAAATATCATATTAATATTCCAAGAAACTTTAATTCGAACTTAATTAATTGTCGCATGGAAAAGGTTAGAAACATATAATATCGTAAAATTAAAAAAGAATTGGGAGTCCAAAATGATGTACAGTAGAGTCCAGCGAAACGAAAGGATTCATCAGATGATTGTTCTGTTGAAAACATGAAATATCTTCTGAAGGATTTAAAATTAGTGACAACATAAGCTGATTATTCGAAAATCACAAATTCGACATTGCTTAAAGATCTAATTACTTAGATTGGAAACTGTAATGAAATATTAGATCCCATTGATTTCTTAGAACCTAAAAATTAGATTAGAATTAATCACATCTCAACCAAGAGTATAACATCTTCAAATGCAATTAAACTGAACATAGAAAAGTAAATCAAGTCAAATCAAAACTTAAAAGCCCCCTTTGTCTCTCGTTATCCAAAACTTGTAACATCTAGCAAACCTCCTACCATTAAAATTGTAATTTCTTAGCATCAATAAAATTCTCATAAACAACTTCAATAACAGCAACCCATAAATAAAGGATCAATGACCACTAGAGTCAAATCTAGGTAGGTTTCTATGGGTAATATCGATCTAGCCAAATCAGGCTTACTTACATCAAGAAGCAATCAAAATCATCAAATACCATAACAACATGAAGGTTTAAATGAAGGACTTATGGACTTTGCAATAAAGCTGTTTTCTAATTAAAGTACAAAACCTCAAAGAAAGACTCCTTTTTCTTAAAATAACAATTTCTTTGTCAAAGGAAACAACAATCCTCAGCTTTATCAAATTCCTAATAAGGATGAATTAAAATTATAGTTTAGAAGTCTAAGATCAAAAATAATCTCTCCCAACAGATAAAGTAAATCACATGTTGGCAGTCCTCAGCATCGGAAAAAATAGTAATAGTGAATTTTTGTTAATAATCAAATACAAAATATTTATATATTTTAAATATCTCTGCACTTAAATAGAATAAAGATTATTCCGTTTAAGTTACTATATTTTTAGTTGTTCTCATTGCTTTAAATTACTACATATCTATAGCATTTAAATAAACCAAATAATACATATTGCAGATTTTTTAAATTATTATTTCCTTCAATCACTTAATATAATGATAACATGCAACATAAATAATAACAATTTATTTATTAAATCAATTGTATTTAACTATTAGTTTCTCCATCAAGTTCAGACATTCAACTCTTTTTAATCTGAAGTCCTCCTTAAAACTACGGCAATTGCTCAATAGTTTATTCACATCATTTGGAGAGAATGACATTTACTATAAGTATTAAGCTAATTGTCCAAGAAGGAATGTAAAGTTGACAATTTTCACATTGGAGCATTCAAGAACTTAATCATATAAAAATGCTAAAACTAATAATAAAAGTTACATCTAATAAATTAGGCAGTTAAATTGTAAGCAAATTTAACAAAATGTATGGAGTACTCAAAACTGTTATTAAATATTTCTAAAAAATCTGTATCCTACATAACTAAATTTAGATTTTCATTTAAATGCAAGAAGGTCTCTTAAAATTGATTGAATGTTTCAAAATGAATTTCTAAAATAGATTTTTCTAAATTTCGAAATGATTCTGTCATTCTAAAATGTTCAAAATCTCTCAAATCTAAGATATTAATTTGTTTGTCAATAAGATTTGACTTTATGTCTGTTGTTTTGATCATTACATTTTTTAATAAAATAAAGGACAGTTTTTCAACAGTTGAAACCTAACTTGAATTGTTACCATAGAATTCTAACAGTTATTCCCTAAGTTTTTTTAGAAACAACAAAAATTCTATCTAATTTTAGATTAACATCCTATTGATAGTAAATTCATCATTTTCAGAAGATTGTCTGTGAAATAAAAACTTAGGTTCAGAATGCTGATAAAGATGTTTTGGAGGAAAATAATTTCTTTCTGATTTATATTGATCTTCTCTACATTGTTTATTGTCACTATACCTACTTGTAGTTTACTGTGATTCAACTTTATGATGGACAACACTTACTGTTCTGTCCTTCTTTTAAGTATTGGGTTGAGTTTAGCAACTTGTGATTTTTTAGGTTGATACATTGTTTTTGTTTTCCTCTTCGTTTTAAGGTGAAGCATGAGTTTTTAAATAATGCTTCCCTTTAATCAATTATATTTATCTATTGTCAACTTGCAATTGTAGAGGAGATATCGTATTTCTTTTTATTTTATCATCAGATGGGCTGACATTGGGAATTATTTGCATAGATTTATTTTATTTGGCTTCCTATGGAGTTAAATTTTAAGTATTAGAAAATAGTTATGCTTATGGTTTCAATGGTTAAATTATGGCCTTTTATTATTAATTTGGCATCATCTGTTATAACTGCTAAGATGGCTGTGTTTACGAAAATACTTATTAAATTTATTGTTAATGCATTGAAGCTTATTACTATTTTGAGGAATTCTTATTTTAAGATGGTTATTAAGTTTAATTTTGTGAATGATTTTAAACAGGTTATTATGTTTGTTAATAAACTTAAAGAGGTTGGATTTAAGCTTAAGCTTAGGTTTGTGGATTTTAGGGTTGAGGTTAAGCTTATTATTGGGTTTCTTTTTTTGGTTGCCTTTCAAATGCATTTTCAAATAAAGGGTGAGTAAAGACTTGTTCCCAACCGAATCTATTGTTTTCTTCATATGCCAAGCACCCGGTTATGAATTACTAAGCTAGCTTTGAAATTTTTTTGGCTAAATATAATATAATTAAATTACAAAAAGCTATTTTTTAATTTCTTTATTTATTAACTAGATCTAATATATCTCTAACATTCCAAGGGGTTTTGCCTTCTATCATTTCATAGAAGATTAATCCTATTGACCATACATCGCATTTAGAAGTGTATTACTTTCTAAGTAATACTTGTGGAGACATATAAAGAGGAGTGCCAACAAGAGAAGTCATCAAATCTTCATCTAATTTATCAAATCGTTTGGCAAATCCAAAATCTGCTATCTTGAATATGTTATTATTGGCCACCAAAATGTTGGCTGGCTTGAGATCTCTATGAATGATTCCTCTCTTAAATGATTAAAGAATCCCCCGCAATATTTATATCAATATTTTGGTAGCAGCTGATTCCTCTATTGGTCCCTATAATATTAGATTAAACTATTACTGATCTTTTCATATATTCTTTAAGGTCTCCTCCAGTGCATAGTTCCGAAATTATATAACAATTATTAGCCGTTGTAATTACATCAATAAGTCTAACTATATTTGGACAGTCCAAGTCTTTCATTATATCTATTTCTTTTTATAATAAGGCTTGATTGTCAGCAGAATATTGTTGGAAGGCGATTGCTTTAATGGCAACAGTTTATCTAAAATAGAAATTGCATAATGGAATACCCTGAATCTATGTTTCTACCAATATAGACTACTCCGTAAGAGCCTCTTCCAATGATTGCTTGTGTTGAAAAAGCATAGTTGTGAATTCGCTTATCTGGTACATGTTTAGATAGCTGTTGAATGCGAGCCTACATATAAATTAAAATAAAATGAACGTTTGAAAATAAAAAATATATAAAATATGGTAATCATTAGTTCTAGCAATAATTCAGATAGGATTCATAATGTTTAAGAATCACTCCTAGTCTTCCATTAATGTCGGTACTATAATACCATTTTAATAGGCCATTTTCACACATCTATATGGTTTGTAACAATTCCAATGAATGCTTAGATACTTTCTCTGGCTAAGTTTCATCCTTTTTACCAGCCATAGCTAAGAGCTAGTTTTTAGCATTTTCATTCAGAGATAATATTTCTATTATTTTCTCTATACAAGCATGTAATTTCTAGTAGAGTATTAAAGTTTCTTCATCGAAATTGTCAATTATTGGTTGCGTAGTTGCATATTTTAGTTTCTAAATTTTATTTATTAAATATACGGAATTAGAATCCTATATTTTTCTTTCAGAAAATCCAATTATTTTTAGACGTTGAATATTCTAAACAGTGCAGACGTATATCGAATGTTCATGAACTGGCACACATTCAACTAGCCTTACTCTCATGCAGCAGCCATTATATTGAGGATCAATTATAAAAGTCAAATTTTTTTTCAATACTTCTGTAATCATTTCCACATATCTACTAATTTCTAATACTTCATACCTCTTTTCAAAGAAATTAAATTGAGTTAAGGCATTGTGATGTAGAGTAATTCTGTAAACAAAGCAAGGATCTCCTTGGTGTTCATGCATCCTTTCCTCAGGTTCAGTAATGGAAAGAAATGGTGAGTTTATGTAGTTACAGCATAATCGTCTGCAAATTGGGCAACTCTGCCTTTGCTTAAATTTTATAAAATAAATATACTTCTAAAGCAACTACTATGCATTCTCTACAAAAAATATGGTTACAAGGCAATTTTATAGGATCTACGTAATCCTCAAAGCAAATGCTACAATTTTCTTATTATGACATTTTCAGAAATATGTTCTAATTTAAAAAATATAATCTAATATTAAATTCTAAAGCTGCTCGTTCTTAAACATAAACTCAGAAATAAATTGTTCTTAATTAAATTATAAATCGTAATGTGTGTATTATTATCATTTATGTTGTCTAACATTTATTTTTATATTATACTATATTTTGATTCAACAAGAGAAAAGGAATTCTCAATTTTATCTAATAAATATTTTGAAATATTAGTGTATCTTCATTAAAATAAGTGATTAAGCTATCATTTCCTTAGCTTAAATTGACTCTTCAATTCTGAAATATCTGTATCTCTAACTAAACGAGCAAATGTTAAAATTTTAGGTTTCTTTTTCTTAAAAAAATGACATTTTTTTTAACACTAAATAAAAAAATTCGTACAGTAAGAATTAATTAAAAGCCAATTAGATTTCATGTATGTTCATCTTGTAACTAACATAAATTATTAATCAAATTAAATAAATTGCAATTACAGAGGACAAAAACTACTTTAATTATGGTATTCGCTCTCATTGATAAATTAAATGTTCTATTAACTATTTTACATTAAAATGATTAATTTTAGAGAGTGAATAATAAATAATTATTTGAATAAATCATCATAAAATTTAGATAGCTAGTGAATGAAAAAAAAGGAATAACTAAAAAAGCGATATTTATAAATCTTAGAAACCATGTGTTTTATTCATATTAAATCTAGTTTAACATCTTTGTATAAATAATCATTATCTGATCTTATTAAATAAAACTTTTCATAAATAAAATGTAAAAAATAAGCAAAGTACTGAATTAAACGTGAAAAGTATAGACATAATTAGACAGGATAGCAACTAGAAAAACATGGAGGCAATGATCAGGGTTATGACTGAGATAACAGTTACTAAACAACTGAAAATTTTGGACTTACTAACTAAATGTTGTTTACTCTATTAATGCATTATGTGTTTGAATCCTTTATTCCTTTTCTAACTAAAAATACTGCATATTTAATACTAAAATATGGTATGAACATATTTGAAATCCCTAAACACAGCAAGGCCAAGCAGTAAATTTCCAATGAAATATTACTTATCTAAAAAATTAAAATTATTTTATTTTACAATTAAAGATGGATCTTTAATTGACAACCAAATTGCAAATAAAAAAACATAGATGCTCACTCCAAACTAGATGATAATAAATATTTTCTAATTCAAAGTTGTTCGTATTTTTTTCATAAACATCCTTTCAAAAAAATTTACTATTTAAAGATCTAATTTTACCTATTTCCTTTGAAGTTGCTCTTTTTATATCTAGCTAGGAAAATATTATATCTTATTGCTTGGACCAATATTTGATATTCAAAATTTCTTCTTGAATTTCAGAAGACCTATTATCAATATATGTAAATTCATTAAAAAGTATTACAGTTCTTTTATGTTGACCATTGATCGAAAATAATTTCTTTCTAATTTGCTTGGTCGATTTCAATATTTCGGAATTTTGCTAACAAAAGATTATGATATATCCAGTAACTTTAGGGTCCCTAAAAGGTAGCAATGTAAAAAATGAATCATAAGATGGTGTATCAATTAATTCTATATCGTATTCTGGAATCTTGGATTCTTAGAAAATTTTTTTATTTATAGCTGAAAATTTCTAAACAAATGTAGTCTTTCCAGCTTATTGTAATCCAATCACCATTATCGTCTATTTATTAGGGGCTTCATTCAATGATAGATTTAAATCATTCTGCATAGAATATTATTTAAAATTATATAAAAAATATTTGTTTAATTGATATTGTATTACTTAAACAGATCATATAGGTCTCATTATTTCTTTTCTTATTCTCTTGTATTGGTATTTCTTGTATTGTTTTGTCTATTATTGTCTCTATTGTCTCTATTATCTCTTCTATCTCTATTGTCTCTATTATCTCTATTATCTCTATTGTCTCTATTGTCTCTATTTTCTCTATTATCTCTATGTTCTCTATTATCTCTATGTTCTCTGTTATCTCTATGTTCTCTGTTATCTCTTCTGTCTCTATTGTCTCTGTTGTCTCTATTGTCTCTATTGTCTCTGTTGTCTCTTCTATCCCTATTATCCCTATTATCTCTATTATCTCTATTATCTCTATTATCTCTATTGTCTCTTCTTTCTCTGTTATCTCTTCTATCTTGACCTCTATTATCATCTCTTGGAGCTCCTCTGTTTTATCTTGTATTTCTCTCTCTTTTTTCTCCTTCTAATTATTTAATTTTTAATGTACATTCTCTTTATCTTTATGGTACAACTTCAGATTCAGGAAGAGGTTCTTAGAATCCAACAGACTTTTTATCTTCTTCTGTTGGTTTTGTTGTCAATTTAACAGTTAAAATAGACAATTATTTAGTGATATTAACTTCAACTAATCCTTCCTCGGTTGGTACATATTTGTCCACAATTTAAGTAGCACCAATTTAATTAATCTTAGTTATTAATTGGATTATATACTTGATATAATCCAGCAACTCTTCTTCTAACAATTTCACTGATCACTAATACTTTTGAAATGGCATTTTCAATTCCTTTAATCAAAACAAAGTCTTATTTTTGGATTTCTTATGTGCCGAGCAACAATTCAATAGCTCTTTTGATGTATGAGCCATCAAGACGTTTGGCTGATACTCTGATTTCATTAATTGGAGCTTATGCTTATTCACTTCTGACGTGTTCGTATTTATCTTAAGTTGCTCTCATAAAAAATTAAAAAATGATTTAAATTAAAATATTTAAAATTGAACTTATGAATAGTAATGATTTTAAGTTTTCTTTTAAAACTTTTGAGAATATCTATAGAAAACAACTATCAATTGATTTTACGAATATTTGAAACAGTGTGTAAGAAAAATACATAATTCAATCGCTTTTCATTTAGTAACCAAATATTTGTTGTGATAATGTAAAATCTCTAATCTAAGGTACAGTTATAAAAGTATTTCAGTTGGCAGTCATTAAGTAAAATATGAAAGTTTATTAGATATTTTATGAAGAGATTAATTGGATTCTAAAATGAGCATTAGTTTATTGATTTCACCAATAATGAATGACTTCTTTTTAAGTTTCAATAGTCTTAATGAATCCAAGGATTTCTTCTTGTTTTTGATTGATTTCCTTCTCCTTTAGGTTTCGATTTGAATTTATATAGGTAAGTTTATTTTGAATAAAATTAATTAAATAAATTATTTATGAATATTTACAATTATCTCTTTAAGTTCATCATAGTTGGAGATACAAGTAAGATAAAAATAAATATATTTAGATGTTGGTAAAAGTTGTTTACTGTTGCAATTTACAGATTCTAGATTCAGAAATGAACATGATGCCACAATTGGTGTAGAATTTGGATCAAGAAACCTAAAAATTAATGATAAATAAATCAAATTACAAATTTGGGACACTGTATGAATATTTCTAAATATTTAGGCTGGCCAAGAATCTTTCAAATCAATTACGCGATCATATTATAGAGGGTATTGAATGAATAGCTAATATAGATCAATCGGTGGAATACTTGTATTTGATGTGACAAGTAGATAATCTTTTGAGGATTTATAAAAATGGTATCAAGAAATTTAAGGATATGCTTGTGATAAAATAGAAATGGTTATAGTAGGAAATAAGATTGACTTAGAAGAGAGGTAAAGTTAAAATCAAGTATGCATTAGAAGAGAAGTTAAAACCGAAGAAGCAAGGAGATATGCATAAAAATAAGGATTTGCTTACTTTGAAACTTCAGCCAAGACAGGTGAGAATGTTGATAATGTGTTTGAAACTATGGCTAATTAAGTGTTAAAGAAAATTGATAGTGGAGAGATAGATCCTACATAAGAAGTACTATCAAAAATAATGTTTAGGTTTATGGAATCAAGATTGGATCTATTGGTATCAAAAAGAAGAATGATGTAATATAGCCGAGAGAATAGCCAAAACCTCAACTCGTTACAACGAGTTAGACTTAGTAATAAGGAAAGAGCGAAAGCTGTTGTTGAAGATTATTTTTAGTAAATTGTATATTCAATTTCTTCATTTCCTAATTAAGTATTGTAAAAACTATTCTATATTTATATCAATTCTATTTTATCAAAATCTGACGACTTAAAATTAAATTATTATTTTGTGTTGCATTTTCCAAAAATACTTAATTCAATAATATTCCTCTTTATTTTTCTACAAGAATTTATTAAATATTTATGGTCAAATAAACAAGTATCCTTTCAAACATAAATATCAAATTATTATATCATTATTAACTCACCTAAATTATTTGAATAAATCTACCAAAGATTCATTATTGCTACACCTTCTATAGTTGTTTTTGGATCTAACATTTTGATATTTTATTAATCACTTTGTCGTAAATATTTAAAATATTTTATTATATTGAATTATTGCTTTAAATTGAATATTGCAACTATTCATTTTCTAATTAATTCTTTGTCTTCAGCATTTTTAATTGAGAAACGTTTGAAATTTCAAGGCATTATCAAGTCTCATATCCTCTTTACTTCTATGATTTGCATTCATAAATTTATTTTTTGAATTGAAACTTGCAGTAATTAATATGAATAATAAGGGTGCTGATTAATTTCAAAGTATTAAGGAGATTCATATATTTCGATAGATTTAGTTATCTTGTTTTTAATAATATCTAAATCTATTATCATACAGATTGTGCCAGTAAATCACAATCTATCACTTTTTCAATATATATATCTATTAAATTACTATATGATATGCAAATATAAAATGTAGGGTACATACAGTCTATATTTGATTCTATTATTAATGATGAAATTATGAATAATTGATGAATTGAGTAAGATATTTAAAAATTATCCCCTATTTTACAAAATTCTATTCTAAAAACTGATTGTTTCCTTCACTATAAGTTATAATTTTTACAGATTAGGTTTGTACATGTAAGATTAAGAAACCATTAAATATAATTTGTTACTTTTTGCACATAGAGAATATAAAAGTGACCTTTTTCTATTTGGTAACAATTAAATAAGTCAAGCATCAAAAAGGATTAATCTTTTTCAGTATTTAGATTATAGAGTAAAATTTCATTATAAATAGTTTAAATTCTTATATAACAGTATGAGGATTCAAGTATTTTTATTGATGAAAACACAAAATAAGAATCATATTAAAGAGTAATACTTAATATGCATTTAGATTTCTTAAAAGTTATTAGATATGAATAATTAGTAATTAAATTTGAATCTTGAAAAATTTGAAGAGGGTTTTAAAGAAAATAGATCAAATTTACACATAGACGTAAGTTGACTATCAAATATCTCTATGTTATTTTAAAGATATGACTATGAATAATCGAATATATAAGATATTTCAAATATTCTATCAAGTTACAAAGAATGTATATTTTTGTATTTTGATTATTTATGATCTAATTCATAATAGATATACCACATAAAAACAGAATCAGTTTTTATCGGTATGCTAGAAAGGAAAAATTAATATGTATTAATTAAAAATATAAATGAAAACACATTAATTGATTTAATTGATAAAAACAAATTAAAAATGGCTCTTAAAAGAATTCAAAAAGAATTAGCTGACCTATCCAAAGATCCCCCTTCAAATTGCTCAGCAGGTCCTATTGATGATAAAGATTAATTCCACTGGTAGGCAACAATTATGGGACCAGAAGGCTCTCCATATCAAGGTGGATTATTTTCACTCAATATTCACTTTCCAACAGATTACCCATTCAAACCCCCAAAAATCAACTTTGTCACTCGTATCTACCACCCAAACATCAATCAAAATGGAGCCATTTGTTTAGATATATTGAAAGATCAATGGTCACCTGCCTTAACAATAAGCAAAGGTAATTTGTTAATCATATAATTAGTTTTGTTAAGTATTTCATCTTTATTGACTGATCCCAATCCAGATGACCCCTTAGTTCCAGAAATCGCAAATATTTACAAAACTGATAAATAGCGTTATGAAGCAACAGCAAGAGAATGGACAAGAAAGTATGCATCATGAAGATTCTATGTATATGTATTATACATTGCTATATAATTATCTATTATTTTATATTGATTTGATTGCTAACGATTAAAGCTAGAAGACTGATAATTGCAAGAGTGCATTGAAGGAATATAAATTTTTCTATCAAACATTTAAAATATTTTTATGAATATAAGAAGTTTTTATTTGAACATTTTTTCTCAAAGACTCTTCAATTTAGCTCTTATAAATGTAAATGAAAGTGAATAAATCTTGGAAAGTCATTAAAATAAAAGTGAAAATATGATTAGATCTTTGAATCTAAAGAATATTTTATTTATAATATATTTACGATTTAAAATAATCTAGCATATACTTAAAAGTGAATATATAATGAATGATTTGAGAATTTATGCAATAATGATCAAATTAATATCAATATTACTTTTATAAATTCTCTACAAGTGATTGAGTTTTTATCTAAATTTTTATAGGTTGTAAAAGGACCTTATGATTGAGTGTCCTCAAAGAAAAAAACTCTAAAAGAAAAGAAAAATATTCACATATTTATTTAATAAAATTGCATATGAATTTTTTGTAAATAATCATTGATGCCAAATTTTTGCTAGGGATAGGAGTTGGTTTTTTTGTGGCATCATTTCTTAAGCTACCGAAGAATGATAATAATTAATGTAATGGTTCATATTCAAAACTAAAATTATCATCTAAATCACTGCCTTCAACATAGGATTTAAAACAAGTATATTTAAAACCAAGCGAAAAGCCAAAATAATTGAAAGTGAAGAGTTAAAGTTTGCAAGAGATATAATAAAAAGGATAAAGGAATTAAAAATAGGAGTTTTAAGAAGAAGATCAAATAAGGAAAAAGGTAAAAATGTAGTATCATTAATTTGAACCTATGTTTGATGAGACGTCGATTAAGGTCTAATCTATCCATACTTCTTCAGATTTGGAAAGCTCTCAGCAGTTGAGAATCGAATGTGCGACGTTGTTGCCCAATAACGAGAATTTCATATCTTGTCAGGAGGATAAATACTTTAATTAGTATGAGAAAGGATTTGACTAGAATGATCGAGATTTAGAAGAGTTGGCGCATATCCAAGAATCTCCAATACTAAAAAATAATGAATTTAGTAATAGAAAACTGAACGTTAAATTAGAATTCTAAAATAGAAACCCAGATTCAAACACCAAAGAGGATTGATAAGATTGTGTGAACCATTTTCATTTATAAATAAGTTTTACTATTTGAGTTTATCATTTTCGAGATAAAATTTGTATTAAATTAAAATGAATAAAGAAATATAGCAATTTTTGTAAAAGTTAGAGAGTGTGATTATATTTTAGTTATTTTCCTGATCTAAGCAATCCTCCGAAACCTGATTTAGAATTTATGGATGAAGATGAATTGTACGAATGGCTTCATCAAAGACTATTATTATTTATTGTTACAAAGGATGTTCAAACAGGAGCAATGGCTATTTAATAGTGGTGCTTAAGGGGATATTGTAATATTATTAAACTTTAATACATAGAAATTAGAATCTGGAATCCCGTTGGTTCATTAATTTTTAACTACAATGGCTGGGCAGTAACTGAAAAAGAATCCAAAGATGGTAGATGAAATAATAAATCTTGTACAAGATGAAAACGAAAAAACAAAATTGATCACTCAATTGCAATAAAATTAACAACAATAAGTAAATATACAAGTATCAGATGTAAAAATAATATTTCATTTAGTCACCAAAAGTATTAAAAGCATAAACAGATAAGCAGGACCCTAGCTTCTTCTAGAATATTTTAACAGCCTTAAGATGTTGGGATAAAAAATAAAAATGATACACTTATAATCATAAAAATGTTTGTAATTTTCTAAAGATATCTTATAATTTGCTTTTCAATTAAAAAGATAAATTTACATAATTCTTATAATATATCTAGAATACAGATCAAATTACTTTCAAATCTAAGATAAATTATAAATTTGAATAACTAGTTATTGAATTTAGCTCAATTTTATATTTAATCTTAGATCTTAAAAGATTTAAACTCATTACTACATATTAAGTATATGATAATTTATTTATTGAATTGTAATTCAAATTATAAACCTAAGTAATCAATCTCACTATAGGATTTTAATCTTATGAAATTTATTCTGCAATAAGATTTCATTTTATTTATTGTAATCTAATAATATTTGAAGTAGTTGATAAATAGTTTGAGTTTCGTTTAATCCATTAAATCAACTATTTTAACTTTATTATTTATTGTCCATCATCAATATTAACTTTAAATATTTAAGTTTTAAAAACCCAAGATAACTATATAAATTAATAATGCTCCTTTAAACATGGAATTATTAAGTTTTTATATTAAACCAAAAGCAGATAAATTTTATACTATTTAATTATTTAATTATTGTAATATTTACTTATTTAGTAATTATGATAATTCTAGTTATTTATGAACATTTAGAGGAATCTTAGATTTAGTTGTTCATCTAGATAATGTGTATTATATATATTAGCGAGTATGATTTTTGATTTCTAAATTTTTAACTTTTCATTATAAATATGACACATCAATATAGATTCTTTGGGAAATAATTTACAAATATAGACTATTTTTCTTAATAAAATATCAATGATTCGGGCGGTAATTTTGCTAGGTGGTCCTAGTAGAAAAGCAAGTTATGGGACATATGAATAGGCATCTCCTTTATTTCCGGTTAGTGGAGTGGAAATAATCGGTCATCTCCTAAATGCAATCCAGAAATTACCCAATTTGAAAGATTTTGTTCTAATGGGTTATTATGATAAGAAGTGTTTCTAATACTTTTAAGAGAAGTACTAGAAATTATATGGCAAAAATATACGTTACATATAAGAGGAGAGTGAAATGGGGACAGCAGGTGGAGTAGCATAAAATTTGGAAGAATTGTTTGAAGAAGTCGAAGGTATATGATAAACATAATAACACAAGACCTTTTGGTAGTGCATTCAGATATTTGTTGTGATTTGCAAGCCCAGAAATTCTATGAGTACCATAAGAAGTAAATTATATTGAATAGCATCATTAGTAAATCTGGTGTTTGCAGTATAATGACAGTTCGCGTATCGAAGGATGAGTCCACTCGTTATGGGTGTTTGATAAAGGATTCTAAGACAGATCAATTGATACATCATGCAGAGAAACCAGAATAATACATTTCAAATTTGGTAAATTGTGGAGTATACATCTTCAATTAAACTTTCAAAACCACAATCTTGAATGTGAAGGCTAAAAAAGAAGCCAATTTAAGTGAAGAACTTTAACATCAACCTTATGTTAAGTACATAAAAAGAAGTACAGATTTGGATAAGTTGTACTTGTCTTTGGAAAATGATGTACTAAAATAGGCAGAGAGAGACAAAGTTTATGTATATGAACACTAAGGTTTTTGGCAATCAATAAAATCAACAAGCGATCTTTTGAATGCAAATCGACTTCTACTTCAATATTATGGACAAAATCCTTTCATATTCCAAAGTCCTGATTTTGAAATCAAAAGTGATGGAGTATTGATTCACAAGAGTGCAAAAATTCATCCATCTGCAAAGTTAGGTAGCAACGTAGTTATAGGTGCTGGTTGTGAAATTGGAGAGGGAGTTCGCATAAAGAACTCAATTCTATTAGATGGCGTAGAAGTCAAAGTAAAATATTATTGTAAATTATAGAATTTCTCATTTATTTCAAATTCAATAATCTGCTACAATTCAATTCTAGGTTATTGGTGTAGGATTGAGGGAGATGTTCAATTCCTAGGGCCATGGGTAATAGTTGACAATGAATTATATTTAAGGAATGTAGTATGTCTTCAAAACTGCAGAGTGTCTAAAAGTTAAGATGGAGGTTGTTTGATGTGAAATTAATATATATATATATATATTCAATCAACACCCAAACATATATCGATTGTTGTGTCATATACTACGGTGGGCATTACGGATTGCATAAATTTCAAGAAGATAAACAATGCCTACATGGGTTTAATTTCTGCTCCATTTTGTTTGGCCTTGTCTAGGAATGCCTTCATTGTTGTTGAATGATTGCATGGATGTATTGTCACTTGTTAATAATGAAGATAAGGGTGTTCCTCTACTGTTACTGTTTCATTCTGATAGACACTCATGATGTCTTCATAAATTTCTTAATGTTTCAATGGTAAACCGCTATTTAATGCCACTCCCTACAGCCATAATCTTGGACAATGGTATTTTCGGTCATAGGTGATGGTGATTGTGTACACTCTTGTCTCTTGGTCATTCAAAGCTTGCTATTGCTTTTTACTCATATCCACACACAGAAAGCCGTCCTATCCTTGATTGTTTTAGAAATCGAAGGACAGAAACTCTTTAATGCGAGTCTGAGATGTTGCATTGGCTATGAGGTACATCTTTTCTGGATGAGGGGGATCTACACCTTTTTTTACTTGAGCTTTTTTCCATTGCCATCCAGTCATAGTCAATTGATCTCCAGCCTCTATAAATTGTTCAGGTGTTAGCCATCCTTTCGAATAGAAATCCTATGCTTTTGGAGTAACAAACGAATTCACAAAATTGTTGATTCCTTGAAACATTTTGTTTAAATTAATTATGCCAAATTTTGATCTATATTTATTCTTTATGATTTATGTAACAATTAAATTTGGAAAATTAATATAGATAAATAGATAATAAAGTCATTACATGTCAATTAGATATTCTTCCACTTTTTCATATATCAATACATACGCTTATTGCTACAAAACATCTTGTTCTGTAACCAAATATACTTTGTGATCATCAAAGTAATACCACTAATAATATAGCAACTATCTTCATACTTGATCTTGTCTCGACGAGAATGAAACATAATGGCCTCTTTCAGGTGTCCCTTAGTGAACAATAATTGATCTTAATTTGTATTTTGCTTTTATGGAACAGAATCTATGATAATGTTAGAATTGTAGTTTACTCTTAAACATCAAGACTGATTGGGAATCTCACATGTCCATTTAATTTAATTCTATTTGGATAAACCTAAAATCGTTTTAAGTGAATCATCAAATACAAAGGAGGTGTGCCTATTACATATTTTTTAACAGCCCTCGTTTCATTGTAACAATTTTCACATTAGTAATGATCACTCAATATTTCTTAGGCAAAAAACAATCGTAGACATTTATCTAAGGTTTGTAACTTATTCATCGACAAAGATAAGTCCAAAAAGGATTCAAATTTAGTGGATTGTTGACTACATTAATCACATTTAATCAAAGACATCATCTATCCCTGGAAAGCAATTTCCGTGATCGGCTAATCATATTTGAATTGTCCCTATATTTCCACAGTCAATTGTTCGATGAAGTATCTCAAGAATTCTTAGGAATCATGTTATTGGCGAGGATCAAATTTATTTTTTATTAATTGCTTTAGTAACTATATTTTGATAAAGGCTCCTGCCTTTTTGTTAGCAGCAACAGTGACTATTTCTAAATAGGCATTCAACCACCGATACTTATCTGACTATTAATTAGCTATTTTCTTCCCTTCATTCATCATCCAACAATTTATCTGTTCAACAGACAATATGGTTTGTAAGGCTGCATGCATGAAACAATAATTGGATTCATTATAAAACCCGATTGGAGGCAATTCGAATTGAGATTTTTGGAAAGGTAGAGTGATGCTCATATATGAAACCGTATCCATCAATCCTGACTACATTGAACTAACTCTAGACAAAGTCGGCTTTTGGGTTGAATTCTCAAATCCTTCCCCTTTACTATAATCTTGAAGAGAGACTTCAGGTCCTCCACCATACAAACTATGAATAAACATCCAAGCATTCCGGTTTAGCAATACGAAATCCACATCCTATTTTAGATTTGGCTTGTAAATAGCATCTGTAGAACATTAGTCAGCAAAGAAGGGCTGGTTGTTAATAGGCCCTGGGACCTTTGTATTGATGTGTTACAAATAACTCGTATAATATTTGGCCCAATCAATGTGAAGCATGTATTATAACTTGGCTTGCTGTGAAATCAAGGTTCTTATGATTTGTCCCTCCACTTCAGATCTTGCATAAGTAGATGCTCTTACCTTTGAGGGGAATTAAGATGCTTTTTGATGGTCTAGAGAAAGCGATTAACGATGTAATCATAGGTATGTCCGGCACTCTTAATAGCAAACAACACTTACATTCACCTAGGTTATCTTTGTGCTTCCTGATAAGGAGTCTTCCAACTTCGATGGTGAGTTCAAGAATTATTTGCTTGCTGGTCTCGTCAATACTTGTTTCCCTTGTCCAGGGTGCTTGAACTCAGGAAATTGAGGAACCTCTAGATTTGTAGTTTCATCACTCTCATAAATTCTTGAATTATTACTCATTCATTCGATCTAAATTATTATCATCAACATCGCCTTTAGTTTTTATTAACATAATTAATTATATTAGAACACAAAATCACAATGTAAAAAAACATTCATAAACATCCTGATCAATTAACTACTCCAGACTCTAAATCCCCTCAGCGTTTTCAATCGATTAGTCTACTGCATACACTTGTACACTCATTTAGCCTTGCATTACTAAATTTGCACACTCTCTGAGTTTCTATGGAAATGCATCATCCAGGTATCTAATCACATCTTATATCTCACTAAAAGCATAATTCTTATTCACAATCTTATCCCATATGAATTAGCCTTCCTCCTACAAAGATTTAAATTTAATCTCATTATATAATTTGTTTATAGTGTACAACTTCTAATCCAATATGTCATCATCTTACAAATTGCTCAGATGCAAATTAGCCTATTTTAAAAACTTCTCGATCTCTTCATTCCCTTCCGAAGGTACAACTCCTTGCATGTACACTTGCAATCCATCTGCACATCCTAAGGGCTTCCTCTTAATTAAGACTTGCTGACCCATTTTAAAATAATTGTTTGAATAAGACTACAGGAAATCTGCATAGAAATACAACTTAGAGGTGGTTTCTATATTTTTCAATCCTGTCTAATAATAATTGAGTACTGATGAAATCATATCACTACTTGATTCCCTTTAAACTATATACTTCAGATTTTAACCCTTTAAATTTAATGTTCTAGTCAAATACGTTTCCTATGAGTCTTAAAATACACTATCGTTTGGCAATACATTACCAATATTTAGCACTTCGATTTTGCTTGACAAGAGAGAACCTTAAAATTCCAAGAACTTTTAATAATCCACTTCATCCAACACATTCAATATCTCTTATGGAGTGTTTATTGGTCTCAACATTATCTTTGGTAAATAATATTGTTGCGTTAATAAAGATAGCTTCTAATCATGGAATCTCTTAATATCCTTATTCAATAGATCTTTCACATAATAGAATAGTTATTCATCATCAATGCTCATCAAATCAAATACTTTATCTTAAAATTCCTATTGCTTCTCTGAATAACTAAGAATCTACACATTTAGACCATTGATTGTCTCTTTAAAAGACAATTCATATCCGAATAAAAATTCCTATTGAAATAATCTTTTCGACAACTCTGTATAATATTTTTATAATAACTTCAGCATTGTTTTACCCTAAGCTAATGTAGATTCAGGTTTCTCAATGAATAATCCAGTAAATACCATGGCACCCAATCTACTTGGTTTCCACCAAACATTGCTAGCAACCTAAAATGGTGTCAATGACGATTAAACTGCTTTCTCCTTCTCTAAACAATCTACTTAAAAGTCTGGCAATGGAAATTCACAAACATACTCGACTGTTTCGAATTTAGGGTCTCTTGATCCATCAAATTTTCCATCTTTTACAGTCAAACTCAAATCATCTACCTACTAATATCCGAATCCTTGTATTTTGTATACAGGCTCTTAGCAAACTGATATTATTGCCAGATTTTCAGGTAAGAATGGACTTATAGCAGGTAATTAGAATTAATATTGGTTGTTAAGATCAAATAATTTTACTAAAGGCTTTAAATCATATGTGAATCCTTAATGAACTTTATTCAGAATTGCATCCAATATAAATATTGAATCATCCTTTTGTGATTCATATGTTGAATTGAATTGAAAATTCTCACTTCCAATCAAAACAATGAAATTATTAGCCAAATTCGATACATATTTGTTGAATTCATCCTTGTCAAATATTGGTAAGCTTTCCTATCCTTTCAAAACATAAATTGGATCTGAAAACAGATTTTATCCACTAGAGATCAGATTTTCTTCATATTTTGTATTGAATAATAATTCTTCCGTTGCCAACATTTAAGAATACAAATATTGAAGCTAATTTTCGTCTGCTTGTTTTAAATAATCCAAAAATTAGATCAACTTATTTATGGAATTTAATACACTTCCTAAATCTATATCCAATGTTATTAACAGATGATTCTACCATATTGCACCATAAAATGGTTTTGGCAATAAGTATGCTAAGAACCTTTAACAACTATATTGATCACTCATAGACAATAATGTCAATAATTCTGTATCACTTCTGAATTTTAGAATGTGTCTACCCTATGGATATTTGTTCTAAAAGATTGGTTGCTAAAACTTATGTAAGTTTTTTAATTTGGATAAATCTGATTAAAATACTTTATCTAAGATCTTTTCCTATTCTTCAGATGTCTTAAAAATCAAACTTATAGTGTCAGCTGAAATATGAGAGATGTACTGTTAGAACAATTAATCAGCATCTACATTCAAAATTGTGAGTTCATTTAATTTTGCTTATTGACTTAAAAAATCACTCACATATTCTAAATCACCAGACTTTGAATCAATCAATAAATCATTATATAAGTCATTAGCATTCTTATCAATATCGATAAACTAAGGCTTTGTTAATATGTTGTACAATTCCTATAATTTTGCATTCAACTCTTCAAATAAACTCAATTAGGCTGTTAAAGTAGTGTAATTGTTGAAAATCTCTATGTAAAAATTGGTTGATAGGCATCTAAATAACAATTCCGTCAATCCAGGCTTGTCTGATGGATCATCTTTCTTCCCTATATTCAGCGTAATTGTCATATGAATTCCCTCTGTGGATGATTAAATCAACAACATTTTTATTCCATTTTATAATTCCTTATAGGTGTAAATATTTTTAGAAAACACAGGCTTTAGAATTTAGATCTCAGATTCTTATTAAATTATAAGTTCTTCCAAATCCTAAACTATATTTTACTGCTCTTCCAATTTCTCCTCTATCTTCTTATTGATATCATCTTCATCATCTATCCATTCAGTACGTACATCATTGTATTATTCTATTTTTGAGATATAACTATCTAAAACACTATCTATCGCAATCTCATCCTCTTTAGGTGCTTTACTATCTCCATTACTCTAAATATCATCACTGAGCCTATTAAATACATCCTACACACCAGAGTCTTAATAATTATCATTTTATAAAGTTCCACGTACATCCTTACTAGGTTTCGATGTAATTAAAACTAATCTATTAATTAAGCAAGCTTACTATTATAATGCTTGAGCAACCCAAATCCTGATAATCCAATCATAATTACTAAAATCAGTATTATAATTGCATCATATTTTGATGGTCCTGATTAATCATAATATGGTTCTATCTTATCCTTATTTCTCCAATTTTATGATTTTAATCCTATTTTTTCGTTTTTGTCTTCGTCTTTAAGCAATTTTTCTTAATCTTCCTCTTGACTCATAAAATATAAGAATTATTTATTATTCAAAACGGATGACAAATTGATTCTAATTAAAAATTACCATATATATCCATAAATCATTATTTCTTCTCATTACATTAAAATGTTATGTTAAGTGTTCTTAAGGTATGTATGAACAAGTATCAAATTTATAATTCAATGAAGATCTCAAAAACAATTATATATAAATCCCACATGTAAAATTATTCGTTCTTTCATTATATGATATTATATTGGATATAATTAGATCAAGAATTCATTTGATTATGACAACCTAGTAATTAACTTTAATTTCTATGGAAATTCTTTAAATTTTCTATTATCCTGAGCTAATGCAAATTTTTTACTGCATTTATGAAATATATATCTGGATTTTTAAGTTAAGAAATAAAATATGAAAATTTTAAATATTTAAGGTCTCACAGTATTATTTGATTGCTTATATTGGAATAAACTAAAATATAAATTCATAATTTTAAGCTAACAAAAAAATTAAGATTTTTGAATAGATAATATCCGATTGAACTAAAATGATGTTGTTCCAAACTCATTAAAAGTCATAATAAGAAAAGTAATAATAATGATTTATATTCTCACATGTTGCATAGATAAATCTTTTCCAATGAAAAATGAAGAAGATTTTAATTAGTAATAATAAACAGTATAAATAAATGAAATCATTTTTGATAAATACCATTATCCCAATAACCTTCAATCACCTTTCCTTGGGTTTCCAAAATACCAAAACCATTGTAAACTCCATCATACCATTCACCATTATATATTAAATTATGCGTTGTTAATTTTCCAATTCCTTATTTCTTTCCTTTATGATAGTTTCCCTCATAAACCTTACCATCAGGCCAAGTAAACTTTCCCATTCCATGCATGTACCCATCTTTAAATTCTCCAACATATACTTCGCCATCTGGAAAATAATAAGTCCCTTTTCCATTAATCTAATTTTCAATGAAGTCCCCTTCATAACTAGCCCCGTCAGTGAACCATCTAATTTTCCCTTTTCCGTGCTTTAAGCCCTTTAAGAATTCTCCTTCATAAATATAATGTTATTTAAGTATTTCTTATCCAATTCCATTAGGCTGGCTATCTTTCCACTCTCCTTCATATTTCACTTAATTGGACGTGTATTTGCCATGACCATGTTATTAATCATTTTCAAATTCTCCCTCATATATTTCACCTTCCTAAAACACTATTTTGCCATATCCATTTGCCATATCATCTTTCCAAATTCCTTTGAAGCAAGAACCATCATGATAAAAAAATTAACCTTCTCCTTCTTTTTTTCCATTAACTAATGATCCCTTATATACTCCATTTGGAAATTCGAAGAACTCTCTATTCTGACTGGTTGGTGTTTAAACATTAGAATCTTGAATTGATTCAAAATGTAAGGTTCGTTTACGATGTAATTTAAGATTAAATGGTACCATCTTAACCTTCTCAGGAGATTAAGATTTTGTAGTATTTAGGGATTCGATTTATGTCAATTACCTTAAATCAGAGATATTAAGATTAAAAGATTTAGTATCAAACTTATTAACAAGGAAAGGTTGTTGCCTATTTTCTATTGAAACAGATGCAAAATCCTTATCATTTATTTCAACTTGTTAACAATAATTTCCCATATTTAAAAATATATAATAAATTATAAAATAATGTTCTTAATTATATTTTTTCATTATTGAACATCCATTGAGCTATAAATTCAAGAACCTAGACAAAAGAATTTGAAAAATAATTATACAAATAGATCTTTCACTCATACACCTACTATTTTGTTTGCAATAAATGAACTTATTTTATGAGACTATGCAATATAATTGATATGAGAAGAGTATCTCTTTTGACTATATCTTTAATAATTCTCCTATTAAATTAAAGGCTATGCTTAAATTAGAATGTATTCTTTGAAAGGCAATTTTATTAAATAAGATTATAAGATATAAGTCATGATTTTACTCCGATAATTACTATAATGTTACTAATGTAATTAAATTAATTACCAATAAATATTAGATATATCTTTCCTAACATTGTATCTTCAACTTTACTTTGTGCCACTTCTTTTTAATTAAAATACCCTTGAATATTTTACTTTTCTCAATTGATCATAATATTTTGATGCTGTTATCTTTAATTTTAAGTAATCAATTTTCCTTCTATAAATATCAAATAAGAACTGTAATTATTTGCTATTCATAATATTTATACAATATATTTAAAGAATCTCGGTGCTTAAGAATGAAAATCAAAAAACCTCAAAAAATAGACATAGAATTAAATAACTCTCTATTACGAGACATACTCGCTATCAAGTGAAATTCAACAATGGATTATTATACTAAAAATTAGGAAAAGAATAGGAAGAATAAGTTTCTCTTTTGATTTCAATTTAAAATTAAAATTAAATAATTTTTTCTTTTCTCCACTATATAAATGTTTTAAGTATATTAAATTATAAAATGAATAGATTAGTTAAAATCATGTTTCTAAGCTTTGCTTTTTACGCGCTAGTAATGGGTTTAACCAAGGTGTGAACTCCCCAATATTCATTTACTTGAGTTAAAAAATTTGATTATTCTTTTGTGGACCTAATTAAGGTGATTCACTTATAGATGCCTAAAAAATTATTCCTTTCTTCTTAGACTTTTCACTCTAATATTTTAATATTCATACTAATATTCTTATTCTTTATTTCTTGGGTCTGTTTTAAATTCTATTCCTAGTTACCTTAAATACAGTACTATCCGATGTTCACTTTCAAATTATTATTAATCAGAGCTATGGTATTAGGGTAAGAAGCTATCAAGTGATTCCACTGACTCATTAGGTAAGATTTGTTTTTCTAATTCTTCTGGAAAAAGAAGTTCAATTTTGGGTTTCCTCAATTCGTTTTCTCTTTTACCATACTGCATTAAATAATTATAATGTTAATTAATTAATTTTTCAATCTTCTTGCTCTATTTTTTGCTGACTTTTTTATCTAAAATATTGATAAATATGATAAAATATAAATTATGAGCATTATTGTTCTAATTAAATCAATTTTGATCAGTTAATTTCTTTTAGGTTCATTAACAATGAGAAAAAAATTGTCTAGTTGTTAGAAATATTTGAAATAATTATATATTATAAAAAGATCAACTTGAGGATAATTTAAATCTATTTTCTGTTGAAGAGTGTTAAAAATAATATTTGCTATTTTAAACAAAATTTTGATTTAATCTTGTATTAAAAAGAGTATTGATAATAGATTTTAATCTAATTCCTAGTGCTATTATGAAATTATCTTGCTTTTTAATTCCATCTTCAAAAATTAGAGATAAATTTTTTATGGATATTTAAATATTTATCTGATAGTTAATAATAGATATATTGGGTATTAAATAAGTATTATATAAATAATATCAATATCATAAAAATTGTCATATATAAAGTTGATCTAGAAAGTATATGATGATATATTCCTTTATCGTATCTAGGATATATAATTAAAACAAATTAAATTGATAAATGCATAGCTCAAAATCTAAAGCAAATTTATTTATAAATGAATTCCGTGAATTATTCAAAAAGGATAATTTTTAATAATCCAAGATGTCTGAGTATAATATTACTTATTTAGTGTTATTTTACACTTTTCATACCTCATTATATAAATTCAGTTGTTAATATAATCTTAGATATTTTTTTCTTTCACATTATTTTTAAAGTATTTTTAATTAAATTAAAACTTTCCAGTAATAGTTATTGAGTCTAATATTTCGTAATTCTCTAAAGAATGTAAGATATAGTGTTAATAAAATCTATTTAGCTTTGATTGTTGTCATGAAATGCTGTTGCAACAAATTTAATCCATTTTTAATTGTTAAGTTTAAGATATTTTCTTCAATATTAGCATTTAAGACTATTTATTTCTCTAATATATCCTTCAATACTTGAAATTCTTTCAGCATAATTCTTTTTTTTGAATATCATCCAAAATGATAGTAAATATTGAAAAATAATTTGAATATCTGAGGAATTATAAAATTCCATCTTTTGAAATCTCAGTTAAAGAATAGAAATATAGAAGGATGAATTTAAAATCAATTTAATAAACATAAATTAGTTTTATCAAATATTTGAGAGTCAAACTATTTCTTATTATTGTAACAATAATCTAAGTTATCTTTCATAAGATTCATCTTCAATCAATATCTGTAAGGGGATTATGTTAACTATTTTCTTTATTAAATAATATTCAAATATCAAATACTATCTTAGCAATTTTGCAATTAGTAACAATCCAGCTAATGCTATCACAAAATACACTATTGAAAGAGACTAAGTCAATATGAAAAATCTACCTTACTAAATTCTAGCTACACATTAGTTATTTCTTTAATTCCGTAGGACAATTAATCATTCAATTGTATAAATATTCTAGTTATAACTTAGGAACCTTCTTGTTCATAGAGATTAAATGCTAGCCTATGAGTGAAATTATTTATGGCCTATTCTGCTTTTACTTAGTTGGTAATATAATTTAAAGTCTAAATGGTCCCTTACTTTAATGTTCCCTCAAAGGCTAGATTACATTAATTGTACATAAAAGCTTTATAGTTCTACAAAATTAAATACAAATACATCTGCTAGAATTTCACATAGATTTTCAGTCAATACATTATCATAATAATCAATGAATGTCTGAGTAACAATTAATTGATCAAAATCGAAAGAATTGACTTCCAATACATATTAGTTCATGATTGAAAGTGCTTCTTCTATAAGAATATACAATTTTTGTTTATCACTGTCTGTAAGATATGTAAAATTGTCCCATCGATAAAAAATCTCTTTTTGCATGAGAACACTTCCTGATCTAAGTTTCAAATCAGAGATTAATTTAAAAAAATCTATTGTTGATAGATACTTTTTAAAGAAGCTTTAATTTGATTAATCCACTAGTGTTGAATACGAAACAAAGATAGTACAAAAAAATAATAAAATTAAAGCAGGCTTCAATCTACTTACTTTAAATACTCTTTTTAACTTATTACTCTTTTTATGTGTAGAATTATTTCCCATTCCATTTTGAACCTTGTTCTAACAATATTCAAAATTAAATTAATAATCAAATATCATTTTTTCATCATGAAGAATTTGGGATAGCATTAATTTTAATTTTGCAATTTCATTTTCCAAGCGATCTAAAGACAAATAATCCATCAGATATAAAAATTTATCATACTGGACTAAATATTGATTGTAATAAAAAAATGATATCAAATTTGCTAAAATTACTATTAAAATTGAAATAAGCCAGAATATCATCCATTTCTGATTAACACTGTTTGATCTTTCTTTTGAGTAGACAAAAATCTCATCACTGATTTATGTTAATAAATCATGCAAATCAAAGTAGTTAGCGTAAAGAAATACTTAAAAAGGAGACCCACTTGGGCTTTCTCTCCTTGAATACTTTTTAGCATATGCGAATTAATATTGTAATACAACTAATAGCACTTCCCTAAAAGTCATTTGTTTCGAAATCACAGACGTTTCATTCTCCTTCATGAATCTGATATTCATATCATAATCATTATAAAACAATTACAAATATGGATTATTTAATTACGTATATAGACTGTCTTTAAATTCTAGATATCCTTGATAAATGTTATCATAGTATGGATCTGTTAATTGTTTATAAAGAGTCTAATTTATAAATCCTTCGCTTAAGGCTTACTAATAGGAAGATAATGTAATTCTCATTGAAAAATAAAGATCATGGGGAGCCATTACATCCGAGTGAAGTCCTATCATGTTTATTTCAACAATACTGTTATCCAAATCAGTCGGTATCTATGATAAAATGATGATAAAATAAATCATTTAGATCAAGTTTTGAATTAATAAAAAACCTATAAACTAATTGATTTTTAAGGGAGGTTTTTAAGAAGTAACTTTCTCAATTAACTCATACTTTTTATAAAACAGTGATTAATTTATACTTGCAACTGATGATTAAGATTAAGGCTATTAATGTACATGTAAATCTTATTCCTCCTCTTATTATAATCTATCATCATTTTGTTCCTGTGATTTTATTGATGATTTATCCTAATAAGGTAATAGATGAGAGAATTTGCAATTATAAAAAGTTTACTATTATTGCTTCTTTTTTATTTTTAAAGGCTACTCATTGATCTCGTATTAGTTTAATAAATTATCAATAGCCTGATTTTGAGGAGTCTCTCTCATTTGTGTTTGCAGTTAACGGGTACTCTAATCAACATTATTATTAAACAAAGTAGTTAATGGTGAAAAAAGAGATGCCTAATTATTTAAATCTTGTATATAGATCTAGTTTGGGTGATCGTCATTACCCTAACTGATAACGCAGTTTTAACTATTGCTTATATTGGATGTTTCGGATACATCGGATTCTTACTCATAAAATTCATCTTCAAAAGTGTTATTTTATCCACTTAATTACTATAAATCCTAAATTTCTATTACATAATAAGAAAAATCTTAATGGTTCCTTTCAAATATATTGAGTTTAGCTATAAAGGATAACACTTTCTCCTTTTATTTCCAGATAATAGGATTTAAATTCGACATTCTTTTCTCCTTATCCTCTACCATTGTAGATTTCCTCACTTTCAAATAATCAAAGAAAAATAGCTTTTCAACTAAAAATCTATTATCTTCCTGCTTCTTTTACAAGGCTTCGTCAAATAAAGGGAAAATATTATATATTGATAATTCATTTAAATATTTATGCTTCACCATTTTTGTAATCAAATTATCATCATAACCTATTTTCTATAGAAAATTGAAGGATAAACTTACAAAACTTTTATCAAAACCATCCACAATGATGTAGCATTTTTCATAAACCAATTCTTAAATAAATGCAACAAAAACCAATTGAGAATGATGAAAAACAGATGTTGTATCATAGCATAATTATATACCTTTGACTAAACAATCATGGCAATTTACAAAATTAGAACTAAAGTTTCGATAATATCGAGATTTCCCTGTTGATAAAAAGTTGTTAACCATTAACGGATGGTACTCATAAAAAAATAATGGTAATATTTCTCTAAAACATGTATTTACTTAATTTGGTTTTCCTATTAGATTGAGCATTTGATTAGAGATAGTTTAAACTTCCAATTACTTTAAGTCTTCATTCAAGGATAAGATTACATATGCACTCTATTGCTAAGATAAATTCAAAGCAGAATGATTATTTTAAATGAATTTTAGATCCCCATTAATAGAATAATTGTATACTTTATTAGCCTCTATGTAATTACTGTATAATTCAGCCAAAAAAAATGTGAGTGCCTTTTGTAATCTAACACTTGGGTATTTCTCAAATTAAATTTTAATGTAATTCTCTGTTTCATTAAGATTACTGCAAAGATCATTTGTTTATTATAGGGATTTCCTTAAATTAAATTATTTTTGTTCTTTAATTAATTCAGTAAAAAACGAGACTTTTGAAGTTATAAGATTTATGATCATTTATTTGACTGTTTATATGATGAATTCATAATTTAAATATTGATTAATAGAGTCAGATATAAATGTTTATTAGGCAGCTTATAAAGAAGAACCAAAAGAAGCTTTCATATTCCATTTTGTTTAATTAAACAGTTGAATAATCCTCGCTCTATCAATAATTCCTAAAGTAATTTTAAAATACAATTTCATCTCATTGGCATTATCCTTCTCTTTCTAAGAATCCAATGATTTTAACCTCCGATATAATTAGGTCGTTGATCTTATGGTTATTTCCTTATTGTATTTTTAGATGTTAGTTTTATCAAATTTTTCATTAGCATTTGAATTGATGGGAGGATTGACAGTATCATTAATTAAGATTTTGTTAAAGGCCTTAGCGGCCAGCATTGTCCAACCAAAATCATTAAGTAATATAGCATATTGAATGAGTAATTCTTAATTACAATAGAATTCTGAGTTCTTCTTATTGATGACCTTCTTAATGAGAGATATTTTTTCAAATATGAAGCTTCTAAATATTTATCCTGTTATAGCATTCGCTTATCTTGGTTCAGCTATATAAAAAGTAGTTGTGCAGGAACATTATTTGTGTAGACACTACTTAGAATGGAAATAATTGATCAAAGAGGATCTAATAGCCACATAATGATCACCGATATCACATTTATTGAGCATGCAAACTAAAACATTCGTAAATTCTTTAATATTGGGTATGTTATCAGATTTAAATAGTACTAGAAAGTGTTATGTTTTAATTTAATTGACATTCTATAAGATATATGCTAAAATTAAAGGCGTTATATTTAGTAGTAAAAAGGTATAATTAATTGTGTAAGTAAAGTTATCAATAAATTTAAGGATGCAAAAGAGCAACTAAAAGAGATAACCAGAATATAGGATAATTTCTTAATATCTATAAATGTAAATGGAATTAACAAATTAGTTTCTGATGGCAACTACTTGAATAAAGCACACTAAAATACACTGTAGAATTGCAATAGATTGAGTAGTTTCCATGAGAGTAAATAGAATGACTGAGATGGTTGAAAATATGTATATAATTAAATGAGATTCTGTAACTTTGGATCTTTCCATTGGCCGCATTTTAAATGTTATGGGTTATCTGTTGATTAAGCAAATCATAATTTAATCTAATTGTAATAATATGAACGTGATAATTTATAGTGTTAAATTAATGTATTATAAGGGTTAATCGGATTAGATTAAGGAGACGCTTCTCTTGATTGATAGTAATATGAGAGTGTTAAAGGGGATAATAAAAATAGGACAAAGTAATTGTTGATAGTAGCTTTGAATTCTAATAAAAATTTGTAAAGGCATGTGTTGCTAAATTAATTGCACAAATTTATCTGAGTGTTAATGATTTTTTAAAATAAACATTAGCAGCATAAAGCCTATTTTACTTATCAATATCACTCCAAAAATAAATAAATATATTAATTCTTCTTTGACTTGATAATTTGTGAAAATGTAAATCTCTATCCTAATGATAAAGGTATATATTAGGTCTAGAGATGAGTCTACTTGGAAATCCTTGATTTGTGTTATTGTTGGATGAATAACCATCAGTAAGGTTTGGAGAGAATTTATTAGCAGTAAATAAATTTCAATGGCTTATGAACAAACAAATTATCCTCTCACAAAAATTGCAGTCATCACCCAGAGGTCATAGAGAGACGAAATTTTATTCATTTGTTTTTTTTTTATCATATATATTTTTATGTTTTAAAATTGATTCGTTGTTTAATATACTTAAGTCTTTATGTCAAATTAAACCTTGATGCAGTGCTATTTCCCTGAGATATCTTTCCAAAGACTCATCATATAGAATTTACTCTTTTGGTATCAAAAATATAGACTATCTGATTTAGTGATATTCGTTTATTAAGTATTATCTGTAGAGTTACTTAATGAAAATAATTAGAAAAGCAGATATGAGTAAATAAATTAAAGAGAAATACTAAATAAATTAATGATCTTACTATTAAAAAGGTGTTTAATTCATCGCAAGTGTCTTTAACACTTTGCAACAGTAAATCAGATAACCCAAAAAAAGATTGAGTGATTATCTATGATCCTTCCTACTCGTACAATTCAATTTCTACTCTTTTGGTGAAATTATTAATCTACTATTAACTACGTATTGAGTTGGAGATATAATTTAATGTTTGTATTAACCCTTTTGATAGTGTTCCTTCAAAGGACTTATCGCAATAAAATAACATAAAATCTTCCAATTACTAAAATAAAATACACTCTTACATCTATAATTTCAAGGCATATATTATTTTGTTGGATGTCAATAAACTTATCCGTAAATTTGTTTGCAACCAAATATTCTGATGAATCATAAGTAGATGATAGGAGTATATATTGAGCAATTAAGTGATGCGACTAATCAATATACTAATATAAAAGGTCTCTTTCACCTTAAGTTAAGAAAGTGAAGTTATCCCATCTCAGACTGATTTCTTTAAATAAATAAATGCTTCCACTCTTTAATTTAAGGTCTTGAATTATTTTATAAAGTATGACGGTATCATTATATTTCGATAAAAATGTTTACGATTTATAGAATATTACACTTGTGTATATCAAATAAACCACAGTGATAGAAACTATAACTGAATAGACATTAAATCTCGACAATTGTTATCTATTTCTATTCAATAGCTTAAAATGATGCACTTTACCCCTGCCATATTAAGTTTATGTTTTTTCCTACTCATATAATTCTTAATCAAAGTGATATCTCATTATGTCATCCGAATTTGATTGCAACTATTATAATATAGTTTCGCATCTATTTAGTTGATCATAAATTAATTATTTATTAAACTCATTAAATATTAGTAGGAATTGATCATAATATTTAATGTATAAATTAAAGTTACATAGTCCAACAAAACCAAAGGTTATCAATAATACTTAAAGGATAATCCAAAATATTTTACCCTTATTATCAATAACCTCCTTTGTGTTTATTAACCATCCCTATATATCTTGCGCAAGTGAATCAATCCTCTCATGCAACATAAAGAAATTAGCCATCTAAAAAATTTAACAGGTCTTTCCAGATGTACTTTATCTTTATTCAATAGTTCTCATATGATCATACTAATACTATAGGATTGTTAAAAGAGATTCTCTAAAACTTGTTTGCATATTCTGTAATTCTGTCTCATTTTCATTCATAAATCTTAGGGTTAAAACAATGTCATTAAAAAATTCTTACAAATAAACATTTCTTAATTATCTATAGAAACTGTCTTTCAAATCCAAATAGCCTTTTCTTATATTCACATAAAATGGATCAGTTAATTAATCTACTTAGATTTGACTTAAAAATCCTTCTCTTTGCATCTATTAATAGGAAGATACTGTAATTTTCATTGAAAAAAATAAATCATGAGGTCCCATAATACTTGCATGTAATGATCCCATCTCGATGTTATCTATTATAAATATCATATCTGAAGTCATGTTTATCGTTACTAAAAAAGAAAATACAAAAAATATTAAACTTTGTCCTATAAAAAAGAATAAAAATGAGTCTATTTTTTTTGGATTCCTTTTTTCAGTCATTTTCTCTAATAATTGATATCTTTTATAAAAGAATGGCCTATAAAAGCCTGCAACACTAGATGATTATTGTCCCATTCTTTCTATTTATTGGTTATGTATTCTTGAATTCTTTGCTTCATTATTCTTTTTCTTCTCTGGTGAATGCTCTTCTCTTTCTAATTAACTATTTTAGAGATCGCTTTCAACAAATGATTTATTAAATGATTTATAAAACTCTTATGCATTTCTAGCTCTACTAGTTAATAAATTTGATTAACTTTAATTTTATTGTAAAAATGATGATTAATTCAAGTTCTTCGTTTATTCTTAACTCTAATTAAGTAAAATGCTTTATTTTAGTTTCTAGTTTTATATTTTTAGATTGCTTTTCTTTTTTTCTTGACCAAACTAACTAAATGACAATAAACTCAGAATCTTTAAGTTCTTCCCTTTCCATTTTGATCCCTTGCTCGTCGTACTCTCTCCTAAACAAGGCTTATAAATATCAAGCATTTTCTTTCTCTCATCATAACTTAAAATTTATTTTAATGAGATAAATTCTAATAAATAGTAGTAAGAAAGTTGTACAGTAACTTTTTCTAGTTTTATTTCAATATTAAAACAGTTAATATTTTCTTTGTTTCTCCAAATATAATAGTTTTAATCCTTTTTAATACTTGATTGGGTTAATGTAGCTTCTTAATTATATTATGGTTTCAGAAAGAAACATAATGTAGTTACTATATCAGTATTCATTTCTGCCCTATTCAACATATTAAAATAAGGAATCATAGTAAGAATTCCTAATTAATGTAATACACCATCCTCAATAAATTATTTTTATTAAGACTCATTGATTCCAAAAGTTGAAAGAGCTTAGCTTGTAAAATATGCAATTTAAGTCTGGGCATCTACAACTACAATCGGAAGATCTGTATTTACACTTTATAAAAAACTAACAAATATAAACTTATCTATTTTAAAAATTTGCGTATTATCAATGCACAAACTAACTTATTTTAACAATCCATTATAACTCTTAATGAAAGTATGATTAAAATTTCTATAAAACTTGTTCTGCCCAGTATGAAAAAAGTTCTAGACTGAAGTCTCATGATACTTATTGTAATATTAGGGAATGATATCGTTAAAGTTGTAGTTAGAGAAATCAAATGTTACACCAAATAATTTAAAAAAATTATGAGATGTTTAGATCAAACTAAAAGTTCTAAAATTTTCATCCACAGATAAGAGAATGTAAGAACTTATATCAGCAGACAAGTTTAGATTTTTTATTCCTCTATACTTTATTTAATTCTCCTTTAAATTTACTTCTGACTATTTTATGTTAAATGCTGCGAGTAAATTATTCATAATTTATGCCTCGAAGTAGCAGAATGCTTTTTATAATGACAAATCTGGATTTAAAGTAAATAGGGATTAAAATTGCTGTTAAATTTCTAATAAATATTTTGAAGTTTCTTTGACCTTCTTAAAAAGATGAGAGAAGGTATATCCAGAATCTGAATCTAATATTTCATAAAACTAAATTTTTAATTTTACACATTCTTTCATTCCAACTATTAATTCCTGCTAATTTTATTGACTAATTAAAAATTCATTTAAGTATTATCGTATCAAAGTTTGACTGGCAGCCCTAAGGGATGTTCCTAAATTTGCTTCAAATTTGATTCTAGATTATTACAACACAAGGTTTATCTAGACCTATTCAATTGTTGACAACATGATTTTGATTTTGGTTTATTCCTTCTCCTTATAATCTTTCTAACTAAATTAACCCTATTTTATACTTCATAAAATGGTAAAGAAATGAAACATTAAAAATTTGATTTTCTTTTAGCTTTTTCAATTGGCTAAGAATTTGCAAAGAAATCATCATTTGATTGAAATCATGAAGAAGGATTGCCGTAGATATCAATAAATCTTGTTTTACTTGGTTTTTCATCTTAGTTAAAAACAGTTTCTTAATCAGTTGTTTGTATTGAATGCTCATAAAATTATTTACCATCAGGCTTGTCGTAGCATTAATTTAAGTGCTTTCTGTTATATTATAGTCAAGTTCACAAACACAAGATGCCTTCTTGCACTTCTTTTTATGATGGAAATATATCAAGGATTGCTTAAAATTCTTGTTACTTTAAACACAATCACAATTGTTTAAAATTCTTACTAATTAATAAAGAATTTAATTAATATTCAAATTCTCAAACTAATCTAAGTCACTATTTTTGTGTAAAAATATAGCAGTGAAATGCTTAATGTCCTGATTCTCTTAAAATTTATTAAAGATATAAATAATTGATGGTATTGTTACAAGAGACAGTAATTATATCTCTTATTGATTTACCCCACTATAAATCATGATGGTATACATTCCATTCATAATTAAAAAGGCTTGAGAGGCTAAAAATATTTTTTTTTGTGTTTCATATATAAAACCACAATTTCTTACTTAATTTATAACTTAAAAAAGGGATAGGAGTATAATTATGATTTGTTAGATTTATTGTAAATATATCGATTGACTCTAATCAGCAAGGATGACTTAGAGTAATTTAATTTTGAGGATATAATAATCAAAATTAGAAACCTGAAATTATTTGCATTTCAGTGTTTTAAAAGAAGTAGGATGATGATCTATTCTCATAAAAAATAAGGTATCTATTGCATAAAACACTTAACCAAAAACGCAAAGAAAGGATTTTAGAATTGATGAAGAAACACCCTCATTGAAATCTCTTAATGATTAGTTAAAAGAATATAAAAAAATCCTGGTTATTGGCAAAATGAAATATATTCCTAAGAAGCTTTAATAATAAGTAATTATCTAAATTAAATACTAGATTATATCCTTTTATAAGTACTTCTTAAATTAAGTTTCATAAAATGAGTTCAGCAAACAAATCAGAATGAATAATGCTTTCTGAATAAGCCAAATAATCAATAAAATGATGTAAAATTCTCCATTAAAATATCCCTTTTATATAATTATGATGTCAGGTCTAATGATTATTTGCAAAAGCTTATAAATGACATTTTCATCAACTTCAATTTACTTTTTGAAATAATAAGGCTAAATTAATGCTAAACTGAAAACTAAATATTACACCTCATTGGGGCATTTGAATTAGTAATTTAACAAATATGTAGTTTTTATCCATTATTCTAACATCGAAGAGAATTTAATATATTTCTATTTGGAAGCAGCATACATATTTAATTTTATATATATTTTATTTTAAATTTTGTATTGATTAACCAGCAATAAAATTGTTAATAAGAATATATTTAGCACAATAATGAGAAATTGATAAACAATAATCAAAACAAATATGAAATATACAATTTGTAATAGATATAATCGCCTGAAAAAATTCTATTCAAATATATACATAATCAAATAAATCTAAAAAGAATATGTGATTATATTGTTGAAACCCTATTTGAATAAAAGATAAGATTTAGGACTTAGAAAGGACTAAATACTATTTTATTAATTCTATCAGTCTAAATTGTGGATGCAAAATGAATAGAACTATTGTATCTTAGAATAAACTCTTAATAAAACGTTGGATATAAATATTCATTAATCTAGCTCTCCTCAGATATTTACTGTTTTGTACCAATTGAATCCATCTATTTATACACTATAAGATTTATAAAGTGTAGTTTAGAATACTTGATTAAAAATTGTCTTAAGAAATGAAATATGTTGGGACTGTGGAATATTAGATTTCTATTAAATTAGGTATTTTATGAGTATAGATTCTATATTTAGTTTAAAGTGACACTTTTATATAATATAAACTCCTATAAATTATTTTACTTACTTGTTGCTGGATACAAAGGGCTTTGTTTTTATTAGGTTTTAAGGATTTTCAATTATTCCCACGCTATTTTAGATGTGCTAGTATTCCTCATTTAATAAGAGTGGGGATGGTAATATAAAATAACTACATTAGAATAGTGAAATAAGAACTTATAATTTTAGGTTTCCAATAATTGATTTATGTAGAATTTAAGCAAGAATTTATTTTTAACGTCATTATTAAAATTTAACAATATTTATTTTCTGTTATTACAATGAGTACATTTTAAAGACCAACATCATCTAGAAAGAATACTAATACGCTACCAGCTTAATAGGGAGACTTAGAGGAATATATGTAATTTATTTAATCTGATGTTAGTTAAATCTTATACGATCATTAAAAGAGCTGCGAAAAGGGTGGAAAATACCTTGAGGCTGATCAAGCAAAAAAGAGACTGGCTGAACTTAAAAAGGAACTGGATTCTAAAAATAAAGGAGACGTGAAAGATAGACATTGTTCTGAAAAATAGGAAATTGAAAAAGCTCACTGTGAGGAATTTAATCAATTCAATACATTTTGGGATTAAAAAATGATGGAGTTTGATTAGGAAGCTCAAAAGGTTAAGGAGTAAACTCTTTAAAGACACGAGGATGAGTTGAGACAGTTTTCAGAAGAACTTGAGAATTCTATTCCTGTAAAACCAAAGGACTCTGCTGAGTTATTGGCATTAAGAAAGACAGAAGAGTAATTAGCTAAATAAGAAAAGTATAGCAGTTCAATTAATTATATAGTTATATGGAAGCCCATTTAATCTAATAAAAAATCTTGGCCCAAGAGAGAGACGAATTAGAGAAATGGACAACAGGAAGACAATAAAAAATAAGAAATCTGATTACCTAACTTAGATAAAAATAGATTAATGAATTGAATGCACTCGCATAAAGAATTTTAAGTGGACAAGAAGAGCAAAGAAAGATCAGATCCTAAGAATTAGAAAAGTATTTTAGTTGTATATTCTCAAATTAGATTATTATAAAAATACCAAAATGTTAGAAAGGAATTAGAAAGCCAATAGGTTCAAGAGATGACTAGGTTGGACAAATCATGTAAAAATTAATGTAAGGCCTTCCCAGTATATTTTAGCTATAATGCAATAATCTAGAATGAATCAATCAAGAATGTAGTAAAGTTATGCTAAGGACGAAAACCAATATATTAGATGAGATTTAGTTAATATACTATAAAAATATATAAATTAAAATCTTATTGGTGTACTGTTTGTGTCATAAAGCAGCAAACTTCTCAAAGATTAGAACCATAAATTCAAATTTAATCTACAACAACCTAAAACTCATGTATGAGCCTTCTTAAGGAAAATAAATCCAAATTCTAGAATATTAGAAACCACTCTAATAAACCAAAATGATTTAAGTGATAAAAAATACATCTAAATAAATATATTTTAGTTCAGGTATCAAAAATATCTAATATAGTTTACATCTCCTCGATCAGAAATAAAGGAAAGATCAATCTAAAGCAAATGTGATTTCACAAAAGTAGAGACTTTTAATTATAATAACCCTAATAAAGCTAATAGTGAAAACTAATGTTAAATTGAAGTTATACAAGATACAATCGAATAGTAGTCAAAACCAGAAATCTCAAAATTTGAGAGTTCTTCAAATCATTAACACATTATCATCTATTAAATATGATCTGGAGTATGATACCAAATTTATTGATTCTATATCATTACCTCCTTAAGTAAATTGGATCCAGAGTATTATAGAAATTTATAGACACTGGCCTAGTGTTTGTTGGATAATTGAAGAACAGATCAAAATAAGGCAGATGACATTAATTCTGGCCAGATGATGGTACATATTATGAAGGATACTGCCAAAATAATTAAGCTAATGGATTTGTCAGACTGATTTAGGCAGATGGATAATATTATTTTAAATTTAGGTTTTGTAATTTGCAGGAAAGTAATTGGATGAATGATTTATAATTTGGGTTTGGCAAATTTGTGGATAATGAGAATGGAAGGATAATTAAAAGAATGGTTATGCTATGAAATATTGGATATCAGGTGATTCACATTAGGGATAATATCTAAATGGTATGAAAAATGGAACAGAGATATATTAATGGGCTAATTGTAATAGTTACGAAGGATTTTATTTAAATGTTTAGATTCAAGGATTTGGAAAGTACAAATGGTCAGATGGTAAAGAGTACACTGGTGAGTGGTTTCAGAATCAGATGCATGGTAAAGGCACCTTTAAATGGCCTAATGGAAATACATGTGTTGGAGATTATAAGGAAAATAAAAATGATGGACAAGATATCTTTTACTTTTAAGATGGTTAAACATTCAAAGGGACTTTGGTATAAGGGAAGCAACATGGTCTTGATGAGCTTATAGAACTTGATGAGAAGGAAATTGTGGGAATTTGGGATTAAGGAAGATTAGTTTCAAAAGAATGATAATTTATATACACAAACACTAATTAATTTTAATTAACAGATTACATGTCGGTTTAAAAATATAAAAAAAGTGGTAGTTGCAAAAGCGATTCAGCTTATTCATTTAGTTAAGATGTCAATTTATTACAGGATTATGAATATTTATTACAAAAGTCTGCTGAAGAATTAACAAAGGTCAAAGAATAAAATCAATTTTTAGAATAATAACTAGCATCAGTTCAACCATTTCATCATAATCAATAGCAATAGCAATAACAATATTCTACATTTTAATTTAATAAGAATGATTTATTGATAGAACAATTAAAATAGGAAAATGCAGATCTCAAGCTTAAATTAGAAACTAAAACTAAAGCTCATAAAAAATTAAAATCTAAATTTAAGCAATACGAATAGATAATGTAAGAGAATGAAAATCTTAAACGCGATATTTAAGACTTGCTAAAAGAAAAAATAAATAATAAAGAAAATAGATAAAATTTTCTGAATTAATCTTCAAAGACTCATCAAACAACTACCTAATAATAAAATGTTAATCAGGCTTCGTGTAATAAGTTTAAATTAGATTTATCATTGGCATCAAATTTCAATTTTAAAGGTCTAGAAGAAGCTGATAAGTTTCTCTAAGAAACCAAAATCCAATCTTCAAGAGTTTCAAAATTATAAACTATACCAACTCCAAAGAGATGTTAAGAAATCTAAACAATTGAAATTAATTTTTCTGATTTTGATTTGCAAAACACTTTAAGTCTTCAACAAGAATTTGTTTAATTTATAGAAGAAGCTATTTCTAAAGCAATTAACTAATTAAATCAAAGAATTTAGAGTTCTTAAATTGAAAATTTTATTAAATCTAATGCAGATTTGGAATCATAAATAATTGGATTATCTGAAGAGGTCTGGATTTTAAGAGAAAAAAACAAGATTCAACAAGAGTTTATTAAATAATTGAAATCGAATTTAGAGTAGTATGATTAAAGAGATTTTGAAGAATTAATTAAACTAAATCAATAAGCAAATGATGTCATTTAAATCTAATAATTAGAAATCTCATCATTGTAAGAATTAGTAATTAAGACAGAGCAAGAATTACAATAGAAATCTGAAATTATATTGGAGAATATATAAAATATTGAAAAGGCAATAAAACAATTAGCCATTCAAGAAAATATTCAAGATGAAAACAAAGAAAATTAATCTTGTTTCAGTAATTAAAAGGTACAAAAGAAGTAGATAAAATATTCCAGTTTATAATCAACTTCAACTGTAAGTAAATAACCTCCATAATTATCAATTGATATTTAAGAGTTTAATGAAATGAAAACTAGCTTTTAGAAGATCTTTTCAGAGGTAGAATAATTTCAATAAATACTTATTGAATTTTAAGAATAAGAGTAAAGTAATGGTGTTTCAAATTAAGAATTATTTGAGCTTCTAGAGCTATTTTAAGAAGAATTCAGTTATAGGGAGAACACAACTATTAAAGATCAGATAAAATATTACATTACTTAGACATTAAACTAGAATGAGCTATTAAAAAATAAATATTTAGATCTAATATACAAAGTAATATTGAATCAAATAAAAACAGATACTCGAAGAACTGAGTAATTGGTGAAAAATGATTAAAAACTGTAAGATGCTTTGAAATGGTTATTGTAAAATACTAAACGAAGCCAATCTGTCTAAACAATTGTATATAATTGCGATATATTAACAGAAATGATAGTTAAAAAACTCAACAATTCAACAAGAATGAGTGAACTTCATGAAATAATAACTATGTAAATGAAAGTTATTTACACACTACTTCAATCTTTATAAATTGGAAAAAATGCCCTATAAAGTAGCAGAACAGTTTTAGTGAAAAATGAGAAATAAGAAAATTTGATGAATGAAGCAATTTAAGATTTGAAGGAATTAAATAAAAGAATAAGCAATTTACCAGATACAAATGACGATCTTGAAAGTTCAGATGTAAAGGAAAACATTCGTTAAATTTGTAATAAATTTTTAATGATTTGAACAAGATTGAATATTCTAATTGTTTTTTTTACTTTATAAATAATTTCAGATTATTTGGGATATACCCTTAGAGATTCCAAATGAGTTCTTAATGTAGAAACAAATAATTCTTAGTAAACTTGAAATTGGTAAATTAATATTTATTATTAAATATTTTGAATTTAACGATTAAAATGTCAGTTTATATTTGGGGAACGACACCTTCATAAGAAGAAACTACTATACCTAAACAGATAATCATAAATTTCCAAATAACCAAAGTATCATGTGGTGAAGAGCATATGCTATTTCTATCTAATACCAATTAACTATATGCATTAGGGACAAATAATTATGGTGTATTAGGAATAGGAAGTGATGATTACTCAGAGAGATCTTTGACACCTTAATTAATATAATCAAATATCATCGATATGGATTGTGGTTGGAATCACAACATTTCTTTGAATATTAACAATAATGCTTTTGTTTGGGGAAAGGTATTGAATGATATCACGCAACCTAAACAAATAGGACAATCGATAAGATATGTTAAATGTGGTGCTAGACATACTATGATGATAAATAACAAAAATCAATTATATGCTTTAGGAGCAAATGATTCAGGATAATGTGGTATTCAAAATACAAAGAGAATAAATGAAGTCACTCATGTAATGGATAATGTTTTGACTGTAGCATGTGGAGTTTCACACTCATTAATTAAAGTTAATTAATAGTTATTAGCTTGCGGATCTAATAATTTAGGATAATTAGGTGTATAAGGAGTAAAGAATTCCTTCAAACCTTTGTTGGTTGATATTCCAAAGGTGGACTAAATAGCAGCAGGAAACCATTCAGCTGCAATCAGTTCTGGAAATCTATATATTTGGGGATCAGGTTGTTTTGGAACATTTACTAAACCAACATTGTTTCTACCTGATATTGTTGATGTAAAATTAAATGGAACTCTTGGATTAGGTGTAGACACTTAAGGATAGTTGTATTCATGGGGGAGTAATGTAAATGGAGAATTGGGAGTGGGAGATACATAGACTAGAACAGAGGCAGTTAAAGTGTTGAAGAACATCTAACATTTCGGAGTTGGAATAAATTATGCTATTGCTATATCTAAACGAGCTTAGCCAGTTACAACAGAGAAAGAATACTTAACTAAGACTCTATAGATAGAAAGTGATGAAAGAAGTGCCTTAGAAAAAATCAATCGAGAATTGAAGTCTAAGTTTGTGGAATTGGAATAATGCAATAGTGATTTGAGAAAACTCTTAGATGTCAAAAGTGAAGACATCAATACTTTATAGGCTTAAGTTGAGAATTACACTAATACTATGGCAAATCAAGAAAGCTAAATTAAAGATCTTAAGTAATAATGTTAGAGACACCAAACATTTTAAAAAGATGCAATTTCAAAATTAGATAAATATGAAGAATTTATTGATGAATTGGAAAATCAACTTAAAGTAAAAAATGAAGAAATTGATGGTCTGACAAATTAGTTACACAACTTCAAGGATTCCCTTAAATAATATTAGGATGATGAAACATCTTAACTAAATCAATTTAAGAACTAATTGAGTGAATTAACTGAGCAATTAAGTTATGAACAGCAAGTGAATGAATAGTTGGTAGAATAATATAGCAAGGAAAGGGAATCATTCTAATAAAGAGGCGTTTTGATCTAGTAATATGAATTTGAGATTGGAAATTTGCAATCTTAAAATAAGACTTTGGCTTCTCAAACAAGTAGTTCATTATAGCAACACTAAAAGTTATCTGAAGGCTTAACTATTGCTAATCATAGGATTGAATCATTGTAAACTTAAAATGCAAAATTAATGTAAGAACTTAGCTTATTGCGTACGAGTATATATTCGGATTTACAGAAACCTTAAGCTCTAGAAGTACAAACCATTATTGGATTGAATAAAGAATTAACTGAATTAAATAACTAGTTACAGAATAAACTTAGAGAAAAGGATGCAGAGATTTTAAAATTAAAGTCTCAATTAGGAAATCTTGGAACACTCAAAGACAGTCGTTAGAGTCTATCTTCTCAAATGAAAACTTCATAATATTAAAATTAGTTGTCATAATAAAATTTGAATATTCCAAAGAAATAAAAATAAGAGAGCCCCAATGGAAAAACCATATAAGAATTATTAGAATCTGCTCATAAGCATGCCAAGTACATGAAAAAGATTTTAAAATCATCTGAAAATTTTGAATCAGACACTCCTAGTCCCAAAAAGAAATTAGAATTTTCAAAAGAAAATTCATTCATTAAAAATGATAGCTTGAGTGAAGTGAGAGATAGACTTAATAAGCTACAATAAAATAGATAATTATATGAACAAAAGCTTAGGATTTGATTTTATTATTACGTGCGTTTTTAAAGTTCTATGAGATTAATTTTTCTATTTAATAAGATTTATTGCAATATTAACAATAAAAAATGTATTATTAAAAAAGAATAAAGGACCTTTGCCCATCTAATATCTAATGTAAGGATGAAGATTGTAATTTGCTGCATCCAAGATGCTATGCTGGAGTTTGTATTTTGCATTTGCAAAATAAGGAAGCAAATTGCGATGGAACTTTATTGGATTTGAGTAATAAAGAGTTTAAAAGATGTTTCCAATAATAAAAAATTAATGGGGTCTTTGCTTTTAACCTTTGCAAAAAATAGAATAAATGTGAAGATAAACAAAATTGCAGATTTTTACATCGAAAATGGGCTGAAGGGGTCTGTATTGTGGACATAATTGATGAATGCAGCAACAAAGAAGAATGTAAGCTAAAACATGTAAGTTGGGAAGAGATAAAAAAGGATGCATATGCAAAATTTAATATTCATAATATGAATCCAGAATTAATAGAAGATAATGGAAATCATAAAGTGCCAGACTATATGTGCTTAGAATACTTGCGTGGTTTATGCCAATTTTAAACTAGTTGTTCTAAAATTCATGTAGATTGGGAATGCTTAAAAAATACCAGTTATGCTGACATCAGAGACACAAGAAGAAAATCATGTCTTTTTGACTAATCTACATCAATTATGGTGTCATCAGAAAAGTTTACGAGATCAGACATAGCTGATGCCTACTTTGAAAAGATATACACAAATCAAATAAAAAAGATGGTCTAGAAGGCTTAAGTGATAGATGTTTTATTTATACTTGATATCACAGGAAGCATGCAAAGATGGCTGACTTCTGCTAAGTCGAATATTCATAATATCATAGAGGAATTCCAGACTCAGATTGATAAAAAAAAGAATATCATAAGAACAGCTATAGTAGCCTATAGAGATTTCGGCGATGATGAGAATTTGTTATATCGTGAGTTCACCTCTGATCCGAAGATTATCTTTGAATTTCTGAAACAGTTGTAAGCTAAAGGAGGAGGTGATGATCCAGAGGATGTTATTGGAGCATTAGAAAAAGGATTTAGGTTGAATATCAGTAAGGATGAAGAAAGCGTCCTTTGCACATTTTTAATATGTGACAATCCCTGTCATGGTCCTTATCATGAAAATTTGTAAGACCATCATTTTGATAAAGTGCAGGAAGGAGATTTAGAGAATATAATGCAAAAGTATTTTCAATTAAAAAAAAACAACTTCTTTACTTGTTACAAAATCACAGATGCCACTGACTTGATGTTTAAAAAAATGTAAATTGCCTTTCCTACCCTAAAAATTACCGCTAGCACTCCAGATGATTTTAAACAATAAGTTCTTTTTTCTCTTTAATAATCCTTGTAGTAATCTGAGACAAAAACTTCTTAAACTAAGAAAACTATAAGAATAAGAGCGAAATTTTTAAAATCCAAACCATTCGATATGAATAATTCTTTACTAATTGAGAATAATATTGATTATTGGAAGAATTTTAAAAAACAGCAAGAGGATAATAGTGTTCAAGGAGAAACCTTATTAATCATCAATAATAATTAAGAAATCCTTCCAGCTAAAGATAGAGGGTCTTTATGTTAAATATTTAAATTGTTTGATGTAGTACTTAATAGAAACTTAGTTTTAAAATTACCAAATTTTATCGTATAATCATATGAGCAAAACAAAGAATTATCGTAAAAGGATATTGAACTATATTCAATGTTCATAAAAAAGAGATATACTTCTTTACTAATCGCCTAATAATTAGCGGATAGTTTTAGATAAAAAACATAATCCATCTAGGGAGTGCCTCCAATATTTTATGTTTCTCCAATTATTTATGAATTAGAAAAACCATTCATGGGCGTTACTTAAATTTTTGCTGAAACTTATATAGACCTACCAAATTTTTGTGAATGGAAAAAATATACAAATAACACCAAATATGCTGATAAAGATGAATACTATTACACAGCTTTCTCTCATTATTCATATACAGCTACCTTGGGATCACTAATTATCACAGACTTACAAGGCAAGAACTATATCTTATCCGATCCATGTATTCATACAATGGATGAAAAGATTCGTGAGATGCTGGATGATGAAACCGATTTTAAAGAAAATGGAGTTCATTTGTTTTTTTAACAATAGCATCGTTATTGCCACCGCATTTGCAAAGAACTCAATTTAAAGCCTTTTTAAGATAATTAAGAGCTCCCATCTAACTCAAATGATATTGATGACATAAATAAATCAATCTCTTGGAGTTGCGATGATGTCGTGTATGTTATCTGTTAGGTATGTGGAGAATTTTAAGATTTAAAGTATGTTGATTATTTAAAGTAACACTCTTGCATTTGTAATAATTGCTTAGAAGACAAAGAACCAATTCAACTTACTTGTGTTTGTTGTAGAAAACAATATAAATGCTTTTATAACTAGGTAGTTAAAGTAGGGATAATACCTGAGAAATGTGATTAATGTAAATCGAAATGCGTCAAAGGGAACCTCTAATGTATATATTGTGGATGCTATTGCGAAAGTAGAGTAAATTATAAAAAATTCGGAAATGATTAAATACCAATTTGCAATGAAGGCGTTAGATTTCTAAATGCTCTAAAATGTTAGAAATGCGGATAGTTATATAATTATGAAGCTTATATCATGCCAAATGATTATAAGGATTCAACCTATGTTTGCATAAATTGTAAACAGCCATAATGATTGCATAGAAATTAATATGGAACTAATTTTTATATAAAATTAACATTCATTTTTTAGCTGCCTTCTTTGGTTTCTTAGATGGTTCTATAAATATAGATTTGATTTCATACTTTTAACTTATTACAAAAAGGCTTAAATATGTTTGGCTGCCTCCGATTTCTTTTCTAATTCGATTTGATGTAGTTCTTTTAATCTTCTGAATTCCTCTTCTAATTGTCTTTCTCTTCCCTTCTCTGAATCAACTGCCTTGAAATACTCCTATCTGTCTTTCAATTATTTCTCAATTGAGGCACATTCACTTTACAAATCAGTTAAATTTTTCATGTATTCCTCCATCATCTGATCGTATATTTGTATTGCTTCAGACAATGATTAATCTTGAACTTATTTACGCCTCTTCAAAGTTGCCTCCTCCTACGTGTTCTCATCCTTCATTTTAATGAAACGAGCTCTCTAAGCCTATAGTTCAGCTGCTAATTTATCCTCTTTTGTTTTATGATCTTTTTCTAATACCTCATACTTAGTCTAAATTTCTTTGGCCAATTGATCTTATCTCTTTTATTTATTAGCTTTAACTTCTGCAATAGATTACTTCAACTTCTCAATCTCTTCTTTCATTTTGTTCATGTTAGCTGCTCTTTCCTGTCTAATCTTTTATAATTCTTGTTCTAATTAACTTTTAGTCTTCTCTTAACCTGCAATCTATAAATTTAGAATTATTATAATACTTTAGACTTTAAATCTTCCAGTTATTTAACATGGCTATTTTATTCTTCTTATGCTGTACTCAACTTTTTCAACATAACTATTTTGATACACTTTACGCAATGTAGCAAATCACTCATTTCAGTGTTGATATTTGTTTTCATTCCTTTAATGATATCATAATCCTTTGGACAATGTTAAAGTCTCCTTAATAAGTTCTTGAAATTTTCTTAGAGTAAATTTTCTAATCTCTCTGATTCCATTTTCTTTGTCTCGTCTATCTCCTCTCCCTGATTTAATGCTGTATCTAAATTTGCATAAGGCCTGTATTTCTGTTCAATTTCAGCTTAGGATTACAATAGTTTCATGGTCTCTTCAGTTAGCGGTTACTTAGCATCTTTTAAAAATTTTCCAGTTTAAAAGCGTCCAATAAATTCAGTATCCAAATATAAACAATATTCTAAATTTTAGATAAGCTAATCCAAAACTCTTAAAACTCTTTAGGCTTCTACTATCGTTGGTTTTCCTATGATCGTAGACATTAGGTTTTTTATAATTTCTTGATGTCCCTCCTGCAATGATCTCTACTATTGTTTGACTCTGTTTTCACCAAGACTTGTTTCCATCGTCTTTGCGAATTGTTTGTGTGCTCCTTTCATTATTATATTATTTTAATATATATATTATTAATATAAAATTATCACTCCTTTTTTGTGCTAAGTTCATGAATATCTAAAGCTATGTTCTAAATTATGTTCAAGTTTATTACTAAATCAATTGAATCTATGCTTCCCAGACGATGCCTTTAGACTTCCTTTTCTTTTTTGAGTGCCTCCTGTATTCTTAAAAATTTCTCCTTGTGCTTTCGATCATATTGTATTTTGGCCTTTTTGTATTTATTCTATAGTGTTTAAATCAATTGAAAAAATACAAACCATAATTTATTTTCTAGTTCTATTCTTAAATAATAACTATATTAAATCGAAATCAGTTCCCAAAATAGAAACGCACTTCTCTAATTTTTTTAAATCTTCCTGATTCCAACAGGGATTTGAATTGCATTTGTTAATTTTGGTTGCTTGTTATTTTTTTTAGATTCTGGGTCTCTATTTCAATAATTCTTTTAAGGTTTCACTATCCTTTGTGCTGCCTTCGCTTGATAAGGAAGCCATAAAATAATTTATTTTATTTTATTTGCAATAAAACTGGTGGGGGCCATGAAGGTGAGAGAGAAATATCAATAAATATTTTTATATTTTGTATTATTATAAATTTTGTCGTGTATTGCTATCTCAAACAGTCCATGGCTATCCATTTACAACTGATCTTTCCCACACTGGAAGAACACCTCTCTGATAATATGATTTTCTTAATGGTTCAAAAAGACCAAAATGAGCCAATCCCAATGCTAACAACATTCAAAATCTACTTTCATACCTAAAGTTGTAAATAGGATTTCCCTTCTGCCTCCCTTTCTGGATTGCCTCATAAAATAGTTGCTTGGTAAAGTTGTAAACCAATGTTTTGCCATTTTCTTTTATTTTTATATAAATTAAAATAATTAATAATTATCTCTTAGTAATATACTACTTTTATACATATTTTATTTCATTCGCATTTAATTAGGATAAAACTTATATAAAATCTAGATATTTTTATTATCAACATTTTGATACGATTGGTATCCTACCTAAATGAACACGAGAATTGCTTGCTTTATTGTTTAAACTTATTAGATAAAAAGACACGAGGTAGCCAAATAATATACTTGTCATCATTCCAATTCTATAATGTAAATATAAAACTTAACATTAAATTATTCTTCTAATGTATAAAAACTAAGATAAATATATTATTCTTAATCTAATTGCTATATTTAGGATATTGTTTGATCAATTCAATCTGTCTATTTGCAGATATCTAATAATATTCATAATTAAAATAGATATGTGTTCCTAAAATATATTCATATTGTGATTTCTTCTCCATTCATCTAAATAGAATTTGAATATCTTTGCACCAATTCCTATCAGAATCATTTTACAATTAATTATCATCCATCTTATTCTAACTAAAAAAAATGAATAAAATCTAATTTTATCCCATTTATCTATTTATGGAAATTCCTATAATAATTCTAGAATCAGATTTTTATTCATTCTAAAATTACAATTATAATTTGTCTAAGATAGATTGAAAGACTCATCATGATACTCATACTTCTTTTCTTATAAATTAATTAATAAGAATAATTCATTTTCCATTTCAAAGAAATTTTGTTATTTATGTTTTTTGATAAACTTCAATAATTTAAATGTCATCATTGCATTTTATTCGTTAATTCTGAAATCCTGTAGTGTAAGTCGTATTTAATTCCCCTCTATTAATAATTGTAACAATTTGATAGAACTACAAAATTATTATCCTTAGTATTAATTGAAATACCTATAAAATATTATTCATAGCCAAATCCTTAAGTCTTAAGAGAAACTTTATTTAGATTAAACTACATAATTTTAATAAAACCATTAATTTAACTCTTTTTGTAATATTTATAAATTATAAAAAATAATAAAAAATTTTTCCGATACCGGGGATTGAACCCGGGTCCCCAGGGTGAAAACCTGATATCCTAACCACTAGACTATACCGGAAATGTTAATATCAAATTAACAAATAGAATTTTATATGGCAAACGAGAAAACTGATTGACAATAGATTATAATTTCATTATGATCATCTAAATTTGGCAATTTTAGAATAATTAATATCGCAAGAAAAGAGATAAGTTGAAATGCCTGAATTAAGTATTAAGACGAGGATTAAATTTATGGGAGTAACAAAAAGGATTTGCTTAAAAATACAAGAAACAGAATAATCTAATCGCCATTTTACTTAAGATATCAGATAATCATTCGCTATTTAAGCAGATTTGACATTCATTTAACTTGATAATAGTAAACTACAATTAAAGAAAACTCTTATATTTAAGAGCTCTTATGATAGCAATGTTATAAAATCACTCTTATTGTTTTGATTACTCTGTTTTTTTTTGTACTTCTTCCATAGCCTTGGTTTTCATTCTATTGATTTTATCAAATAAGAATTATTTTTCCTATTCCTCTGATTCCCAAGATGTCTTAAAGTTAATATCAAACTATACTTCTGGTCCTAATCCTAATTTACTCAAATCTTCTTTTTCCATAAGTCCATTATTCATTCTGCATTGCAAATAGTCAACTTAATATTTTCTACATCGCTTAGGCATGTTCTCATGTTTTTGGATGCATTAATTATATTATTTTGCCTCATTGTCACACTCATGAAAATGATCTAATGGAAATGCTCCCTTATCTTATTATAATATTATGGATTACCTGGTCCTTTTGATGCATTCTACTTGCTCCTATTAGACATAATTAAAATTTAAAATATTTATATATAGATATATATATAAAGTATCATATATGTTAATTTTCTAAAATTGTTCTATATTTATCCTTCAAAATCTTAAGTAATTGAATATAGGCATTATGTTCCAGTTTGTATTTCTATGCATTTTCTTATGCAATTTGGATTAGATTATCATTTTTTTTCATAACTATATTAATTGCCTTTCCTGTTTTGAGTTTAAATTGTACTGAAAATAATTTCTCATTTTTATTATCTTCCAAATCAACACATTTTATGAGTTGTTTGTTTGGTGTGATAGATTTATAATTCATTTGTCTTTCTGGAGTTTTATTAAATTAAGTATTGACTTGTTCTCTCAATTAAACTACAATACCATTCTAAGATTTATTTCTATAACTATTTCTATTAGTGCTTTTACGAGGTTAATTGAAAGGCTTGTTGGTTGCCATTTTTGAAATATACTCTTAGCTGGATTAAGGATTTTATTCAATAGTCAAAATAGTGGATTTTGTTTGGTGATGAAAATAATTATTCTAAAAGGATTTGGTCTTATAGTTATTATCATTCTCTTATCTAATAAACTAAGAAATATCATAAATATTGATAGAATCTCTGTTTTTAGGAACTTTTTCTGGCTTCTAAATTTATTCCTTCTGCTAAAATAAATCTTCATTGAAACTATCAAATACCTTTTCACAACCAACCTAAATATAGTTCTGAATTTCTGAATAACATTTTTCCTCAATTTCTACTTAAAATTGTTTAAATTATTCCAATCCATTTTTCATTGAGTCTTAGATGGTTGTAAATTTATCTTGAGAATTACTCATTTCATTAAATGCTGATCTACTTGTATAGATTTGAGATTGAAGTTTAGAAGGAGATCTTTAGTAGATGACTTAAGAATTGAAATTTTAATTTTTATTTGTATCATTTTCAAGCCATCTACTGATTTTTTAATTTTTAGGAGTATTGTCTTCGCCAATTTAACCGAATTTAGTTAAATTCACTTCTGAGTATTTTTGCTAGGTCTGTTATAATGTATTAGTATTCTTATTTGAAAAACTCATGACTTAATCCTATCTGATGGATGGACTACTTTATGAATCGTTTAGATTAGATTTGCTTAGGTTCTCCTGATTATTCCTTAAAGGGGAATCTGAATCGCCAGGTACATAGGTTTGGACTCTTCTCATTTGGATTTAAGATTAGTTAACATTTAATTCTTTTTATCTGAAGGAATGAGTAGAATTGATTTTTTAGTTGTTGCTTCCTTGAGAGTTGTCAATCCTTATGGAATTTGGTGAGGCTTCGCTTTCAGTTTGAGAGACATTTTCATTTTTTTAAGAGATACGGTTAAACTTGAGGACAGAAATTGTGGATGATTTTTGATGTCTCTAAGACATATTCACACTCTGTTGTTGCATCTATAATTAAAGAGCCTGAGAGAATAATGGAAAGGTATACATAGATAAGATGACTAAGATTTTATTTGGTGATGCAGGATACTTCATGGTAGCTCATTCCATACTTTGCAGAGAATTTAAGGGCATTTTCACCTTTGTAGATGTAAAGCATTTTTACTCGAAACTTTTCTTCGATCTATGAGATCAAGTTTATTGCCAATCAAATAGGTACTCTTAGTTTAGGTTTCCGAATTGTAACGATTCTTTAAGTATTCTAAGCTGTTTTGATCACTAATGTCAAATAAATAGATTGCAACATCCGCTCTAGATGTAACCAATTCTAACTGGAATTGTTATTGAAGTAGTTCAATTAGAGTTCTTTTTCCAACACCATTTTTGCCTATGATTTAGAATTACATTAACATTAATTAATTAGTTGTTAATTTTATGGCTTCCCCTTCACGCCTGTAAATCCAATAAGCACTTGAACTTGAGAAACAATTTGAAGATGGTGATACTTAATACGAACAGATAACTCAATTAGCACTTATCTATAGATAGTTCATCGAATACTATGATTTGAATAACAATCCTATGAAATAATATTTTATAGAGAAGATGAAGCGTTTAATGCAATCACCTTGCACTATGCAAACCTTGATTGTTTCAGCCCCAAGTACAAGGCGTAATTCACCTACTGGTCAAGAAAATCTCAAACATTATTATCAGAATTATCAATATGAAACTATGAAAAACCAAACAATTACTCCTAGAGGGATTAAACAATTACAAAATGTAATTTACTCGATATTTATATTTTCAGGACTTTTTGTATTAGAAGGAGAATATTGAAAAGATTATAAATAATGATTATGCCAAATAGTTGTAGTAAGTAACGGAAAAATTATAGTAAAGAAAATAGAAAAAGAATCCCAGTAGAAAGTCTCCAAGCAGAACCTTCACCAAAATTTATAAGCCTCCTACTCTAGACATGCTTGATTTATGATTTGATAGTTATTATTTATATTGAGATGGTTGTTTAGTAATATATGAATATATAATGAGTATAATTTATAGTAATGAATTTGTAAGATTCCAATGACTTTTCAACTTTTTTGGTTAGATTCTATTTTATTTCACTTGTTTTGTGATCAATATCGTATATACTTGCTATTTTTAAATTGTAATATGAACTTTGGGGTAATTATTAAATTATTGTAAACCAATCTACTTAAATGTCTCGATTTTGTGCTAGAAGAGAGTTTAATTTGGAATACTATTCAAAGCTTAATGGATTGGAGTAAAGTTTTTTTAGGGAAGAGATTGAAACAAAGGAGTTGTTGCAATTGATATTAAGGATAGCTGAACTAGTGGAACATTTCGATTTGAAAAAAGATCCTGTAAAGGGTTACTTTTTGGAGAAAATGCAATATATTCTTTCGAGACCTTATACACTTAATAATTTAAAAAAGAGAGAGGATGAGAATACAATCAACAAGGAAATGAAAAAGTCACGTCACTCTCATTTCTCTTCGAATGTTCAAAAGTTGGAAATGCAGTCACTCTTATAAAGTAACTCTGAAGATAATGAAGGAACAATAAAATTATTATAAGAAGTATGTAATTATTAATAATAATAATTATAGGATTATGAAAAATAACTAAACGATTAAACATTGTTAGTTTAGATGGACTTGGACAATCAGATGGGGGTAATTACGAGTAAGTTGAGACACCGAAAGAACAAAAGCATGTTTTCTCCTTCCAATAGAATGAATAGTTAAGGGGACTAGTAGAGAAGGACGATGAGATAAAACACTTGTTTAAGTAGCGGTTCGAGAAATTCGGATAGAGGACAGATTAATCATGATGATAATATTTGTTAAATTCTGACAATACCAAATCAATGAATATAAAATTGTGTTGTATAATTAAACATAACAAGTTATTAATGTATTTCTTTTAATAATCATTTAGATTGATCATCATTGCCTTCCTCTATTAGAGCTTCCTGACTAGTGATTGCTTTAAGTATAATTTTTTTACTTGGCTCTTAAATGAAGCCAGCCAGTAACAATTCATCTAAGATGTAATAGGCTTTGTGGAAGTTGAAGATGAGATCCAACTCACAGACATTGCCAAAATACTTATCCAAGACTTCCACAAAATGATGAATGATCTCCAAAATCAAGAGTTCATTGTCTTCCTTGTCACAAATGGCTATGAAATAAAGTGAGGCATATCGCTTATAAACAATCTTGTATTCCACATATTCCAAGAAGTTGCACATCTTTTGGCCGCGTGTCAATACTAATGAGTTTATCTTTACAATAACATCAATGGCAATACTTCCTTCAAAAAACGTTGCTTCTCCTTAGTGGTGAGTGATTGATTGTACCACTTCGTCAATCTGGTCTTGCCTTGTCTGCTAACTAGGAATAAACACTAGATCATTGCGAAAACTCTTTTAATTTATTAATTAAAATATGTTACTCATGAATGAATCCATAAATGTATCAAATCAATATATACTACAAGGTGACCATTCCTTCATATCAATAGGAATCTTCGAATGTGCAATACGTGATTGATATCAAGGCAAGAAACAAACAACAATGGCAAATTCCTAAGCGCTATTCTCAATTCGAGGATTTGCACAAGAAATTGATCCCGCTCTTTCAAGAACTCCCCGAATTGCCAAAGAAGGCCTTTATTACGTTCTTGGTTGGAAAGTCAAAGGAATAATTGGAGGATCGAAGAGCTGGCTTGGAGAAATATCTTTAGTAATTAATAGTCCGTCGTGAAATCTATCATTCCTAATTGCTCCGAGACTTCTTGCAGGTATAGTAATCTGTAATAAGCTTGAATAATGCGAAGAAATCCTCCCTCCCAACCTACTTCATTCATTTAAGACAATAATGGGCATACGTGATGTTGCCCAATCTGACCAAGGGGTGATGTTCCTCCTCTAAGCAGATATGAGTGTTTTAAATAGAGTGGATGCTTATGTCAACAACATGAAAATGCCTTGGGATTCCGAATAGGGAGAAGTCAAAACCATTCCGGTTGGATAAGTTGAATGCTACATTAAGTAGGAGGAAGGAGAGTTTTCCTACAAAAAGTTATGGACCAAAGAGTATAGTACTTAAGCAATCTGCATGTTTTATGAGCCAATCACATGCACCTTGCTAGTTGGGTAACATAATCAGCCAAATATGTATAGATTGGACTCTGGAAATATTAACTTTATTAAGGTGTCAGAAAGAGATTCTTTCAATAAGTACGAATAGAGCATTGAAATTGAAATTCATATGGCCAGGATAATGGGTTTGTTTTACAGAAATGGGTAGATTCACTCTGTTTCCAAAGACACCCATTATAAAGTAATTGATATGGATTAAGGGGGATTGAAGTCAGGTTCGAATTCTCACTTATCATCCTAGATTTTTCAATTGGCAAACACGAACTAACTTCATTGACCTATAATGAATAGAGACAAATCTCTGTGGTCGGTAATAGGAATGGCCAACTGTACATATTAAACATAAAGCCGGCATAACCAATAGTAATGTTGACAATTGAGACGAGCACTTCATTCATCCGAGGTCTAGTCTTGGACTATCAGAAAAACTATTTGATATCCGTATCTTATGATGATGGTGTGATTTGTGTTTTAGATGTGGGTAAATGTTTGCAAGAGAACGTGGGCAAGATTAAAACTAAAATTCAAGCCAAAATTAAAGTATACTCGATTTAATTTTTAGACTAGAGAAGTTCAATGGTCAAGTAAAAGAGGGGAATTGTTTGTTGGTAATGATGATGGGACTGTCACTATATATAATGCACTAGATTTATAACCTTAATGTAATACGTTTTCTTAACTTCAGTTGTACTTAAGGCACACGACAAAGCCATCACCAAATTGATTTGGCAAGAATCCACTCAGATTCTTGTTACTGGTGGTAAGGATGAGTTGATTAAGTGGTGGCATTTTCCAAAGAAATGGAAAGCTGGTGATCAAGATGAGTAGGTCAAATCAAAACAGTTGATTGAGGCCAAAATGGACAATATCTTAAAGTTGTAAAATTAGAATCAGAAAATTGATTCAGATGAGGAAGATGAGACTGGTTTAGGCAATTGGCATAAATGATATACCATGATGACTTCATCAAATTTTTAACAAATTATATAAAATTTATTTTACAATATGCAGCAATAGCAATCAATCAACGTAAGATCGATAGTATACATCATAGATCGAAATTATTTCTTACTCATATGAGGGTACGACCATTTTTTATTAAATTTCAGTCAAAGTTGGAATTAAATAATGGAGTGTCTAGAAAAGATATTCGCAATTCGAAGAGTTGAATCGAATCCTTGAATTAACCTTTAAATAGCTGCCTTTATTGCCGAAGAAAAACTTCATAACATTTCTAGTTGGCAAATCTATTGAATAAATCAATGAACGCAAATATGGATTACAGCGCTATTTATAGACATTAGCCTCTCGACAAGAGATTTTGGATTGTGATTGTTTCTAATAATTCTTAAAACTAAAATAGCCAGAATAATTAATTAAAGAAGAGTTATTCAAGGAAACTATCATCGAGTAAGTGTAGAGTCCCCTCAAAATCAAAAATGAATTTGAAGAAATCTAGGATAATCAGCCTAAACCTCAATAGGTATTCCTCAATAAAAGAGATTATCAACAATAAACCTCCTTCATTGAAAATTAAATTGAATAAGGAAAAAACAACTCCTTTGAATAATCAGACAACTAGTAATCTTCAGACATCAAGTAAAATTAATCAAATGATGATGCAGAATTAATCGCTTAAATGAAAACTCAACTTCAAGAGTTCTATGATCAGATCACTGAAAAGGATGCCATTATCTCTAATTTCAATCAAAAAGAACTTGAAACTTAGGAATATTATAACTAATAGATTTATGAAAAACAGTATAGAATTAATGAATTGAATGGATAAGTTAACTAATATTAAGAATCCTATGCAGAATTGTAGAAATAGTATTTAGATATCTAAAATTAAGTTGAAGAATTGAAAATAAAACTTCAAGAAAGCTAATAATACGCTCAGTCATTAGAATAATAATTCAATCAGCAATAAAATTTAATCTCACAATAGATGGCATCAATAGGGTATGAAAATTTAAATTAAATATAATTATCATAAATAATAATTGAGTAATAAAAGAAAATAGATTAATAAACTCAAATCGACAGGGAAAGAGAACTTGAGTTTAAGCAGGAATTAGAAAAACATTATATAATTGAGGCATAGAGAGATGAATTATTTTAAGAAAATTAATTATTAAAAGATCAACTAGAGGAAGAATTACAACAAAGAAACGAATAAGCTGAAGCTATGGAATAGTTGAAATTAGAAATGGAATATCTATAAATGCAGTTAAAGGAGAAATAAGAATTATTAGATATTAAAAGTGAATTATCATGATTAAACAAATAATTTATAAAGCATTCAATTAACGATAAAGTTTTTATATCTCTTATGACCTTCTTCATAATTATGATCTAATTAAGAAATGAGATATATCTAAACAATCCCTACTTAGTTTTGCAATAAAAACCATAATGTTTTTCAAAATACTATTTATTCTGGTCAAAAAAAATAGATTAATAGTTCAGTACATAAGATTTGATTATGTTAATGATATGATAGTTTTATGAATAATGTTAAAAACAGATTTTTGACTTAAGATCCACTTAGGATTTGATATTTTATTGTCCAATATCAAAATAATAAAAAAATACTAATTATATATTGTTTCTAAGAAACTTTGAGAATATGAAAGTTTATTTAATGTAATCATAATTAGTGATTATTTTTCCTTCTCTCTTAAATTATGAATTACAGCTTTTCAATAATACGCTTTAATTTTTATGACTCCTCTTTTACTTTTATTTTGTCGGCTTCTTAATTTTCTTTGGGAAACATGAATTTTATTATTTTTGTCTTTTCATCGTCCTTAAGATATTTAATTATGAGTAATTCATTATCTTTCACTCCAACCTTGAGGATGGAGGAAATTGGAATTCTTTTATAATCTTTAGATTGCCCAGAAAAATGATGTTGCAATAAGAATTGAACCACCCATTTTGTTAACTTGTAGAAAGAATATTTTTATTGTTTTTTGGTGGCGTAGTAGTAATAGAAATCAAAAAAGTCTATTCCAATAATGACTTCACTTATTAATCCATTGTTTTCTATTTTTAATAACTTATATTCTTAATAGTTGAACATCTAGAGAGCTTTTTGATCAAGCTAGTCATCTTTTTAGATTATGGAGGAGGCTATTGACATCATTGAGGATTTTTTGAATCCATAATTACTGTTAGGATCATTGAGATGATCTGAGGAAGTCTTGTATTAAATAATCAACCAATGAATTGGAAGTAAGGAGATGGGGAATTTAATATCTAATGGTTCTTAATTATTGACATTAACACAGGGGTATTTTAGTAGGAAGACGCATTCGCTTTGATTATACTTAAAATTGTTTCTCTTTTATAGTTATTTGTAGATATCCAAAATGGTTGTGTTTTCTTGAAATTTTAAATTGTAAAATATTTCATTTTAGGTGTCTTCTATTAATAAAATTATTTAAGTTGGATACGTCTTCTGAGTTATTTCGATGGTAGATAAATCAATGCCAAAAGTTGAAGTGTCTAATATTTATAGAGTGAGCCATTTGAAATTGATTTTAGAATTTAATTCCAAATTAAAGTACTCCCTGTTCATATTCATTCCAACGTTATCAGTGATATATTAATATTACTGGCCATCGTTCTATTTCATAATCTAATTATTAACAATACTATCTTTAAATGATGGTTGGGCTGAAAAATCGCAATAATCATCGAAGCTTGTCAGTTGATAAGCCAATGAGAAGTTTGAGTATTTTAATAAGTTCTAATCAAATTCTGCAGTTCTCTTGTATTCCTGAAGAGCAAGAACTATTAGTTCACAGGCCAAGATTTCCTTATTGACAAAGAGAGTCTTAGAGTATCGTGAGTTTAAGTAGTTAATGGATACTGTAATGACATTTTTATTTTCGTTAGTTCTAAACAAAGGTGTCATTAATGATCTCTTAGAAGAAATCAATACAAGTGTTTTGGCACTTCTTTTGTTATTACGATATCTTTTAAACTTCTCTTGTTCCAGAATCACCTATGAGAATGATTTCGTATGTTCTTTGTAGGATGAGTTGCTGCGTTTAAATGCAATTTTCTGGGGTTAAACATTACATTTTTCCTTCTCGTCTTCGTTGATTTCTAGAGTGGCTTAATTTTCATTAACTTCACTTTGACTACTTTGATTGTTTGTTCTTACTAATTGATTCATTTTGAGGTTAAACTCCGAATCTTGGCTGCTTTTGATTATGTTGGTCACGTTTGAGGCTTGATCCTATTGTTAACACTGCTAATAGAGACATTCGATATCATTCCAATCAAATTCTTTGCTGTTCTATTCTTTTGATGAGCAAGTGCTTCTGGATTGGTTGTTCCACTTTATTGGTTATTAGTGCATTTGCAAATATAAATTGTCCATTACAATAAAAATATGATTAAACAATAAATTAATTTTCATCATATTTTAAGGATAAACCCTAATAGTGATATATTGGCTACGATCTTTTCACATTTGTGCAAACGACTTTAATTATATCATTTGTTGCTATTTAATTTAAAATATATCAATTGAGTATAATTATTTATTTAGAATAATTAAGAAATGGATAAATTGTAATAATTAATTTAAGAGTTCTTCAATGTTTTAGAATAGAATTTCTTTCTTTCTAGAGAATTCAATAAGATTTTTGTATCCCAAGAGAATGCCAAATAAATTGCATAGGAAAAAAAATATTAAGAACTGACAATTAAACTGCTTGAGTTTATTTTGTCTATCCATAAAAGCAATCAACACTCCGCACTACAGGATAGAATTGCTCAAACTCAAAAACTACTATTAAATTACCATAGTTAGATCAATCAATCACAAAAAAAGGAAATTTAACCATTAAATCAAAATTTTGACATTCCTACAGTCACCAATTATAAAAGCAATCCTGTCAGTCCTAGAAATGTCTAAATCAATTAAAGTAAAAGTGCCTCAAATTTACATGGACTTGAGAAGAGACAAAAGTCAAATTAGAACCCAGTTTAAGGAATGACAAAAGGAACCCCCAATAGCTCATCTTAATAGCGATTCTTTATTGAAGATATTCCCAAGATGGGCAAATCGCATATAAAAGATGATCAATAGAGGAATTACAACATTATCACTGGAATGTGAAAGAAATTGAATAAATGAATTATGAGCTTCAATAATATAAATATGATCATTTATTATTCAGACATATTCATTATGGTATCAAATTGTTTACTTTTTTTATGAGAATCCAGACTACTATTATGCAAATCTTTGATGTTAAAATTATTATTAAAAATCACACATAAATAATAAAATTGAAGTAATTGAACCTAATGGTTAAATAAAATTTATCTTAGAATCTTAATGCTTGTATTTATAATGTTCTACTTGATTAGATAAGCTGTATTTATATATTATTTGTAGTAATTATATTACATTTTGTCTATTTGAACTGTATAATTAATTCTAAGATATGGTTGATTCACCTAGTAGTTAAGATAAATGTTCTAGTTTCAAAAAAGGAGAACTCCCTACTTCGAGTTTTTTTATGAAATCCAAAAATACAGTCATTGAATAGAATAAAGTATATATTTTATAAACATTTTTGAAGTTGAACATCGTAAAGTCTTTAAAACTAATCCCTTATCCTATGTATTATCATCATTATGTATTAAAATCATCAATAATGAGTAGAATTAAGACTGTGATTAAGTGAATTAAAATCATAAAATTAATGTAATAAGTAATTCCAGCACCTAGAGTTTAAGTAACATAACCATACGCAGGTTAAAAGCCAGGTACTTCAGGCTTACGAAAAAAGGTGAGCGAGGCTACTCAACCTAATTATTTAGAGAACTTTGTGCAAAGCATTTTCAACACATTACGCAAAGATGAATTGAAGCGTATCCAATAATACTAATTTTATTTAGCTAAGAATGTTCTCTTTGTTGGCGGAGATGGAAGATACTTTAATAGATAGGCTATTTTCTCAATAATTCGTTTGGCTTATGCAAATGATATAAGCGAGGTTCATGTTGGCTAAGCAGGTTTAATGTCCACTCCTGCCTCTTCACATTATATTCGTAAAGTGAATGAAGAAGTTGGAAATTGCATAGGAGGAATAATCCTTACTGCTTCTCATAATCCAGGTGGTAAAGAACATGGAGATTTCGGAATCAAGTTCAATGTAAGAACAGGTGCTCCTGCTCCAGAAGATTTCACTGATTAAATCTACACAGTAATAATCCTTATGTGAACATCTTAGCATACGACTAAAATTAAGGAATATTTAACAGTAGATTATGAATTCGAGAAACATATAAATTTAGACTAAATAGGAGTATACAAATTCGAAGGCACTAGATTAGAAAAGTCTCACTTTGAGGTGAAGGTTGTAGACACAGTCTAGGACTATACTCAATTGATGTAGAAACTTTTTGATTTCGATTTGCTTAAAGGATTATTCTCAAACAAAGGTAAAATTAATTTAATATTAAATAAAAAGATTTTACATTTAGATTTGATGGTATGCATGGTGTTGCAGGACCTTATGCTAAACACATCTTTGGCACTTTATTGGGATGTTCAAAGGAGTCTCTATTGAATTGTGATCCATCTGAAGATTTTGGAGGTGGTCATCCAGATCCAAATTTAACTTATGCTCATGATTTAGTGGAATTGTTGGATATTCATAAGAAAAAGGATGTAGGTACAGTTCCATAATTTGGAGCTGCATGTGATGGAGATGCAGATAGAAATATGATCTTAGGTAGATAATTCTTTGTAACACCTTCTGATTCCTTGGCAGTTATAGCTGCTAATGCTAATTTAATATTTAAAAATGGGTTATTAGGTGCAGCTAGATCAATGCCAACTTCAGGTGCTTTGGATAAGGTTGCGACCAAGAATGGAATAAAACTATTTGAAACACCAACAGGTTGGAAATTCTTTGGAAATTTAATGGATGCAGGATTGATCAATCTATGTGGAGAAGAAAGTTTTGGAACTGGATCGAATCATATAAGAGAGAAAGATGGAATTTGGGCAGTCTTAGCATGGTTGACTATTTTGGCACATAAAAATAAAGATGCTGATCATTTTGTTACTGTTGAAGAAATAGTCACTCAATATTGGCAATAATTCGGTAGAAACTATTATTCAAGATATGATTATGAATAAGTTGACTCTGCTGGTGCCAATAAAATGATGGAGCATTTAAAAACAAAGTTCCAATATTTTGAGGTATTCATTATATTATATTGCAGTAATTGAAACAAGGAAATAAGGCTGATATTTATGATTATGTTGATCCTGTTGACCAATCAGTGTCAAAGAATCAAGGAGTTAGATTCGTTTTTGGAGATGGATCAAGAATTATATTTAGATTGAGTGGTACTGGATCAGTAGGTGCCACTATTAGAATCTATTTTGAATAATTTGAGTAATAGGATATTCAACATGAAACAGCTACTGCTTTAGCCAATATTATTAAACTTGGATTGGAAATCAGTGATATTGCTTAATTCACAGGAAGAAATGAACCAACTGTCATAACTTGAACAATCAATCATATTAATAAATAAATATACAAAATTCTTATTATCATAAATGCTAGGCTAAGAAGGTTTAAGAATATATAAAATTTGTGATTTACAAACATCGCAATTAATTACATTATGAGACTTAATAAAATGTGGATATCACATATATTAATTTAATTTTAATGATAAATAGTAATGAAGTTTCTCCTGTGAAAATGTCCAATGGTATTAATTGATGTTTATATCCCAGAGTAGAAGTAAGATATTATGAGATCGATTTTGAAAGAAGAATCAATGATAAATATTACCTTAAAACCAATTGAATAGGAGGTGTTCTTGACTGAGGATCCATAGGTAGCACTGATTAAACTGAAATGTTTCTAAGAACTGATCAACAAAGAGAGGTAACATATGGAGTTGATTGTAGATTAGCGTATGCAGAACATCTAGCAGAAGTCTTCGAAATGATTGGAGATGATGCATATAGAAATCTAGGATTTATTCTTAAGCAATTCGTAATTGTTGTGTAATACTTATTTGCAAGGTTCAAGATTCCTATTCAATCTAATTGTCTATTATTCGATAGTTGCCTCTACTTGTAGAACAAATTAAGAAACGATAATCTGGATATGCGGAATTGAAAGATCATGTTCTGCCATTTATGAATATATTCATCATGCATGAAGATTTCGATGTACACATATCCCATCAGACTTATTAGGTTAAAAAAGAAGTTTTGACCCAACTAATTAAAATAGCACCCTTTTTAATTGAATAGGATAAAGTGGACACAATCTTAACACATCTAATTGAGATGGCTCATGATGAAAAAAATAATTAAAATCGTATGTTGGCAGCTGAAACCTTTGGTTAAACTGCCTCTCTCTTCTCAATGAAATATTGTGAGTCTTATATTTGCGGAGAACTCTTAGCTCTTGGTATAGATTTAAATGAGTTTGTAAGAGAAAAAGCTATTGAATAATTACCAAATATATCAGTATGTCTATCTGAAAAATGCATAGAACTCAAAATTATACCATTCTTTTTATAGTAATATCCAATCTCTATTCTAGATCTTGCGAAGACAGACTCTTGTAAATTAAATTTGCTTGTATCAGATCTATTTCAGGCATTTCCAAATACGCCAGACATAACTTAAAGACTACAAAATTAATACCCAAGTATTTGGACTTTATTTCTGATTAAAATAAAGATGTCAGAAAGACTGCATATGAATATTTAGGGGAGTTCATCAGCACAATTAAATTTACTGACAAGGATCAGCAATAACTTGAAACCATATTGGCATACTACCAAAATTAATTGGATAAGAATATGAATATGATGGGTGTCGATGTAAGTTCAATTTCAAATGATATTTTAAGCTTGTCTATAAATGTGCCTACTATTTCCCAGGAGTGCTCTAAGCTATTGGCAGAGCTCGTTGGCTCAAGATTCAGCCTCTGTATGGATTCCTTCTGAAATACCCTTCAGATGTAATTAAATATCTAGTTTAGAAAGTTAGAGTTTCCTTATCTCAGAGTTTTCATGAAGTGGCTAAATTGTTGGGTCCCGATTTGTCCAAAGAATATTTGATCCCTGTACTAGAAACATTAGCATAAGATAAATTGTAAGAAGTCAGAAATGGCATAGTAGTAAATCTGTCTAAATTTATATCTATCTTTCCTATTGAAGAAAGAGACTATGTCATTGATCTATTACTCAATTTTTAGAAAGACTAACATAAATGGCGAACTCGTCAGACTATTTGTACTTCCATATTTCCAATCACCAGGTGTTTTAACAATGATACCATCTTTTTTTAAATTGCCCCAATTCTATTTAAATTTTGCTCTGATACAGTTGCTAAAGTAAGAAGGAAGGCTTCTAAAAATGTTGTTCATTTGGTTGAGACATTTGAAGAGGAAGGAGAACAAAGAACTGTCATTCTTGAATAAATTAGGGCTTTTTCGCATTCTAAGAAATTCAATCAAAGATAATCTTATTGTTGGATGTGCTATAAATTATTTTATAGACCAGATTTTGAAGATCTATTTTTTGAAAGACTCTTTGAATTATGCAGAGATCCTGTTTAATGTGTAAGATTATCAGCTGTTACTGTCATTGATAAATTTATTTAAAAAGAAGGTTTCTCAAAAGAACGCAAATATTTAAAATATTTATTGGTTCAATTTATTGATGATCAATGTAAAGAAATTTAATAAATTCTTACAAAATATAATTTTGTCATCTAAAAAACCAAAAAAAAGACTCTCTCCTGTAGATCACGCAATAGCGGATCTTCAAATGGTCATTTGGAAGACATTCCAGAATTTGATGAAAAAATAGAACAAATTCGTAAAACATCTGGCAAAGTTTGATTTTATTATAATCAATTTAAATTCCAACTCTAAATATTAAATTAAAATTCATAGATAAATCAATTAAGTGCATTGAAAATCTGTTTAATTGTAGAGTTTATATTATATTATATTCATAAGAATATGAGATATTAATTCTTTAAATGAATTCTTCAAATTTCATATCGTCTTTTTTCTCAGGTTTATTTTTAGTAGTGTTAATTTAGATATAAATATATATCATAACTATATACAATTATTTGCAATTGATCTAATTTTAATGATCATTTTTTATTAATAATATTGAATATAAATTCATCATGAACAATTATTTGAAGAAAAAAGTATTCAAAATTTAATATTTTTTAGTATATCATCAATTTTGTTTGATATAAATCTATTATTCTAATCAATATATTTGAATTATCCATTTTTTTCTTCCAAATCATTGATATCTTAAAATAATTTACTTTCCAAAATTCGTTTGTTTATTGAAAATTTGGATTGAAGAAAAGACTATAATTGTTAATAGGAATCTCTCTTTTATTATGATGTAAATAAATTCTAGACCTCAATTTCCTTGTCTATATTATAAACAATAATACTTAGAAGTTTTATCCTCGAACTTTTCATCGATTCTTGTAATCCGTGAAATTATGATTCATGAACTTTACGAAACATTTCCTCAAGCTTGTTTAAAAATTCTATGAGCAATTAAAGGAAATTTGAATCTAGTTTGTTTCTCTTAACAATAGTTCTATTATCAGAAGTGTAAGTAAATTATTTATAGATTTTTTTGAATAATTGTTCAGAAGATACAAGGTCTTTTATTTTGGCATCAACAAAAAGAAACGAAAGATCATGAAAACGTGAGTTTAAATGAATTTCTTTTTCGATTAATGAAGTTAAGCCTTTCTCGCTTTTATATTGCTTTAACTCATTTATGATGTATGAAATCTAGTTTAATATCTACATTAAGTTAGTTTCTTTAAATGAGATTTATCGTATTTGTGATGAAACATCCATGCATTAACTTTACAACATCGCTCTTTTGTTTGGAACAAATGTGCATAAAGAATTTTTCTCTTGCCTAAAAGACTTTCTCATAGCTAATTCAGAACTCTAGTTATCCAAATTTAATTTATTATTAAGAAGTGTTCCCAATGCTTATTTCGATTTTAGTGATTAATGTAGGATAGATTGTTATGAACTTTATGAAATTTGAATGATATTATTACTTTTAACCATCGAAAACGATTTCTTAGGTGAAAGTGAAGGAAATTCTTAATTAGACCTTTCTTATGATTCTCGTTAAGATTTTATCATACCTTATATAAATTAAGGAGTGAAATATTAATAATTTTATAATAATACTAAAAAAAGGATAATATTTTTATTTTCAATTCAATAGAATTTCGACATCACAAATCAAGCATTAAGGTGATACATAACATTAATCAATTAATTAATTGATGTTATCAAATATTTTTAAGAAAGTAAAACAACCATCTGAATAATCATTAATAACACTTTTCTATAGAGAAGGCTACTAAAAAGAGTAAGTGCTTCTATGATATATAAAATAAGTTAAAAAATGAATATTTCATTTAAGGCTGAACATCTTACTTTCTTATTGCATTCTTCTAAATTTTGTTCTTGATATGATATTATTACTTTTTGGAGTTAAGAATTTAGCATTAGAATTGATTGTTATTGGTTATAATAATTATTAATAGAGTTATGTTCCTCTAATTGATCCATTTGACATCAAAGTTGTTAATATCTACTCAGAATGAGTCAGCAAAATCAATTTATTTTATAATTGATCCTTCAGATTGCAATTCTTTTTTTAGAGCAACAACATATCTTTCAAAGAGTCTGATTAAATCTTCTTTTACAGATTACTTTATAAAGAAAATTTGGATTCAGATTCCTTTAGTCTTTGTTGATGAGAATCACATGTGATTAAACCAATATTAGGAAGCTAATTTTTAATATATGGAAAAGAAGACTCCTTCAGATTGGGATCTTTAATTTCTTGCAATCTAGCTGATTAATAATCTAATGGCTTTAAAGTTATTCTATCTAGAGATTTTTATTAGAGATTTCTGTTTGATAAAATAGATGTTTAGATATCCATATTTTAAACATCAAATTATGATGTTGGAGGTTCAATTGTCTGATGTGGAATATTTTAAAGTCTATGATTTGACTATGACTTTTAACTTTGATCTTACAATTTTTAAGTCTTTATTTTTCTATAATTTCGACCAGTACTTTAATTTAATAATTCAGATGACTAGAAATCAAGTGATTTAAGAGATTGTTTAATTAATCTTGACTCCAACTTATTAAAGGATTCGTTTGAGTTGAATTGCAAATTCTTCTGAGTTTCCACACTTTTGATTGCAGAATCTTAGAGATACTATTGTGATATGTTTAAGGACCTAACATTTGGAGTTTGTCTAAAGTCTTCACGTTTGCTGTCACATTGCTCTTGATTAAAAGTGGAATGAATTTCTTGAAATTCTTGTTCTTCCTTTATTTGGTTAAATATTTGAGACTCAATTACTCTAATTGATTAAAAGGGAGTAATTTTAGGAGAAAATTCAACAAGGCTTTGAGAATTGAAAAGTCTGAGATTTGTATCAATTTAACTTTAGCTCAGTTTGTTGTCACATAATTATTTGATTTAAACACAAAATAGTTTCTTGATTTCCGAAAGAGAAGTATCTGTATGATCATCTTCAGACTTAATTTCAAATTATTTGATTTTATTTGAATACCTTTTAATTGTATATTAAACCAGTGAATTCCTTTACATGAGTTTATTGAATTTATATTCGAAGCTATTTTTTAAGGATTCATAATTAAGTATTGGTTGGATGAGATTAGCATTCATGAATTGAAAAGGAGGAATGTCTTCTAAACTTGTTATGCTTTATGAGAGTTAATTATTTTGGTGTCTTGCAGTTGTCTTGTGGATGTGTGGTTTTAAACTGAGGATTAAGTATGGTGCCATGAAATCATTGTTTTTGGGAAAGAAATATTTCTCTTGAATTCTTTAAATGTAGACTAGATCTATTTTAGAATTCATTAATTTGGGCATAATTGGTTCATCTATCAGTTTTATGGATTTAGTGATTTTGGATACTTCCAAATTGAGACGAGTCTACCTTAATCAATAATAGTGTTACTCTTTGTTATTTGAAAACTTCCTCAATTGTGACTCCACCAAAATTGATTTGTTTGACAACATGAACAAACTTTATATGTTCTTTAATTTATAGAGCTGAATTCGCTGGGAAGTGAAATTTGAAATAAGAAAATGTTAAATTGGCTATTTATAGAAAACAATTCTGAAAATAGTCTAAATCTTATTATGGCCATCTTTCTGTTTTTAGAATTCTATTTTCAGATTTTTGGTTTTGAGAGTCAATTTTTTAAATTTGTATGTCTTAATCAGTTGTGTTCTCTGTTATCTAAAGCATTTTAGATAGTAAAATTAGATGTTCTCTTTTGAGAAATAATGACACTATCTTTGCTTTCATGTAAATATAAAATTATATTTAATTCTTGTTTAATAGTGACACTATGCAAAATGAATTACATGGAAAAATTGAGAAGATGAATCCGATAATTTATTATATTGACATCTGTCATTCATTTCAAATTTCCCTCTTAGAGAGAGTGTGAATAAGTCCAATTTTGAAATATTAAATTAAATAAATAATTATGAGATCGAATTCAACAGCATATACACCTTAAAATCCAGAGATCTTCCACAAAGGACACATCCATTTCTTTGATTTATTGTCTTCGTTCCATGGGTTGGAAGATCAACCAGACTACCCAGTTTAATAATAAACCATTTAGGATAAGCTTAGACATCAATACCTTCATGATAACAATTGGGAAGATAGTATCAAGCAATTTATTATCATTTAGAATTGTGTTATAGAACATGCTTCAAAATTTAAGAGAAAGATTACGTATAATTCTGCTTGGATAAGAAATGCTCAGGTGCACCTTATTTGAAGGCTGCTCAAGTTTTGGGATATGTAAAATCTGGAAATCCAACACCTAAAGCTCATGGACACCATCATCATTGATTAAGCATTAATACATAAACAATAAATTATCAAAATTATGGTATTCTTTAGGAATTCATATAAATATCTTTTTTCGCTTATTTATTTGTAATTGGTTACTCTGATCATTTTTATTGTAGCAACTGAAATCATCGATGTGTGGTCAGATTATTACAATTACAATGGAGAGTATGCAGTTCATTTTCTGCTTTAATAGAAGTGTGAAAATTGAATTATTAATAATAATAATGAGTTTAATTATTTATAATAATGAGGAATATATTTAGTTATTTTTATGGAACGCCAGTATTCTTTATTTTAATGCATAGGCTAATAAAACAGGGACTGAGTTAAAGATGGACCAAACATATGAAACATTTAATTTTGAATTTACCTCAAATGAGCATGTTCCAATTTATGAAAAATGGACAAAAGGAGAGGAACAAGAATATATAGGTGTGTATATGAATAAATTAGATATCAAATTGCAAGCAATAGAAAACATTTATTTAGATAACTATGACTAATAGCTAAAACAACCAGAAGAAATTAATCTAATAGATTATATAGTTTAAGAGAATGATACTCTCTTTGGACTGGAACTCAAATTTAATATTAAGTATTGAAGTCTTTTCATGTTAAGTTAAAAAAGAATATTGTAGTTAAATGACATATCTCCAGAGTGTTTTGTACCTGGGATGAGAATTAAACTTCCCAATCCATAGGAACAAGAAATCCAGTAAGATTAAACAGAAAATGATCATGATACTCCTAATCAGAACCAATCCTCATATTTTGGGAGAAATTTGATGGATGAAATAATGTCTAAGGGATAAACCAAGAAATGTATGCAATTCACATAAGAATCATATTAGTTAATGTGTTTTATTTGACCCACTATGGATGCATAGAAGGAATATTAACAATAAATAATGATGTTATTCTCTTTGATCCTAGTTTCATCGATCAGAATAAAGAAATAGTTAAAAAATGTCAAAGTAATAAAATATTAGATAAAAGAATAAAGCATTCTTAATTTTTAAGCATGTATGATGACAAAAGATGTGCGATCTGTAGACTTAAATGAGTTGCCTATGAGAATTGCCAAAAGTTCGAATAAGTGTTTTAAGGATTATGTCATCCTCATCCATGTTAATTCTAATGTGACAACTAAAAAGTTGGTTGAGATTATCCCAATCTTGAGTTTCAGAGTATGTTTTGAACCCTATGATAGATATAAAATGATTAAAATCAAAAGGAACATATACAATTAAGTGTCGATTTATATGAAACTCTAAAACAAGTTGTGAGAACTAAATCTTAAAGAATGTTAGAAGATCTATAACAATCAAAAGAGCAAAACCTAACTATCATTCCCTTTTATGATATTCAAGACTCGTTATTAACTGAAAAACTATTGAAAAGAACAAATAATTTATGGGGAGCATAAGATTATTTGCCATAGATGATGTAATAATCATAAATTTGTGATAATGATGAATTAATTTAAGTAAGGCAACTCTAATTATATTTCAGATTATAGCACATGTTCCTTCAATCTACAAGACTTCAAATTGGAAATTAATTTTCTCAAATGTTATTAATGGTTCATCATTTCACACTTTGCTTCATAAATGTGAAAACAGATCCCCATTAATATTGGCAATCAAAGATGTACATGAATGCAAATTTGGAGCCTATTTAAATGAATCTCTAAAGTTAACATTCGGGAAATTCTTTGGTAATGGGGAGACATTTTTATGGACTTTAAAAGTATTTATTGAATGATGATGTTAGGAAAACGAGTTTAAAGCATACAGATGGTCAGAAATAAATAACTATTTTATATTTTGCGAATCAGATGGATTTGCTATTGGATGTGGAGATTAATTTGGCCTCTACATTAATCATTCCTTGACAGCAGGCAATACAAACAAATGCGAGACTTATAAAAATGAAATATTAACACTCACTAATGATTTTAGTATTAAAATACTTGAAATATGGAGTTTAAGTGAATGATAAAAACCATCATAAATAACTTTTATTTATAAATTAGCATAAGATATAATCTATTATCATTCATTTTTTATGGTCATAAGTCTAGTTATCATCTATTTCTAGATATATTTTCAAGGCTAATTTTGTTTAATATTTCTATAATCCATACAATATTCTTCTTTTCTCTCAATTGATTTGGATTTTCAATCTGATGATAGCATAAACAACCTTTCTGATCACACTTCTTAATTTGGAATGCCTAGCTTTTACCTGTCTAGTATAAAATAGGTGAATCATACAATTATGAATACACAATTATATATTTTTAATTAGTTTTTTCAAATGATTTTAAATGATCAATATCTAGGTTCAATGTATAATATTACAGTTATTACGCATTATTATGGAAACAAAACTTGATCAAATTAGAACTAAGAAATCTAAAAAAAAATTTTTAAATAAAAATGATGGCTCAATCACCGAAGTTCAAAATTGAAAAAATGGCTCCATTAAGTAAACATCAAAAAGTCCTAATTGATGAAGAACCTATTGATGATATTGTTGAAGTTGATGAAACAAAAATCTCTTTCAATGAAAAATTAATTGTCTGTGATTATAAACCATGGCAATCTGTTATTTAAATAAGAAAAACAATTGAAAAATTAAAAGGATATTCGAATGTACATTGGATTAATCCTATCCTTGATGTCCGTCTCAAAAACCCATCTAGATCCATTTTAAAAAGCCCTTCAAAACTCTCATCCAATTTTGCTATATAACAGTGATCCATATTTATCCTATATTACAACTATATTATTAATGATAAAAAGAAAATAATTTAAAATGGAATTTTTAGATTAGACTTACACTACTAAATGAATTCAGTTAAGAGATAAATAACACAGCTAAAGATTCTTAAGCATCATTTCTAAACTCTACAACACAGCCTATATAATTAATTTAAACAAAGAAGTCTATTCTCTAAAAGCAATGTTCATAATGATTATGGTTATAATTAAATAAAATAAATGTTCATCTATTTTTGGTTAAATGTATAAGATTAATGGTCAGAGAAGTTGTATATCAATTAATGTTAATTTTATACTTCTTATTCTAATAGGCGCATTTTCTACCTTACCTAATCAATGCTATATAAATCAATTAAATTAATAGAAATTCAAATACTCCCTATGATCACCTCATAATTTATCTCATATATCTAATTTTAGTAGTCTGCTAATTTTTAAGGCTCAATGATATTTATTAAGACTATTACCATTCATAAAGCCTCTAGACTTTTGATATTACTATATTTTTTGAATATCTATTTATTTAAGCAATGATAATTATTCCCTTAGATAATCATTCTAAAATAATACCTTCACGTGTTTTATCAAGTGATAAATATAGTGATTTTAATTAAAAAAAAGAGAGATCAAATTATGGTAACTCATAGTTTTGAAGGAGTAACAATCATCATTTTGATACCAAGATAATTTGCTGTAAAAATTAAATTTTGAATTATCGAAATTATAAAATTTTAAAATACCTAATTTATAATGTTGGGCATGCTTTGTGTTAAGATTATTTAATAAGAGCTGTTTATTGTTTATGAAATCAAAATGATTTAATAGTGAGTCTGTAATTTTTCTGATTTATTATACTTAAATTCTAAAGTTTGATTAAAATGTTTTGAATGAGATTTGAATTAATCTGAGTCTAAATAATAATCCTAACCAGAGAATTGAGAATCTGTAAAATAAACAGTACTATTGATGTGCTATTTCTATAATTGCAATAGGATCGGGACTTGCTATGAATATTAAATAAATAATTAAAAATCAATAATTTGATTCATGAATATTGAATCATAATGTCTTACTGAATCTTTTTAATGAAGTAATATAATTATTAGCCATAATGATGCGTTTGAATTTTTAGGAAATTAATTAATATAAACTTAATATTACAACTTATCAAGAATTCATCATTACTAATTGAAATTTGCATCATGGTTTGGGATAATAAAAGTTTTGCAGTAGCAATTGTTAATTATAAATAATATTTTTGAATGGATGAAATACAAATCAAGCACAGATAGGCTTCAAAAAGCACAAGTGTTTTATCAATGCTGGCAATCAAAAGACCAGACAAGACATAATCAAGCCTTTAAACTATTGTTGGAATAGTGAATTCGATGGTTGGATCATTATGCTTAGTGTTACCCTTGGTATTTTTGAATTATGGAGTGATATCCTGCACAGTGATAATGATAATATTGGGATTTGTTTAATACAATACTTGTTCTCTTTTAATACTTCATCTGAAAGATCAAGAAATAGATACTGAACATATGATCAAGAGAATTCTAGGGAAGCCATGGATGCAAGCCTTCAGATTTTGTTCTGGCACTCTATTGTTCATAGTCGGCATAATTTACTTTTAATTGATCAACCTCACCTTATACCCAATTATAACATACATTTTAGGCTATAATGACATTGAGTTTGCCGATGCAAGTGAACATTTTGTATTTAATAAGTATACTTTTTAAAATAATTAAGATATTCAATTTAATGGTAAGCCTTGATAGTCTTTCTTCCACTATCAACATTACTGCTAATCAAGGATATTACAACAATAGTTAAAATAGCTCATTACGGAGTAATTGCTTTATTTGCATATGGGATCTTTATTATTTATATTTTTATAGTGAATCTAGCAAGTGAGGATATTTCATAAAAATTCGAACAAATAACTTTATGGTCATGGGAATTCAGTTAGCCTGCAGGTTAATTTGCTTTAGCCTTTATGATTCACAATGCAATAGGACAATTGATGAAAAATAACGAGAAGAGAGATAACAATTCTAGAGATTTGGCTATAGCTTACGTGATTGCAGGGATGATCTATGGGATAGTGGGAATATTTGGTTCTATTGGGATTCTGGTAAGAGATCAAAATTATTTAGGGTTTGGAAAATGTTACTGATGCTTAAACTATATTGAACTGTTTTAAGAAATCGGATGTGGAGATCATTATAATAGAGGGTCTATTTTTAGTACATTTGGTTACAGCATTTCCAATTTTTAATAACATCAGCAAATATTAGATTTTGGAAGTACTTTATCATAAGAAGGAACCATCAAATACAGTGTATTGGGGATTCAGCGTTCTGTTTATGGTTCTGTGTTTAACAATCCAGATTTTGAACATTCCTGTTGGACTTGTGATTTCGTTTGATGGAGCAGTTTGTGGGTTCTTATTGGTATACATAGTTCCAATCAGCTTACATTTGAAATGCTATTATAGTTAAAATAAAGTCACATTGATTGGGGATGATGACTATGAATTTAATACTCAAGCAAATTGCGTGAATCATAAGGATAAGAATTCGATTCCTATGTTCGCTAGGATTGCATTCTATACTTTGTTGATGGGAATCGGAATATACAATTTAATTGTATAATTTTATGATATATTTAAATCCTGATATTAAAATAAATTAAAATATTTAATATGCTACAATTAATTAGGGTAGGAAAGAGACAGTTAGTGTGTGTTCCTTCGTTTAATTATAAGTTAAGAAGGCCCGCCCCGAAGATGTCAGAATATGACAAGGAAAGGATTGAATATAAACATTTAATGAATTAGGTAGGAAATTAGTGATATCAAAGTATAGGTCAAGAATCGTCAAGGACTTTTGGGAAGAATAAACCAAAATTGAAAATCAATATATAGATGACTATTTGGCAAAAGAAAAAGCAAAATAAGAGAGACTTGATATTCATAGAAGAAATTAGACTGTAATCTAAACATTTAATGCAACATAATAATACAATAAGTTACAGGACATCAGAAGAGTCAGAAATGAAAGAGTCAAGAAATATCTGGTTGAATAAGACATTAAAAAAATGAACAGGCAATAAATAATCAGAGTATTAAATGAAGAATCCAAGAATTGGATTTCAGATAAGAACTCATATGAAAAATTAGTAGGAAATCTATTAATTCCAGATACTGTTCTAGATGAAATATCATATTATCATGATTTATAAGAGAAAGCAATTCTTTATGAAACAGCTTAATATGAAGAAATTGATAAGTATTCAATACATTTATTCAATTAGATTAAATGATCCAAATATCTAGTTAGAATGGAAGAATAGACTTGGAATGCCATTATATCAAAGAATTGTGACTCTTATTAAATTTTTAAAACAAGATAATGTCTTAGGAAATTTGAAATTTGAATGGGATACATGTTAAGCAATTATTTTGACTGACAAAAAATTAAGCGAAAAAGAGATGGCTGAATAATTGGATAAAGTAAACGGTGCATTTTAAACTGTCATTGCATAGAAGATAGAAGAACTTGAAAATAACCCAGTGAAAAGATTAGAAGAAATGAATAAATAACTTATAAGATTATATAATCTCCTTGAATTATGGGATAAATACATCACCATAGTTAAAATGGATAACTCAACTGCTTAATAAATAATGTAAGCTGCCAAAGCCTAAATTAATTTATTTGAATCAGAAGGTGGAAAAGATTATATGATCACCTCTGATAATAGTCTCATTGAGAAGTTAAATGGAAAGGAGGCTCCAAGTAAGGAAGAAAAAGATGATAAATACATCAGTGCTGACGAAACACACACAGACAGTGAAGATATCGATTTGGAAAATCTATAGAAAAAGAAAGAGACCAAGGATATTTATGGTGGCAGAACTACAAAATCTTATGACTTTGATACTGAGAGAATTAAGGACAAGGACAAGGAGTTTTCAAAATTGGTTGAAGAATTATTTGCTAAGGCTGAGGCAAAGGCTAAGGAGTCCAATCTTGAGTTCGAATCTAACTACAGAAAGAATCCTCATCAAAAGGTGTTCTATAATGACAATCTAAACGCTCCTAATGTTCCTGATGCTAGATCAGTTTTCGAAGGTGTAGATTTGGAACAACTATTCCCCTCTGAAATTCTCAATGATGAAACCAAGACTCCTTATCTTGATTTCAAAAATGTTGAAGATATCGAAAATCATTATTATGAATTAGTAATATCATCTCATTTATACTTCCTAGAAAGCTATCTATAGTCTTAGAAAACAAGGGGAATAGAATGTCCTTGTCAACCCAGATGTCTAAAAATTCAACACCACAATCACTGCCTAAACATACAAACAACTCCTCAATAATCTTGAAGTACCAGCAGAGTATTCAAAATTGAAACAAGATACTTAAAAATTGGTTGATGCAGTAGGAGAGATTAAAGTCACTGATGCCGATTTCTTATTGAAGATCTGGAATTATTATAATTGATGATAAATAAGAATATGTATAAAATAAAAAAGCAATATTCTAACATATATCCTCAATCAAAATAAAATTCTGTTTAATAAATAATTTTAATTTATTTATGATTAAAAACTATGTAAAGCGAGCCCTCATATAGAGGTATTTACCCACAACAGGGTGCCTTTACGAGTTTTCAGAGGAGTAAGATACAGAAAAAAAGAAGACAAGACTTAGATATACTTATGAAGAATAATAAGAAGTCAATAGATAAAAATAAAGTAATACTGTCATTCCTATTAAGGCAACTTTTTATTAAGAAGGATTCTAATAAACTATTATAAGTATAAACCAAACAAAGTAGAAATGATCAAGAAAATTAATTAATATTTCAATCCTAAAAAGTAAAAGGCTGAAGAAGCAATCCCTGAGACTCAGGAAGGGGAAGAAGGATAAGAAGGTCAGAAACCGATTGTTAAATTCTCTCGTATTAGTAGGACTAGTAAATAAAAGATCTTTAGGGAATTTGTACATGAGAAGAAAATCTTCAAATACAGAAGGGATTACATTTTTTCCAACAAAATAAGGCCATACAAGCCAACCAAAGAAGATATCGAATAATAAATGATCAGAGAACTCAAAGGTCAGAAATCGATCAACAATCCAAATTTATTTGATAAATTTAAATAAAGGTAGAGAGATTTTGAAAATTACAATTTGACAAACCTCATTATGAGATATGATAGCTTTTAACCATCGCATGTTTTTGAGTAATTGAAATCTCATTTTACTAGTGGACTTTATGGATTTATGAAAGAAGAATAATTTTAGTATTTATTTTAATATATATAAAAATAGAACTCTAATCTTTAACAGGCCATCCTTTTAGATTTATCTAAATAAATTACCTGAGTAATTCTACCATCAATATTAGAAGTATTTAAATTCAGATCATATTACTTAAATTATCAAAGAGATAGAGTACAAGAACTATAAATTTTTACCAATTTTGAGATATTGTGAATTAAAGAGCAAAGGATAATATTTTGATAATCAAGAGAGTTTTGATTAATTCCTTAAGAAAGTCCCTGAATAAGATCAATTACTGATACAATATTTCTTTTTTAATGAAAACAGTTCTAAATTGCTTAATTATGAATCCTTTCTTAAGGGTATTTTGAATATCCAATGGGGTGGTTAAGTTAATCAGGAACCCTTGAAACAACAACTTGCTACTTTGCTTAATGTCAAATTCAAGATAAATCTGAATAGAGAATTACAATTGTATTTTGCAGATTTATTTTTTGGATGTGACACATTCGATAAAGCCATTGTTGCTATTGCTTTATAATATTTATTGTTATAAAGATTGACACATGCTTTCCCAATAAAAGACATTTTAGAATGTTTTAAGTAGACTCTGGGAGAGGAAAGATATACATTCTACTTAGAATAAGAATTACCTTAAATCCTATAAAACTTAAATGTCAAAACCTATTACTTTTAGTACTAAAAAGGAGTCATCGAACATCAACAACAGAAATCAAGTATATTATTTTATTAAACATAGAAAAATCCCTGATAATATAAAATTACACAAATCTTGATGGAATATTCTTAAAAGGCAAATACATTCAGGTTTCATAATTCTAAATTCACTATAATCCAAGTTCAACTAATTTGATGTACTCTAATCAAACCATTGCTTACGATGTTAAAGAAAATGCAGTCAAGGAGGCTGTCTTAAATAACTCGACATTGATTTTAGAAAAAGAATTATCTAATATCTTTAATTATAGAGGTTATAAATCTAATATAGTCGATATTGCACATAGATTGGTTTATAGGAAAAAGATCCAGAATAGAAACTTTTTAAGATATAACCTAACAAGACACTACCTTCATAGAAAGAGAAAATTGAGAAAGTATAGACTTAGATAAGAAATACCAAAGGAATTATCTGATCTTTAAACAAAATTAAGAAAGCATTAAAAAATTCAACCACTTTTATAAACTATATGTCCAGTTTAAATCTAAACAGAGAAAGCACCTGCAGAAGAAGGCTAAGAAAAACCATAAGAGACTTAAGAGGCAACAAGTGAAGAATAGCCTTAAGAAAAGACTTTGGAAGAAGAAATCTTTTCTTTTTCAGAAGAAAGAAGATAATATAATCAATTAAGACTAGCCAGGGTTAAGACCTTCACTAAATTCACAAAAATGTTACACAATGTGATAATTTAGAATCGTCCTATGATTAAGGAATATAGGTAGAAATAATTTGTTTAAAAACCAAAATCTCACTTTTGTACTTAAAAGTATGAGGAAATCCCAAAAGATGAAGGAACAGGTTTCATGAATTATTTAAAATCTGTCGAATCAATTGATTTGGAAGTTAAATAATAAGAGGAGTTAAATTAACTTTAATAATAAAGAAAATAATAGTCAAGGAAACATGGAAAGATCCTTTTAGAGAAAGGAGAGGCCTAATAACTTAAATCCATATTTTCAGAGGATAGTGAAAAGTAATATATAATATTAATAATTAACTAGTCTAATCAGAATTAGACAAGAGTAGAAGAAGCAATCAGATATGTTCCAAAAAGTAGAATAACCACAGAGATTTAGAAGAACTAAAGTTAGTGATACGAATGAGGGAGTTCAAAAATTGCCTTTTGAAAATGCTGAATAAGATAAACCAATTATACCTTAATTACAAGAACAATTTGTAATTGATAATCAATTGTACAACACTGATTTAAGTGCTAAAGCTCATTTTCAGATTGAATAACTCTTTAAAGAAGATCAGACTAGATAATAATTAGTTGAAGATGTCTAAAACTTTTTAAGTGGAATTAAATAGAGTGAAGATGGGTATCATTTTTATTTGATATCTGAACTTATTTCAGCATTGGAAGTTAAAAGACCTTTAGAATCCAGAATAATCTTCACATAAATTATTTGTCAAGTCAAGAATAAGATTGAAGTGAATGAGAAGATTAAGGTGAAATATACTACATAATATGGAGATATTGAAAAGAATTATGGTAAATACATTAATTAGACATGCACATAGTTCTCACTTGGATCCAAAGGATACAACTATTTATTCGATTATATTTTATAAGATGGAAATTACAACAGGTTGTTATATAAGAGAACATTAGCTCATTATTGTCTTTATGAGACTGTGCTTTACGATTCAACATTTGAAAAGATAACATAAATTACCAAGGTTAATAAGATCCCTTAAACTTGTGCTGAGTTCTTTTATGCATTTTTATCAACTAAAATCACTATCAATTTTACATAGATGAGAAAGATTGTTAATTTATTATATCAATTTAAACACTTTGAAGCAGAAGCAGAGTAATTAATTATTGGATTCTATTTTGCTTATTAATGGCAATTAAAGTTTGAAGAATTATAGCCAATATTTTAGAGATTAATTAATTAGAATAAGAGAGATAGGTATATGTCATTGTATGAATCTTTGAAAGATTAATTAATGGGAAGGAAACTTAGATAAATTCCCACTTAAGACCCAGTCGAAGTCAATAAAATTATGACTGAATACAAATAATAATAGAAAGATTAGCTTAAGGAATTTGTAAGAAAGTTTTCGTAAGTATTGTTGGATTCCAAATTACCAGATGATGCTAGATTAGTTATCAATGATGCTAAGAGATTCAGATATTAATATGAAATATTTGATTATAGACTTTGGCTTTTATCTCACGTCAACTATTTCGAAGATGCCTTAAAAATTTGGGCTGATTATGGTGTCAAATTCCCTGATGTTTATGATATCACCATGTTTAAAGCCTTTTTATCACTATTACAATAATAAGAAACTGCACATGAATCAGATGATACCAAGGCACTTTTTTAGGATGTTATTAGAATTTATATCTTTGAGAAGAAAATCACTTTGGACCATGATTTAATATTTGAAATTACAAATACTTATAAGAGATTGAAAGAATTTACAAGTTATTAGAATTTCATGAAATTCTTACTAGAAATTAGATATAAATGTATACCTTCCCATAAATTCTTGTTTTACAAAATGATGAATTTCACCGAAATTGATAGTGTCAAAGAAACAATAAAAGGAATTATTGATATTCTATTTAAGGATGAATAAAATAAAAGGAAGGATGGCAAATAAAAATAAAATAAATAAGAAGAGGAAGTAAATTATGATCTTGGTAATAAGGGTCCAAATCCTTTACATATTCAAGATCTAACAAGAGAGGTATTTTAACATAATTAAATTTAGAATAAATTAAATAACAAGAAAAAGAGAGGAATTTTGGTTAGAGGCGGCAAAAGTAAGTTTTCCCAAATTGAAACAGATGGTTTAGCCGATAAAAATAAAGAAGAAGATGGCAAAACTACAAAAGATGGTAAAACAACAAAAGATGCCAAAGCAACAAAAGAGTGAGCTATAAATTTAGTGTATAAATATGGTAAAATAATATGAATAAAACAAAAATTATTAAAACAAGTAGTTTTTCAAAAAAATCTTAAATCTTTAAGAAAGTTGTTATTGCTCAACCATTCTTTTATGTTTAATGCATCTTTTCCCAATTTTCTGAATTAATTAAGAATCTAATAAACTATTCAATAAAACTAAAATGATATAAATATAAGAAATTTATTGTTTCCATAAATACTATTAAAAATAAATCAAAATATTTTTTTTGGTTGAACGAAATTTAGATAATCGATTTTCTCCTTCTTTTCCTCTAAACTATCATTAATTTTGAGATTTTTCAACAAGGAATCTGTAGATTTAAATCTAGCCTAATTTAATATTGGTTTGATCGGTTCTTTTGAGGTTTAATATTTTCTGACTTTTTTAAAGGAAGCTTAAATAAGTTATTGAACTTGTCTAGCCTTTTTATCAGGGTTATTCGATTTATATGCTTCCTGATACATCAGAGAAAGTATTAAATTATCCTAAGGTACTTTTGGCAATCTTGTTATTGAATCTAGAACCTAGTCTAAATTCATTTAGGGAAGTATTTTATTAGGACTTATGCTAGGCAATTTAGCATGAAAAGAGAATTTTTCTAACTTCCTCTACCTCACTTTAGGAACTGCTCTCTCATCAATATGAGTACTTAATAATTTAAGTATTTTAATACAGTTCTCTAACTTATTTAGTTTAGGTTTCGAAATTTTGATTTCCAAATTTCTTTAATTTTTACTAATATTATTGAAGTGCATTACTAAAAACTCTCTATCCCTTTTCTTCTGTTGGTAGTTCGCAAGAATCATCATTTATTATACCTGATTCTGTCATATTTTGAAATACTTAAACTTAACTCATGCTATGGTTATTAGATTGATACTTTTTCCTTTTTTCTTAAGTTTTTCTCTTCTCAATATGTAAATAACCCTATACTGATATTAAGCTTTTTTACATTATTTTAATCACTAATTTATGCCATCGCAGATTTATATATTAAATTCCAATGTTAAAGGATTAATTTTGATTATTTCTTCATATTATCATACACAATAAAGTTACCTAGATTATTAAAAAATTTGTTTTTTCTTATTTTATACACAATTAATCTAGGTGATATTGCCCTTGCAGTTGTAAACCTAGCGACTTTATTTAAAATTTCCACTTCTCCAAACTATTAGTGCTCTCCATAAGATGATAATACGAGATTTCTCTCTCCAATTCTTTTGGAAAGTTAAACTTCTCCATTTATGATAAAAAATAACGAATTCGATTTGCTCCCTTCTTCATATATGATTTCTCCAGCTTTATACGTTATTTTTCTGCATTCTAACAAAATTCCCATTATCTCGTTCAAGTCTGAATCAGCTGAAGTAAAAAGTGTATTTTTTTTAAAATATTATATTTTTTCTTCTAATGCTTCACTTAAATAAGGATCCAATAACTAAACATATGCTGCTTCAGTCATATATAAGAGATGAGTATTTTCAACTGCAAAGACTGTTGAAGCCCTAGAAGTTTCCAATTTTATAGCAACTTCACCAAAAGAACTAACAATTTTCGATAAAAAAATTATACTCTCCAGAAAATAGCATTTTCATCATCATATACTCTGGAAATAAACTCTTTAGACCATAAGGATCGAGTGTTGATTTATTTTCCTATTCTAATTCAACTTCGATACTATTCATTCCAACCATTTTTTCTTTTGGTTTCAACACTACGCACCTTCCATCTAGAATAATATAATAGTATTTATTTTGGTCTCCCTATCTATATACCATATTAAAGGCTGGAAAGTATTAATACCTAATTGCTAAGGAAGTTATACCTTAATTAAGTATACACTTTATGCATTATTTCTGGGGGAATTTATTCTTTCATGTACTTTACTGCTTTTACTTGTCCGAGCTACTCTATTAAAACAGGTGAAGTTGGAACGAATGTATTCGATAAAGTTCGTAAACTTGCTTTCTGAAATTTTTTACTATATTTTTTTTGTTAAGGATCAAAAGTGAAAGGTGGTAAATTATTTAATTCAGTTTTTATCGATTCAATATCGAGAAGCTTCTTTTATTTTTTATAATCTTTATTATTCATTAATAGCAATGATTTATTTAATTCCTCCTCATCCGAATCTGAATTTGGTTATGGCTTTGTAAAATCAAACATTTATTTGTCCGAAATAGTAAACTAGGATTGAATGTAGGAACTCATAAATTTCACTAAAATGTCAAATTATACTTTTTAATTAATTTATTGATAATCTCAAATTTATTGAAACAATTCAGAAACTTATTTTTTCATTTTTATAAATAAAATTATTTCAAGATTGTTTACCTTTGTCTGATTATAAAAATAATGAGAATTCTTATTACTTTTGAATTAATTATCTTACATTATTAGTAATAAATGAAAATAAGAATAAAAACTAACTTAATAAATATTTTCATTAATAGGTGATGTTTAATTGTTAGTGCTATAAATGCATTCCTGTTTATAATTTTATCACCTAACAGTTTAGTTTTAGGATAAATTTATAAATGCTTTTTTGAGTATACTATTACTAAAAATAAATACTGTAATTTTATATGTACTTTTCTATTTTAGTTATTAATAAAATAAACTCTAAAATTATGTTGAGAAATTATTAAATTTGCATTCAATAAGGCTGCTATATTAATATTGGCTCTTCCCATAATAATAGGTGTCTAGAAATATTTTCTAATTCTTCTTTCACATTTTTGTAGGTTTATTATATAAATATATATTACGAAAAATATTCTTCTTATTATTTAACTTGACAATTCGCCTACTATAATTGTTAAAGTACATCTCGCTATTACAATTATCGAAAGCAGATTCATTATTTTTGTCTTTATTCAATAACTGTAGTTTTAAATAAAAACGGAATATATAATTTATCATAATGTCAGGATACTAAAGAACTTATTAAAGTTCTTTCACATCTTAGAGATACACATCAGAATCAATCTAAAAGGAGTTGAATGTTCCTGGATATGAAACAAGAGTGAGATATAAGTATCAAAGATAATTATCATAGAAATGATTTTGGAAAACGCTAGAATCAAGAATTAGATATCGCTTGCTTTTTAATGGCTGTAGAAGTGGAGAGACTAGTTAGAGAGAATACGCAATTAAAATAGGAGATTCAAAATTTTATTGACTCAGGATTAGATAGAGTGAATTATGAAATATAGATCAGGGATTTAATGGAAAAATTGAAGAATTAAACATCGTATTATTTCAAATATCCTTTTATTAGTGAAGTGAATAGTTATTCTGAAGAGCGTGAAAGACTTGTAATAATTATTAGAGAGTTGGAAGATGAAATTCGAAGGTTGGAAGAGCAACTCAGAGATTATGATCCGAATTGGAGGAAATCATAGAGAGATTTGGAATTGCAATTACAATTACAAAATAAGCTTTTTGGAGGGAAAGCCCCTGAGGAGATTTCTAGGGAATTGGAAGAACTAAGAAAAAAAGCTAAGATTTTAGATGATTTGTAAAAGAAAATAGGTGCAAAAGCTCCAGGTATCTAAATTGAGTAAGATTTTAGATGAATTATTAAAAGAATTAGAAAATTTGAAAAAAAAGGCTTAACAATTTGATGATATTAATAAAAAATTAAATGGGAAAAACTTTTCTGATTTAGAAAAAGAATTAGAAAAATTGAGATAAAAAGCAGATAAATTCGATGAAATTAGTAAATAATTTTAAAATCCATGTAAGTTATGCTTAAATATTCATAGCTGATATATAAAAAGAACTTGATTAATTAAAAAAAAAGGCTGCTGAATTGGATAAGATGAAATCTTAATTGAATAATTAAAACCCTGATTAATTGTTAAAGAATTTAGATGAAAATAAAAGGCAACTACAATCAAAAGATAAAGAAATCGGGGATTTAAAGGTTTATACATAAGTTTAATATTTTAGAGACTTCTATCTGAATTGTAATAGAATTAAGGCTCGTAGGATGATTAAATAAGATTTCTGTAATAGAAGATAGATGAATTAGAGGAAAAAGTCGTTGGTTTGGCCCAAGAATTGTCTAGATACAAAATGCTATTAAAGGGTAAAGAAGATGAACTAAATAAATTATCAATGATGCTCAGAGACAATGAAACCAGGCTTGCATAAATGAATAATGAATTGCAAAGATCCAAAAATGATTTATAAAGGGCATAAGGAGATTTTTAAAAAGCTTAGGGTGATTTAAGGAAAGCTTAAACTGACTTATCAAAATCTTAACAAGAGAATTAGAATTTGAAATAACAAACTGATGATCTTAAAAGACAGAATCAAGAATTGGCTTTGGAAAATAATAACTTATAATAAGATTTAGAGAATTAAACTTAAAATTTAGGATAACTAGATGAAATAAAGGATTAACTTAATGAATTATAAGATGAGAAGAATTAATTAAATGATAAAGTTTCAGATTTATAGAATAATCTAAAGGAAAAGTAGAGATTGTTCGATTAAAAGTAAAAGGAATTAGAAGATGCGTTAAAAAGAGTAAAAGATTTGGAGGCTAAATTGCTAGAAATGGATCACTACATTGACACATTGGAAGACGATTTATAAAAGTTTGAGAAAGATAATCAACAACTAAATAGAGAAGCTGGATAAAAGTAATTGGCTGATAGAGAATTAGAAAGATTAAGAGGGTTGTTAGATCAAATGAAAAATTAGTATGATTAATAACAAAAAGAATTAGGAAAACTCAAAAACAATCTTGATCAGATGAGAGATCTGTAAGATGAACTTGCATAAGCCAAATCAGAGTTAGATAGGGCAAATTCTGTCATAGCATAGTAATAAGATGAATTAGCTTAGAAAGAAAATGAAATCTCTCAATTAGTTAGAGAAGTTTAAAATTTGGAAGAATCTAATAACTAATTGTAAGATTAGAATAATAATCTGTAACAAACATTATAAGAATAATAAGCAGTAACTAATGGAAATCAGGAGGAATTGACTAAGTTAAGGAGAATAGCTGAGGATTATAAGGAAAAGATTCGACAATTAGAATTAAAATTTAATGAATATTCGAATATGGAAGAGAGACTTAAGTAATCAGATCATAGAATCGCAGTGTTAATGACTGAAATAGAGAGATTGAATTCTTTAGTGAAACAGATTACTTCTGAAACTGAAGATTGGAAGTAAAAGCATTCTAGAATAGAATTGGCTCTTTTAGAGTATAGACAGATTGAGAAAACTAATCGTGATGCAGTAAATAAGAATCAATAATTTATAAATGAAATAGAAAGATTAAAGAAACTATTAGAAGCAAAGCATATAGAATTATTATAAACTATAGAAAGATGTGACCTCTTAGAGTCTTAATAATAGACTTTGATGAACTAAGTTCAGGATGCCTTAAAAAAGGCAGACACTGGGGATAATATTTTACTTTAATATTTATTGATTGCAGCAGAGAATGAACGACTGACTGGTATTCTATAACCAATTTAAGAAAAGTTCAATTAATTGACAACATAGGTTAAGGAAATGACAGTTAAATATACTGAATTATAAAATAAAACATTAGGAATAGATTTGGATGAGTATGAAAGACTGAAAAAATTAATTATTGAATATGAGAATAGAATTGCAATGCTTTCACTTGAAATTTAAAGATTAAAAGCCAAAACAAATATTATTGATAGAAATAATGGCTCACAAGGTAATTTTGGTAGTAATGATAATATCAATATATAGTATAATAGTACAATGTTCTAATCAAATGAAGATTTGTCTAGAAAGATTACTGATTTATTGTGTTTGATTGCAATGATGTCAGCAGAATTGGATGTCTTAAGAAGTAACAATGAAAAACAAGTTTAACAATAAATAGTAAATTAATATAGACAAAACAATGATGTTGTAAATGTGTAAACGATATAATCAGTTGAGACTACATCAGGATTCTCATATCAGAGAATATCTTCAAATAGAAAATATTGAAAATTGTTTGCATTAAATTTTAATATAACATATAAATCTAACAATCATGCATATCCTTTGAAATTAAATTGGATAACTATTTCATTAGGAACTTCAACATAACCATAGAAACTATATGCATTATAAATTCTATAATAAAATATCAGAAACAATATGCATTTCGAAAGATAGCAATAAAATGCTTTGAAAAACATTTGAATAAGAATAGTTTAGTCTCTTTGATCATTAATATAATGATTTATTATTATTATATTATGATGAGAATAATTTCTTGCGCAACTTAGATTTTCTTTTTAATTTTTTATTTTTATTTTAATTTCAAATTCAAATGTCCTTTCTTCAATATCCTCCTGATAAGAAAATCTAGAATTACTAATTTAGTTTCAAGGCAAAAGTAGGAAAAGGAGCTTACGGAACTGTTTATGCTGGCAAGAATATGAATGACAGTAAAATCATTAATAATATTCAATTCAGATAAGATTGTAGCATTGAAAATCATAGATAAAAAAATCTTATAGACAGACTATGCCAATTAATTAATAGCATCAGAAATTGAGATCATGAAGCTGATAGAAGATAAAAATATTGTGAAATTAATTGATGTCTTACAAAGTGTGAACAATACATATATAATCACTGAGTATTGTAATGGAGGGGATCTAAGGGAGTATTTAAAAAAAAGAAAGTATTAAATATAATTACAATTAGATTAATACCAGAAGTCGATGCCATTAACATATTTAGAGATTTGCTTCATGGCATAAAAGCCCTGTTAAAGATTGGTATCATTCATAGGGACATAAAACCTGCAAATATAATGATTCATGAAGGAGAGTTTAAAATTACTGATTTTGGTTTTGCTAAGCAAGTTGATTCACACATAGATGCCATTATGAATTCCTTGGTAGGTACTCCTCTTTACATGAGTCCTCAGATTTTGAAAAGGCAATCATATACATCTAAATGTGACATCTGGTCTCTAGGCTTAATTTTATACGAAATGCTCTATGGCATCACCCCATGGCACTCCACAAATTTAGTGGAATTAATGGCCAAATTGGATTCCAAAGTATTTTTATTATTTATTTAAAGCCCTTAGAATTCCCATGCTTTCCAAGAGTAAGCGATTAGACTAAGTAAATCATTCGAAGCTGTCTCTAAATAAATGAAGATAAAAGGATTTCGTGGGATGCACTATTTGAATTAACAAGTACATAAGATTAAATGAACATGCCCAACCAAAGTATGCTTCCCATAATTTAAAAACATCCCATGCAATATTAGAGTTAATAAAACTAATAAAATAACTAAGTCTTAGAGAATATTGAAAAAGGACCGCAACAAAGAACTAAAATGAGAACTGAAAGCATGGGTAATTGCAATTTCACAAGTCGTCATAATAGAAGCTTAAGTAATGCCAATAATCACGATAAAGATAAATCAGATGAAAGATAAAAAACTAAATGCATTACTCCAAAATTATCCTATCTGTAAAAAGTCACACCTCAAAGACAAACTACATCAATTACATCGGATTCTGAAAGAGATAGGAGTAATTCAATAATTAAATTTGCTAATAAAAAGCTGAGTCTTATGAAATACTTGGAAAATGCCCACACAACACCCTAAGAATAAAAAGACAATAATGAGCAGAGTAAATCGCCCAGCTATCTCTAGTCTAAGTCAACTAACACATCTAATAGACATATTATGGATTAAGAAAATTCATCAAACAAAACAAAAGTAACTGAATTTTAGATCGAAGAAAAGACGAGAGAACCCATTAATAATATAATTAATAATGGATATTACAATTTTAATTAAAATTCTAAATTAAAAAGAACTTTTAGTAACAATTTCAAGGAAAGCAGCTTATCTCCTATAAATTAAAATTAACATGGAATATCACAGTTGTTAAAATTAATGTAAAATCAATACGATCTAATACCAAGTCATTTTGCAATTAAAAAATAGATCGAATAAATTATTAGCCAGCATCGATCAATGATTATGTAGACAAAAGACTTTCATTATTCCTCTGAAGATGCTAAGGAATTAAAGAAGATAATTAATAGGCTAATTGATTACTTAAATGAGCATCCAAATGACAATTTTGCCATTTAATTGTCAGTAATGCTATTGCTATTTCTAAATTATAATTAAGTTGTGAATTTCTGTTTATAATAAAAATCAAGTGAGTTGTCGAAAGCACTATTAGATTTAATTAAGAAAAATCAAAGCATTTAATAAAAATAATTAATCCTGAACCCAGCATTTTTAAGAGAAAATATAAATAAATAACTTTTATGACTTACTTGAGTTAATTATTATTTATCGTTTTTTTTTTGTAAAGATTATATCTCTAAAATGCTATAGAATCAATAAAGCTCAACAGAACATTCAAGTATTCAAAAACTGCAATAATTCTTGCAAGGATTGAATAAATCAATTGTTAAGTAGGGTGTTTAAGCCAATTTGTAAACAATATCAAATAATTTGGATGCTGCAGCTAATGAAATAGGGTTCTTGTTGTAATAACGAGATTTAAATGAGTTTAGTCATATTGTAAATAAGTTGTCATCGGTATGGAAAGAATTATACAAAACTGTTTATAATAGTAAATTGGTTAATGAGTTTGACAATGAGCCTAGTGATTTTCAATAAAAGATGGAGTTGATATCACAAACAAAGAAGTAAATGAAAGATGGAATAGGAGAAATTGGTTAATTGGGAGGAGTACGAGTATCTGCTTATCAGACTCCATAGACAAAAAATATGATGAGACAGATGAGTAGATAATAAACTGGTTTACCTTCTATTTCAGGATAACCTCAAACTGAATACAAGCATAAAACGAACTATGAAATTGATGATGATTAAAGGGAAATTTTGTAGGAAGTCTTGAGGTAGAGCAATAAATTGAATATGTAAATAGTAATGAAACGATATGATCCAAAAATAACATTAATGGTAAGCTAAGGGACAGACACCAATTTAGATATCTAAGAAGCTATAAGAGGATTTAATAAAGATTATTTAGAGATTAAATTATCAGAAATTACAAAAGAAAACTTAAAAAATTTGGAGGAGATACAAAAGGTGATGTCGGAGAAGCATGAATTTACTTAGGTAGGTGAATCATCTGCAACAGAAAAGTTAAAATCAATATACAAGACTATTTACACTAAGACAACTGAGATGGATCAATTAATGGTCGAGGCTTCTAGGTAAGAACCTTAAATTGTGAAGGATGTTTTGGATGAATTCGTACATCATATTACACACAATTATAAGGATATATAATCAGAAACATTTAAGATTGTTGCTAAGTTGTTTTAGTAATTGCAGCAGAAATAAAAGTAGGATGAACTAATGAAAAGTAGAACTCTTTAAGTCTAGTAACCTTAGCATAAAAAAGATAAACTCAGTTCGTCTAAGAGAGGTAATTAAAGTTCAGCTGATGAATCTCAAATAAGTGAAAAAATTAGGTAGGAATTAATTGAAAAGAAAATGGAAGTGGATAAGAAGAATTAAGAAATATCTGAATTATAGAATAAGGTGAAGCAAACTGAAAGTTAGTATATCTAAACAGCCTTAGAATTGGAATCAATGAAGTTAAATGTTAGTAAGTCAGAATAAGATAAGGCACAATTAAATTATGAATTTAGGAAATTGGAAAAGCAACTCACTTCTTTTAATTCCAAGACTTTTCAAGATTAAGCCATTTAATGTACCGATATCGGATAGTAAAATTTAATTCAAAAATTGCAAAAAGACAATCAATAAATTCAATAAAAAGTGTATCAACTCAAAAGTGAATTAAATAAAATAAGTCCAAGTTCAGGGAGAGAATTAAAATACTAAAATACAGAGTTTTAAGATAAAAGTGATGATTAGAACATATAAAATTCATAGAATGGAACTCCTAGATTAACCAGTAGGTATAAATCTGCATATGATTTTGACAACTAATTGAATGAAGATGGTTATTCTATTGATTAGAGATTAGATTCCTCTTAGTAAATGTATAAAAATAGTGAAATATCTAACAAAGAAAGATTAGATGATATGGGATTCGAGAGATCACCAACCCATTCTAATACTATTAAGGCCAGTTAAAAAATTAAAAATAAATCTTCAGCTCAACTAGAATCAAGATAAACAAATAGTCCAAAATCTAATTCAGAAAGATCTGTTAAAGTGTCTTTACAATTAAGTCAAACGAATTTCAATCCAAAGAAAAAGAAATAGAAATCTATTCTTAAAATAGAAGAAGAAGATTCCACTTTAAATTAATCTGCTGAATTGAAGAAACAAAAAATTAAAAAACAAGCGTTTTCTAATAAAGTCACTAGAAGATAAACTACATTAGAGGTAGCATCCAAAGATTTTTTCTAAAATTAAAATTCAATTAAAGATTAAGATGAAACATAAGCAGCCACTAATTTTGAAACTTAAAGGACATAATCTGGATAAGCCATAAGTAAGCCGAAAAGAATTAAGTCAGTTGATAAAAAGAATAATGTAGGTGGACGGAGAATTCAAACTGAAGGGCAGGAATAATTATAGGAGAGTGATGATAGTTAATCAGAAAATGGCAATACTAAAGTTAAGTTTTCAAGGAGCACTACGTAAAAGGATTAAAAAAAACAAACAGTTAAAAAGGGTTAGCAAATGACTTAGAGTAGAAATATTTAAACAAAAAAGACTGGAGACCTTTAAATGATAGAAACTGTAGAAGAAATTCCATCTAATATTACATCATAATAGAGCTTAGATAAATTCAGTTTAAGACAATCAAATACTATAGAAGACAATGACTAATAGATTAAGCATAAAAATGATTATCTGAAATATAATGGAAATTCTCCAATTAAAAGATCAAGCACTTCAGTTCCCTAATAACTCCAAATGACTATCAAATTAAATGATGAAGATTAATAATAATTTACAACCTATTGGCATTAGAGTAAATATTAAAAATATTATTAGGACACATT